CTAAGCAAGCGGCCCAGCTGAAGCCCGTCTGTGGCGTCGACGGCCAAACCTACAAGAGCGCCTGCCACCTGCGAGCGGCCGCCTGCCGGGCCGGCCGCGCCATCGCCATCGCCTACAGGGGCCCCTGCCGCGGTGAGTGTCCCGCGTCCTTCTCGCGTCCTTGCCCTTTCGGGGTCGTCGACCGGCTCGCGCTGCCGGCACCGGCGCCTCGTGCCAAAAATAGCCCTGCCCGCCGAGCGACCGACCCGTCTAATGACCCGCTCGCCGCGAGTCGGCCATTTGTCAGCGCAGGCCAGATTCCGCGATCAATCTGTGCGCTGGCCTCCTTTATTGGCCAGGGCCGCAGCCGCGTCGCGCGAGGATCCCCGCGCGCGCGGACGCTCGTCGGTTCGGCTCGCCTTGGCCAATCGTCGTCGCGTCTCGCTGTGCCGGGAACAATCAGTTCGTTCGACGGGTCGCGCCTCTCGCTCTCGCCGTGCCGGGCGCGACCGAGCTTCTTTTCACCTCTGGGCTTACGCGCGCTCGGATAATCGATATCTCGAAAAAGCCATCTCTTTGTCGTCGATCGCGATAACGGACGCGCGTTGACGCGCTCCGACCGCTCGTGCAGTCGCGATGAAAATAAATCGCCATTAACGGGCGTTCGGCGTGTGCAGCAAAAAGCTGCGCGTCGGGGAAGCGGCAAAAAGAAGAAAATAATGAAATAATAAACGAAATTCCTCTGCAAAGGTCGGACGTGCGCCGCTAAATCGCGTCACGACGTCGCGTCGCCCGTGGGCTATTTATTAATCTTTCGAAAGCGCGAACGGCGACTAACGCGCGTGGCGCTGTCAGGCGCTGGGCTTTTCCCCGGCAAAAAGCTTGCGCGTCATTTATCTTATGAGCTCTCGCGCATCGTGTCGCGGCGCCGCGCGAAAAAATCGGAGGTTAAAGTGCGCGCGGCGCATGTATATCGATCTCGCGGCAACGGCGGTGACGGCGGCGGCTGCCTAGACGGCCGATTAATCATCCGCGCGGACGACGTCTCGAGAGAGGGCCTATTGTGTAACGTAATAGTAATCTTGTAATCGAGGCTGCCGCCGAGAGATTCGCTTTGGCAGACGTTGGTTAATGATAGCGCCGCCGCGCGCATTATGCCCTGGCGAGCGAGCAAACGAGAGAGCGAGAGAGAGAGAGAGAGAGAGAGAGGATCGATTCGAGCGGCGGGCAGCACAATGGCGACGAGATCGGTTTGCGTGGCGCGCGCCTCGTTCGCAATTGTTTTTCTTCCGGTCGATCGATCGCGCGCCATTGCGATCGATAACGCCCCGACGCGCTTCGAGAGTGTATATGGCCCGTCGAGTGGTGCCTGCACTGCAGCGGAAAAACTGCGCGCGATAAACGCGCCAGGATAAATAAGGAAAGCACAAACGAGAGTTGGCAAAACAATGTGAGTTATCGTCCGCTAAACTGACCGCCGCGTATGCAAGTGAATCAACGGTTCGTAATCGTCTATTATTAGAATAGAGCGATGCTATTCCACTGACACGCGTCGGCGACGTAAATCTCGTGATATAATCCGTGCAAATGTGGTTATCATTACGGTACACAAGGTATTTTTAGCCCCCCCCCCCCTCGCGCGCTCTCTCTCTCTCTCTCTCTTTCTCTGGCGTCACGATCCACATTCGCGCGTCCGCTCGGAAGCGCATACACCACAACAATCGCGCTGAAAACAAGCGCCGTGGCGTCCGCGTAGTGGTCCGCGCGGCGCCTCACAGCGGTGCAGGCTAATTGGGTCTGGCGCCCGGGCGTCATCGACGGGCTCGCGCGTCCCGCGGCCACGCATCCGGGACGGCGAGGCGCGCAGGATGCAACGACCCGCGCTACATGTACGCGATGGTTGATCTGTCCGCAGAGCAAGCCGACTGCCGGAGCATCGAGTGCCGGGCGGGCCAGCTATGCCTGACCGAGCCACGCACGGCCAGGCCCAGATGCGTGAGCTGCCTGTACCGCTGCCCGCGCAACAGGGAGCTCGTGCAGCAGCGTAACCGGCACAAAAACCGCGACCACCAGGACTCCAGGCCGCCGGCGCTCTGCGCCAGCAACAACGTCACCTACCCGAGCTGGTGCCACATCATGAAGGACTCGTGCCTCACCGGCATGGTCATCGAGACCCGGCACGCCGGCCCCTGCCACGCCGACGACCCGCCGCCGAGTGGTGAGTGCTGCTGACCTTCTTCCCGGCGAAAGTCGCGCCGGATCGCCGATCGTCGCCGTGTCCCGGCGAGGCGGCTTCGTCGCGTGTAGAAAGCAGCGCCGCTTCGCCTGACTTTCGCGACAATTTCTTTTTCGCGCGCGAGGGCGATCCGATTAATCCGCGCGCCGGAGAGCGCGGCCGCGATAAAGTGCACCGATAGCGCGCGCCGCCGCGCGAGCCGTAGAAAGTGGAGCGTCAGCTGCGAAATCGCTCGCTTTGTGCTCCTTGGCCGATCGATCGCGCCCGCCGAACAATTGCCGTCGATGCCGCTGGTTCGGTGCAGCATCCGCGGCCGCGGCACAGCTGGCCACGGTTGGTCGTACGCTCGGCGCCAAGCCCCCTAATCGCGAGCTCTCAGAATAGCCGAAAGTCGGTTAACGGCCCCGCGACCGATTTCCATTTGCGAGCGAAAATGCAGGCCGAGACTGCCCAAGAAAGCAGAAACAGCCACGGCAAATTCTAATTGCAGCCGAGTGGAAGCCGAGTGGCAACGTCAGCCTAACGATCATCGACACCAAGGAGAGCGGCAGTACCAGCAAGCTCAAGTTAAAGAAGGACTTGAGAGCGATCGTCGAGAAGAGTCAGCAGCAGCAGCAGCAGCAGCAGCAACAGCAACAACGCAAGCCAGCATCTCTGGCCAAAAAGACGAAGAAGAAGCAGTAGTCTCCATCGGTGTTGTAATCGCGATCGATTCGCGACATCCGATCGCCGCGATTTCTGCCACTCGCGCGACGACGCACTATTTATTCGAACCCCTCCCTACCCTCGCGTCACAGCTCGGCCGCGAGTCGGAAATCGCATTTTTCCCGCTTGTCGTTCCCGACGACCTTTCCAAGTTCGAGAGATTCGGAGCACGGCTGAGGTGTGACGCGACGAGCACGCCGCGGGCTTAAAAAAAAACAAGAAAAAACAACAAAAAAAAAACAAAAAAACAACGTATATGTGTAGAAAAACGTAGACGTCTCAAGAAGAAAACAATCGTAATGTAGTATAATCTCTGTACTTAATTTATTTTAGTGTATCATGCTAAACGTACACCACCGGTGCTCGCATTCACTCGTATTCGAAAATCCGCGCGCGACGATTTCTTCGTTCTAGCGTTTAAGACAGAGACTGTAAATGAATCCGATAAATAATTTGGTCGAGAAAGAAAGAGAGCGAGAGCGAGAGCAAGAGAGAGAGAGAGAGAGAGAGAGAATGTGTGATGGATGCTGGAAAACATAGACTGAGCTGAGGCGGAGAGCCATGTACACGCACGTATATCTGCTGAGACGATTTATTAACGTTCCTAAGACAACCGTAAGTTCTTCTGTTTTTGACAACTAGCAAGCGAGCAATTATACATATACCCACAAGCGCACGCCACGATAAGACGAGTAGTCAGTCTGCTATTAAATGGATTATTAACGATAACAAAGTAAAACAAACGACACCTCCGTTTACCTGAATCCTCGATGACGAGTCGAGTATAGTTATTTATTGATAAGGCAGTCTGTAATTGTTATGATACGACTATTATTATGATTACACTGACGATTATTAGAATTAAAATTTACCAAACGTTCATGTGCAATATTTGAAGAGGAAAAAAAACTGCTTTTTTTAGACGTTTCACTGAAAAACTGAAAAATCTGTTGAATTTGGCATGGAGTTTTTGATTCTTTGTTTTTTTTCCACTTGCAGAAGTAATGCGAACGACAAGACAATCGATCTTTTTAAATAAAAAAAGAAGTGTGTAATATATAATCTATTTTTTTATTTGACTATGTACGAATGATTTGATCGTTTTTGCATTATTAATCCGTAAAAAGAAAATTAAATGAGAATCATTGTTTTAAAAACGATTGTATAGATAAAGAAGAAAAACTTAGTCTATGTTTGATTTTTCAAATGGAAGAACAAACGTGTCAATTATAATGGAAAAACAAGTGCTGACCTAACAGTATTATTAATATTTTTATTATTACAACTATGACGATTTATTACTATCGCTATTACAATTATATTTATATTACTACTAATTATAATGTCTCCGCTTTATTATCCTCCAGTATTATTGTATTTAAAAAGAAAAAAAAACGCAATTTGTAATCAAAGCTATAATATTTAAAGTAATTCTTCCTTCACGGGAAATCTTGATGCTTCCGCAATAAAAAAAACAAACAATATATTATTGAATATAAAAGAAAACATATCGTCAAAAGATTAATAGTTTCTAGCCGTTAGATTCTGTAATAATGAAAACTCTTTGATATAAATCTGAACAAATTTAACAAAATAAAACATTTGAAAGCGCATTAAATTTCGAGTTTTTGTAATTGTGACGTATATCAAGCATTATGTATTATTGACTGCATTTTATTCCACTGTTTCCTTTCATTTTGAGTTTGAAATTTTTTTCTTTGTTCCACATCATCCTCTCGCAAAACTAAAAATAACTCTTTCTTTATCGTCTTTGAATAATTTTATTTTGCACTTTTAAACGATGGCATTTCACGCAATATCGAGCAAGTACCTTGAATTTGCGCGTTACACTATCAAGGGCAAAATTTATGTATAATCTCAGCCCGGATATTAATTCGCCATCCGCGATGTTAAAAAACCGAATTATTTTCAACGATTGAACATCGGTGACACCAAAAGAGGTTAGATCAATGTCTTTTTTCGTCAAGTTATGCCCCCGCAACTTACCAGAAAAAATTCATTTCATGCGATCGATGCTCGATCCTTAAAAAAATTTTGTATTTTAAACTTGGCGGGTCACGAATTAATATCCGAGCAGTTTAGAAAGAGCTTTATTCAGACAGCCAATCAGATTACCAGATATACGCCTAACCTATTATATTTCAACTAGGCAAGTCGCACGTTCGTCACCGTACGGCTCACCCCGTCTACCACCCACCGCTGCGCTGCACATATGATTGTGAGTAATACTGTGACGCAATGTAAATAATGCCTGCGATTTGAATTTTTTTGTCAACAAAAATGCTACTCCTACGAGTGCTTTGATTAAATATAGACAAAGTTAGTGATTTAATGTTCACCGTATTCGAGATAGAAATATTATCAACGTAAATAGTGATATTATCTTAAAGCTTAAGAAGCATAACTAAAGATGAAGTTACACTGTATAGTTTGGTTGTTCATGCTGTTTGTGATAAGCGTCTTTTGCACAGTAGTAAGTATTGGTTGTTTTAGTATATTTCATTCACTTTATTCGTTCTTCTATTCAAATGTACATTCCTATAATTTTTGTAAATTTATAGATACCACAAGACTTTGAAAAAACAGGTCATTCCAATAATTGGGCAGTATTAGTTGACACCTCGCGATTTTGGTTCAATTATCGCCATGTTGCCAATGTTTTATCAATTTATCGAAGTGTTAAGCGACTTGGTATACCAGACTCACAAATTATCCTAATGATCGCTGACGACATGGCTTGTAATCCAAGAAATCCAAGACCAGCAACAGTCTTTAACAATATTAAACAACATATCAATGTATATGGTGATGATGTGGAAGTGGACTATCGAGGATATGAAGTGACTGTTGAAAATTTTGTTAGATTATTGACTGGTAGATTGGAGCCAGAAACACCCAGATCAAAGAAATTATTAACTGATGAAGGTTCTAACATACTTATCTATTTAACTGGACATGGTGGTAATGGTTTTCTCAAATTCCAAGATTCTGAGGAAATCACTAGTCAGGAGTTGAGTGATGCTTTAGAACAAATGTGGCAAAAGAGAAGATATCACGAAATTTTGTTTATTGTTGATACATGTCAGGCTAGCTCTATGTATGAGAAATTCTACTCTCCAAATATTTTAGCTGTGGCATCTAGTCTTGTTGGAGAAGATTCACTTTCTGTAAATATTTAAATAATTTCCTTATATTCATTAATAAAAACGAAATAGAGACTTTTTTTTTCAATTTTCAGCATCATGTTGATCCAGCTATTGGTGTTTATATTATTGATCGATACACTTATTATGCTTTGGAATTCCTTGAAACTGTAGAACCATCAAGTACTAGAACTTTGAGTGAATTTGTAAGTACATTAATATTATTCTAGTTGTAATTTCTAGTACATTGAGCTAAATATTTTTATTTTGTGAAATTTTTAGTTAAAAGTCTGTCCAAAGCATTATTGCCTCTCGACAGTAGGTGTTAGAGAAGACTTATTCAAAAGAGATCTCAAGACTGTTCCAGTCACTGATTTCTTTGGTTCTTTAAGACCAGTTGAACTTACTACAAGTATTGTAGACATAAGTAATCTTGTTAAAAGCAATGATACCATGACAAAGCGTTACACTCCACTGAATATAGAAAAAAAATACAAGCTGGTTGAACAATTCCCAACTGTATCGCAGATTCGATAATGCGTAAGCATTTAAAGAAAAAGATAATGCATCTAGGAATTTATCAACTACTTTTACTCTAATTATCAACAACATTTTTATTTTCCAGGTTTCGAAATTATAAATGAGTTTTCTATCCGCAGATGTACACATATAACAGTTTGTTTTAATTAAGACTTTTACTGTATATAAATGGATTTATAAGTAGCAAAATAAAACGAAATGCCAAGTTCTTTTTATGTTTAAAAAGATATGTACAGATGTGATATGATTATAAATAGTATATTTAGTAACAGTAAGTTGTAATATATTTGGAAATATACAGCAACTTAAAGTATCTATTAGGTTTGATTTGACCTCATGTGACGTCTGTTATTTTACATCTTTATTTTATACGTTGTATGGTTAAGAAAGTCAGTCTACTTGTCTCAATCTTGCATATACACTTTTTTTTTCATTTAACCAACTTGAAATAAAATTCAACTTTGAACAGAGGATTATAACAGTAACAAGAAAGTGGACTAGAAATCTTAAAAAGTACTTATACAATTGTATTTTGCTAAATTGCATAGCAAAAGTAATAATAGCTACTCTACATATTTTCAAGTTCATTGATTCGGCGTTTCATGTATTCTCCCATGTCGGAGTAATCGACTAATGTACTGTAAACTATTTCTTGTAAAATACTAGGCCATTCCTCATTCAGTGTTTGCAACTTCTGAATCGCACTGATAGTCTGGTCGATCGATTGTGAAAGATGAATTTTTCCTTTGTGCCTCAATATCAAATCATCCTAAAAAAAGATTTACATCCTGGGCCTCTCGACAGTTAAAAATGGAAAAGATGATTACCTGAGTTATGTTGCCTTTTCGCCAGAGCAAAGCCTCTTTAGCGATGACGGTCTTGATAGCTGGATCACTGTTAAATAAAAACTGTTTGGCAGTTAATTGTTCCCCATGTTGTTTTTGAATTCGTTCGAGACGGTAACGATGAAGTATTGGTTGCAAAAGTGCATCCGGTATCGACCATATCACTATGTCAGCCAATCCCGAATATTCCTCGTTAGCCACGTTCACGCTTTCTTCCGTCACCTATATGAAGAACCACACCGTGAACCACTTATCCGCAAGACAGAAGAAAAGAATCAACATACCGGTGAGCCATTGATTAATTGTAAGCCCCAATGAGCCAATCTGAATATTGCGTAATCTTTCCAATTTTTTGAGATAATTGGATTGCCCTCGGCTTCGATTTGTATGCTATTGATGGTGCCTGTGTCGGCCAGTGCATTGATTTGTCCTAGATGATTAATGTTGGTCTCCTTGAAGACAAAGTGCTCGGCATTCGGAAATCTGTGCTTGAGCTTGCCCAAGACACCGGCTATGCCGTTGAAGTGCACGTAATTGAACTTGACAAGATTGATCTCGCTGGCTTTCGATGGGTCCCACTGTCGATCGATGCAGCGCAAAGCTCCTTGGCCGTAGATGTGCAGACAACGTCCGACGATTTCCACCAAATAGTCACCACCTGGCAAAAGGAAAGCATCGAATTGCAATCACTTTGGAAGAAAAGCTCGTTGACACCTTCGTTACCTTGTTCCCTATCTTTCGACAGAGGTATCTGCGGCGGCGGAGTTGGTACAGTGGTAGCTTTGTATTTTGCTCGCGCGGTCGCGGCTCTGTTGCTCTTGTAGTGAACAATCTTCTTCACCTGCGCGCTGTTAACTCTATGCCTGTCCGAGCCGGACAACGAAGAGCTGCTCGAGTCAGCGCCGAAAGTCGATTTGGCGCCGTTGTCCAAGCTACTCCCTTTGGAGCTCGAGTCTAATCGCGAACGAATGATCGATTTGGCTTGGCCGTTCTGTTTCTCTTCGTTTTGCGTTTTCACGCTGATCGCCGACAAATTGTTCGCCTGATCGTCGTTCTTCATCGCGACGGCGAGATCGTTCGCCTCGCAGTCGGCCGAGTTCGTGCGACGGACAAGCTTGATGAGGTGCTCGCGCAAACTGCTCTTCAGGCTGCGGTGACTTTCGGATGACTCGGCATCGCTGCCGGACGAATCGGAGTAATCTTGGGTCGTTTGGGAATTGCTCTTGCTCGCGACTGCGGCTTTCGTGATGGTTGCCTGATTATTCGTCAAATTGTCAATAATAGGAACTAGAATTGGCGGCAGTTTGAACTCGAGATTCTCGATGCAATTCGAGTTGGGAATTTTCAGCAGATTGTCGATCGAACTGCTTCTCTTGGTGCAGCTCTTTTTGGCCGCTATAGTATGTTCGTTGATGGAACTCAGGCTACCAAAGTCTTTGGACTTGGAACGATTTAAGCTCCTCAGCCTCGACACGTCGACGACATTGGTGTTCTGCAGAGTGAATCCCCTCAATTGGTCGTTCTTGATGCTATTGGCTTTGCTGGCATTGCTGTTGAAACACCTGGTCTGTGACCTAAGAAGTTCCCAATTGGTCTTAGCGTTGGATATGACCTCTTCGCGCCTAACGTTCACGCAGACTTGAGTGCTAAGATCCAGAAAAGCTGAGTTGGATTGTTCCTTCAGAGTCCTCCAAGCCATAGCAGTTCGGCGTATTTGCTCCGTGACTTGCATCGAGGAGATACTCTGGAGATTTGGCAGGTAGGATACAAGAAACGAGACGCATTCGGCCGTAAGAGTCACTGGATTGCCGTCGATGGTTATGACCTTGATTTGCAGTGCTTTGGCCAAACTACTCATGTCTTCTATCTTTTGAATGTCGTTGTTGCTGAGGTACAATTTTTGCAAAAGCGGAGTGCCTTCGAAGCCCAGCAGCTTCTTGATTTTGTTACGTCTCAAATTCAGTTCGCGCAGACTAGACAGACCATGAAAGTCATTGAAACCGATATTCTTTATATTGTTTCCAGCTAAATTCAGAACTTTCAGCAAACTCGAGTTCTCGAGGCCCGATACTTGTACTATTTGATTGCCATGTAGATCCAGTACTTCTAGTTTTGTCAGTCCCTTCAAGCCTTCGATTTTTTTAATTTTATTTTTACCTGAAAGAATCAAAGACCAATCGATGATTATCGAGCAACCTAATTTGAAAATTGCATAATTTACCCATCAACAACACCCGGAGATTCTCCAAAGATTCAAAGTCACAGAACTTGTCGATCTGATTATCGTAAAGATCCAAAAATACTAATTTGCTATGGTGCATCAGTTGATTCTTCTCTATTTTTGAAATCAAATTGTGTTGGAGGGACATCAAGCGGAGTCTCGGCTCGTCGACTATGTAGGGAAACGTCGTCAGTCCTCTTCTATCCAAACATATTCTGTCGGGATTTTTCTCGCGCTCCTGAGGATCTCGACTAGCCACCACAAATTCACCTTCTTCTGATTGCTGCAGATTGACGACATTGCAGCCTCCGACTTGATCATTTTTGGTTTGGTAGCTTGAGCTTGACGAGCTGTTAAAGTTTACAAATGCATTTCACTTACAAAGCTAATTTTTCAAGCAAACGTACGTCAGAAATAATTTTCATACCTGTAAGTACTGTAAGAACGTTTCGTTAATTTCTGAATGACTGGAGCTTTGGTTAGAACAGGTAGGGCGGGTGCAATCGTTAGAAATTGACTTTCTTTGTTGTCTTTTTCTTGAACTCTCGCTGACTTCCTTCTGATATTCAATGACGACCTGCTTATCTGTGGAATCGAGCAATAAAAAAAAGAAGGAAATAAAAATTCAATGCTAAATCGAATTAGTCAAACAGTCGCGCTGTATACAAACCGTTGAATGCGAGTTGGAACTGCTTATTGGCATTACATAATCTAAGAATTGCAAGAGCATCGAGGTTCTTGAACGATGCATGAAAACCTAATCCAAGCATTTGTCACGGAACCGAGGTGTATTGTTTTCCATTGATTTCAAATGGCGAGCCATATATATAGATATATGGATACACATAGATGCACCCGTCGATGAACAATAAGACGTGCAGTTGGATGAACGTGACTTCGAAGAGTGAGAGCGTAATGCTTTACATTTTTGCTACACAGCCCATCCCCCGAGCACTGTCTTCTCGGTGCACGCGAAACGGAGACTTCTCCCTGGATCTCATCGCAGAGCCGAATTGTAACAACAATATTTGATCGATTCAAGGAGTTAGCCGCCGTCGCAACGCGCATAATATTGTCGTCTGCTACTTTGACTGTGTTTGTGTGTTGAAGCTTCCGTCATACCTGCTGCGCAGATACAGACGATATATACAACACGCTATTGTCTTACGTGCCTAGCCGTTGTGTGTTCGTGTTGTCGCGTAGGAGCGGTTTCTTTACGTATACCGACGTTCGTTTCCCAGCGCATTTTAGCGAACAATTTTTTTTCTTTTCAATTTGATGCGCGATGAATTTGATTTTAATGCCATTGCAGGCTCGATCCGTTCTTACATAACTGATAATTATTGGCTGAGAGGACAGCGTGTCTCCTAATATGTTTATTCTTTAATTCAACTGTTGGACCGAAGCTTGTAAATTGATTATTAAACTCTTAAAAATATTGCTTAGAAACGACGAATACAATATCTTTTACTTTCTTTCTATAGTTTACGATAAAAGTTGTTTATATATTAACTGCTAAAAAACCTTTATTCCTCTAAATTTATTGTATTAATTTATTAAAAAATTTGAATTTGTCGACAAACAATCTGTACATCTAGCGTCAGTTCGACATTGATATTTTCTATCTTGAAAGCTTAAAGTTTCGACTGTTATTTTTCAACAGCGGATTTCATGAAAAATATAATTTAAAACATTTCCCTTTTAGCACTCTTGTTTCAACAATCAGCAGCGCGTAGTATAAGCCTTCCGATATCCGTCGAGTAATTTCCTCTTCTTCGACCATTGAGCCAATTATTGCAGATCGTGAGAACTATTCTTCCGCTGTTTGTGTGGGAAATCTATTTTGATTTGCAAAAGAACTACGCAAGCCGTGGGAAATCAAAATCACGCAAATGAACTTCACTTATGAATTATTAATAGTTTCATTTTTATGTCAAAAGAACACTGCCTTATTTAATATTTTACTTGAAAATCATGTTTGTAGCGATATGACAACAAGCTTGCGTCAATAATATTCTGAGCGAACTTCACTGCAGCTTCTGCTGAACCATTGCTCTGAGAAAATTTAGGCTTAACTCGTTACACGTTGGGAAATCAAATTGTTTTGCGAATTTTGCAAAGCCCGAAGAAAACTGTGTTCCGCGATCGCCCGTTACAATATTTCTGGAATACCGAATCTTGCGAAAACTATTGTACAATTTTCAATGATTTCCTTTTCAGCTATATTTTTCAGTTGGCAAATTTATTAAAACCTTGAGTAATAACCAGTTATCATTAAATACCACCGTTTCGAATAACAAAAATCCATGCCCACTTTTTGGTAAGGGTAGTCCTGGAAAAATTTTTCCTCACGGATTTTATTCGACATAGACTTTGACGCTGATCAACTACTTAAAATGAAATTAACATAGCAATCAATTTCCTCCGACAAATCATCAGCATTACGTTCAAGAACATTTATATAGAATTTCACGATAAACAATCGTCAAGAATTAGTTATTTTTCCGCCGAAGGCGGGCGATGCTCGATCGAAATTATGCTGTCACGAGGTTTTGCAAATAATCACACTCTGAACATATAAAGAGCGAGCGCGGAGAGACCGACGGACGACGATCAGGCGCGAGCAGTGGCGCTGGGAACAATTTCTTTTTTAAGCACTAAAAATTTGTACAAAGATTTTATTGAAACTATCTAACGAAGTAAATCGTAGTATTAAAAAAATGATGCTCCTGAAAATACTTTCAAACGGAATATAAACAACCAAAAGCGAGATTCCGATTCAAACAAGAGCGAATGCTTTTGAGGTCTGTGAGTGGGTGAAATATTGCAGGTTGACACATCAATTGAACAGCAACAAAATGTTTTATTTAAATAATACAAGTGTAAATTGTCGCGTGGACTCAGTAGAACTGCCCGGCTAAGCTGGCAGAAGGCCAAGTGTTAGGGCGTCGCGGGTTTGAGCGAAAGAAATTAACGAAAGATATATGTAAAACAAAAATAACATAAGGAACTTAAAATATATGTATTCGTAATATTTACAATCATTCAACTCACTTTCTACTTTCAAAACTTAAAGATCTTCGTAATTGTCCCCACTATTTTGACGACCTTTGTAATATTTACGCGGATCATGCTCTAATCTTGTTTACGGCTTATCAAGCTCGATTTCTTCCACATTTTGTATATCGATCACTTGCAACCAATCTCCTAAAACTGCTACAAGTAAAAGCAAAAAAAAATATCAATAGATAAAATATGTTTAATAACAATAATCTACTGAATCAGTATTTTTACAAATTCTAGTCTTCTAATTCATGGATGAAAAAAAGCGTAATAAATTAAATTTTATGTTCATTGTATTAGTCGATTACATAAACTATATTTACTAAAATTTTGATAAGAGCCGAACAAATTATATCTAAATAATAGTATATATTAATAATAATTTTTACAGAACGATGATTTAGAGAACGAAGATGTACATTACGATTCCGATAATACTGATGTACAGCAATTTTGAAGGCAGTCAGAGCAAAAGACATTTTCTGAGCTGAGGCAAAAATTACTAAACGGTGACTTAGACAAGGTTATCGATGCTAAGTTAGTAGTAAGTCAAAAAGAAACGCCATGTGCCATTGAAAGTTACGCTACTCGCTTTGATTTACCAACCGTAGGAATAGAATCTATTTGTAAAATGCTATTAACTGTTTTATGAACGTTCCTATACTACCTGATACGCGTCACCGTATCAACAATGACTATTAAAATAATGTTGTGAGAGAAAATAATTTCTATTTTTTTGTGATTTCGGATACAAAGAAAAATAATTTAGATATTTATTAGAAAAATACAATAAATACTACGACAACGTATTACGTAATCAGAAAGATGCTTTGAAAAAATTCAAGATTTTTATGATATTTGTGATGAAAAACTTAAGATCACGTACGCTACGTGTATCATCAATAACGATGGATCTTCTGTCTAGGAAAGTTCGTCTTATTCAATATGGTCTATCCAGCTTATTTTAAACAAAAGTAGTAATGCCATCATTGCGGCCTTATGATTTGGTAAAAAACCAGGTATGAATATTTTTATAAGACTTTTGCGAAACATATTAATACATTAAATTCAAAAGGCATTTCGTGTAACAATAAAAACAGTTTCAGAGGTATAATGTTGCACCCCATTTGCTGCTGTGTCGATTCAAGCGCGCAAGCACCAATGCAGGGCATTAGTCAATTTAATGCGGGCACTGGGCATGTAACTAATGCTTATACACCCCGGTATTCCGGTAAAGAATACGAAAAAAGTAGTCAAATTTCCCATTCTAAATTACGTGCCAAAGAAACAATCATTTATAAAAACATTACAGCTTATGAAAACTGTTTTGAAGCAAGTAACAGATCCAAAGATGTTTGGCATGAAAATAGTATCCCCTCTAGTTCATCTATCTTACTTTGACGTTATTAATAGGTTTGTTCCGGTTCCGGATGAGATGCATTTCATTTCTCTACGAGTCTACCGACAGTTTGTACAGATGTCGTTTAATCAATGTCACCACGGCTACTCATTGAAATCCTATATATTAATTCTCTGTTAATCAACATTCAAACTCCTAATCAAATTACTTAATTAACTCGCAGACTCGCAGAGTTAATAATCGGTTTTTCCTATGCCCTTATCAACACTGCGTAGTTTTTCTAAAATTGTTTTGGAACGTATCGCTCGGGTGTAAACGCCACACGAGACAAGAATCTACTTTCCCGCACTTGTATCGTAATGTCCTATTCTTATTCCTCTGACTGTAAGGCCCTCGCCACATATGCGCATACGCGTGCGTACAACGGCGTACAAACGCGTACAAATCGCTAAAAATTTTGATAGTGCCAACATCAGAAAGTTACTATTATTTCTCGCATGCCCCAAACAAACACACACTCCCGGAACAAACGTATCATAACACTATATTATTGAAGATTATGATACGTTTATTCCGGGAGTAAGTGCATATAAAATCTTGGACGGGGACGGACCGAGTTGGGAAGGAAGAGGGATCACATGTGGACACTCCCTTATCCCTTATCCCCCGGTCCCATAGGTTATGTAGTACACTATGGGACCGGGGCATGGAGAGTATACAGTCTCCATGGACCGGGGCCTAAGGGTTGTTTCAGATCATAACCTAAAATCATAATTTTCCCATCAAATGGTAAATAGTTTCCCATAAATACATTGCGAGAATTTATATTCAACATTTAAAGCGTATCTATTTAGGAGTAATTAGAGTTCAGATGAATACTTTTCTTTTTCTTAATTTTTCAGCCTCTAGATTGTGCTTTGATATACGATAGAAACCATTCCACTTGAATAAAAAATACACGTAAATAAAATTATGTAGCATCAAAGTGAAATAAACTGTTAGTTTTCTAATACATACAGTGGAAAATTGGCAAATAGGACACGCGTTCGCTATTGCGAGGTGAAGGTCACAGTTCAAAATCGATGATGAATTTTACAAGTAACACATCTAATTTTTTTATGATATTAATAATTTTATATAATTTTTATCTTAGTCATACAAAGGAAATAATGAATTAAATATATTTATATCGAAATCACAATCTAATCTAATTTAATTAAAAAACACACATGTTATTTCAAAAATTTTGCGCCAAATTATATCAAATCATATATAGGCTAATCAAATATCTACATCCCTATTTTCAACCGACCAATCAAAACGTTTACAGGCTCATTTTTCAAAATTCTCTTTTTCAAGAAAAGGATTAATTAATTAATTAATGATTTATTGAAATTATAACATAAGTAATTAAGATGAAGTATTTAGAAAATGTATTTTGCCAAAAAAGAATTACTGTATAAATAATTCAAAATTTACGGTAAAATTTAATAACGGAAAATTTACAAAATGAATTTAAAAAAATATTCATTTCCGTTCCATACGTTCCTCGTTTACTGCGCTAGAATTCTTTGACCGTGGCGGAGATGGGCAAGCCGGCCATGCTTCCACATTCTTGCTCTATAGCGTGGCGTGCATTGCAGAAACTCCACGTGCTAAATTACTTTTTTACGTTTTAACGTATTTGTTTAAACAAATTTTGTTATTAAAGTTGCATTAATCACTGTGAAATTAATTTTCAAACAATGGCTGAAACCGAAAACAACTCAAACCAAAGCAACGAGGTTGCAAAAGAGGAAAATGGCACAGCAGAGGTTAAAGCTACCGACAAGCCGACAGAACAAGCCACAGATAAACAAGCGGATAAATCGAAAGAACCAACACCCGAGCTACTTGAAAAACTAAAGAAGCAAGTTGAAGTACGTATTTCACGACTGAAAAGTTTGTTTGTCGCAACGCATAACGCAACGTTTGTTGTTTGTTTTTTAGTTTTATTTTGGGGATGTTAATATGCAGCGTGACAAATTCCTGATTGAACAAACAAAACTAGATGAAGGATGGGTGCCAATGTCTATCATGTTGAATTTCAAATTGTTAGCGTCAATGAGCAAAGACATCGATGTTATTCTCAAGGCTCTGGAGGAAAGTGAGTTGATTGAAATTTCAGACGACAGAAAAAAAATTCGTCGAGCACTTGATAAGCCATTACCGGCGTATAACGACGAGTACAGAAAGGCTCAAGAAGCTAGAACCATTTATTTAAAAGGCTTTCCTCTTGACTCAACCATTGCAACTTTAAAAACTCACTTTGAATCTATAGATACTATTGAGAATATTATTGTGAGTATTGATTTTTTAATGTTGTTTGGTCATAATTCTTAAAATAATTATCTCGTTTCGATTATTCTATGTTCTTTTATGTTCTTTTCAGATGAGAAAATTTAAAAAAGGCAAAGAGCACTTATTCAAAGGATCTATCTTTTTACAATTTAAGACACTTGATAATGCTAAGGAATTTATGAATCAAGAAACAATTAAATATAAAGAAACGGAATTGATGAAAATGTGGTCGTGAGTATATAATGTTTTTGTAAATTCATTTCAGATTGTATCATATGTTTTTATTTTACACAAATTTTTATAAAAGAATACCTGGTAAAAGTTTGATAATTTTGTTCTATTTCAGAAAAGATTATCTTGCCATGAAAGAGAAAGAGAAAGAAGAATTACGCTTGAAAAAACTTAACAAACAATTAGATAATGATGTATGTCTAATAAATACTTTCTCAACTACTGGAATATTTTTTACTTTTGAAATATAACAATTGACGTATGAATTTCTTATATTTATAGGCTAAAGCATCAAAAAAAAACAAATCTCAGAATAAAATTGAACTTCCAAAAGGCTGTGTTTTACAACTTAAAAACCTAGACAAGGTTGATAGAGAGGCAGTAAAACAAAAGTTCACCGAATTAGAAGCAGAAGTTTCTTTTGTGGATTTCAAAGCTGGAGATTCTGAAGGTTTCATACGTTTACAAAAAGAGAATGCTGCTGTGGAGTTCTTAAAAAAATTAAAAGAAAATATGGTTTGTAATCTAAAAATTTCTTGATTACATATCTTTTAGTCCTTTGAATGCATAAGAATATTATTGTTTCCATAACCCAATTTATATACTTTGCAGGTAACAATAGGAGAGTCTGAAATAGAATGTAAATTAATAGAAGGAGAAGAAGAAGAAAGCTACCTGTCCAAGGTTGTTGAAAACATGACAAATGTTAGACGAGGCAAAGGTAAGTTACAAAAAAAACTTTAATTTATATGTGTAAATTATAATTCTAGATTTGTTTTATTACAAATTGTGGTAATTTCAATAATTATATTGTAATACAATATTTAGAATGATGACTTGCCATGCTAATACTGAAAGATCTTCAGGATCTTACTGAGTTGAAATTCTCAATAACTGACTTTGAATCACTAGAATATATTTTTATTTAGACTGTTACTGCATCTTTTAAATCAATAAATATAAATTACAGGTTTCCATGGAAAGAGGAGAGGTAACAAGAGACGTCACAGCCCTCATAGAGATGGAAATCACAAGAGAGTTCGCGACTGTGATAATTAAGTTGATTTAATAATTGCACCTATTTTTTTTTACAAACATTCTTAAACGCGATGTAAGGTATGCTTAGTCGCACGTCTACGACTTTTTTTACATAAAAACTGATTATTATAAAGGATGTATGTTGTGTATACTATATATTTCCGGTGTAAAAGCGTCGACTTACAAACTAGAACTATAAAATGTATTTTATATATTGCGTCATAGCTAGCTAAACAGATTGATATTCTAATGTAATATTTTTGATTAATTTATAAATATTTACTTGGTCATATGCTTTAATATCAAATATTCATTTGTTTGTATTAATATGAAAATGTTATTCATTAGATTATCTAAATGTCATATTGTTACTCAACAATTTATGAAGATCATGTGAGTTCATTTACTCATATAATAAATATTTGAAAGAAAAATAATGATGTATATTTTATTTGAATCTCGTAATAAACGATAATCACCCTTTAAGTAGAAACAATACATTAATATATTGATTGCGAAATAATTAGTGCAGTAGTATCATGGGTAAAAATAAAATTTAGTACAAACTTAAGTTATAGAATTTTACAAATTTATTTATAGAAAATAATCCTACAATTTTATTTATGTCATAACTCTTAACAACCCAAATCCTTTACAAAAATAATCATTAATTGTTCATAAGCCGCCTTTAAAAGATACATTGAAATTCTTACAATTCAAGTTGAATGTGTAAAAAAATATGGAAGCCTTGTAATAATTGTGATAGTATGCATGAAGTTTAATTCATTGTAAACAGTAGATGTAATCAAAGTGCAAATATAGAAGATTTACACTTAAATTAAATCCACAATATCACAGAAAATCCTAAAGTTCCGATATGTGCGCAACATCTAATTTAAAAAATACAAATAGAATTTTTTTACATGTTATTGTATTCTAAAGTTGCTAGTTGCCATGGATGTATTTGCTTTACTTTTCAGATCTTTTCTTGTTTTGACTAGACTTCTGTGAAGTTTGTTCAATTTTTTGTTGGTTAACATTCTGCTTACTAGCTTTTAATTCTGCAGATTCAGAGGCTATGGCAGAGGCTGGTTTGGCTTCTGCAGATCCTTTACCAGTAGCTGGCTTTGATTCTGTAGAAGCTTTATCAGTGGCTGGTTTTGATTCTGTTGATGCAGAAGCTTTACCAGAAACCGGTCTTGAATCTGCTGATGTAGAGGCTTTACTACTGATTGGTTTTGATTCTTTACCAGGGCTTGGTTTCGGTGGTGTTTCAACCTTTAAAGTATTCTTTACCTCTGGTTGTTTTCCACTCCTACTGTTTTTTTCTTTTTGACCATGTTCATTGAGACCAGGGAATGCTTTGTTCAATGGCACTCTAGCCACATATTGAGCGAATGGAGATCCCAACCATAAGTATCCATTGTGTATGTAACCTGAGCTGAATCCTGCAGTTTTTCCATCAGTACCATAAGATGCATCCAAGATCTTTCCATCTTGACTTATTCTTAAAACTGTACTAATCTTTGGAATTAAGATCATCATACTCTCAAAATGTCCAATATAATGAATTACCCTTTCAGCAAAATAATTAGGGTAGTAGGTTTGCAGACATTTGAATGGGGCTTCCAAGACAGCAAGAAATCTTGCAGCCATACGTCTGATTAATGGATGAGGTGCAAGTGACTGCGATATTTGGGGATTTTCAGAGTCTGCATACACCACTAGAGTGACAAGAAATCCCTTATTATTGTCAGAATGCACATTATCAGGAAATCCTGGAAGTCCTTCAATGAGAACTTCTTGTTTCTCTGCTTTAGGTCCCTTAATATTGTATTTTATAATACGAGATGCTGAAGTTTCAAGAACAATAACAAATTGTTCATCTGCACTTAGAGCAACTCCATTGGCAAATCCTAAATCATGTACAATGACTTCATTTTTTTTTATAGCTACATTATAACGCATCAGTCTGTAAATATTAAATGTGATGCACTGAGATTCAGTTATAAGATAAAAGATTACATTATCAAATTTAAATTAGATCACAAACCTTCCTGATGGATTTGTCAACATTGCGAAAAGTCCATTTTGAAGGTCAAATTCTGTGCTTGAATCAGACCAATATATATCGCCATTACTTGCAATGTCTAACGAATTAAATACCAGTGGAACTTTGCCTTCAATTGGGGTATTGTTGTCAACAAGTTTTTCATATTTTCCTGTTTTGACATCAACTTTGAAGATACCGTAGTATGCATCACAGACATACAATGTACCTTTCTTATCAAATTTCAATCCTAAAGGTCTACCACATTTAGCTTCTTGCCAAACTCCATCTGCAAATGGTAAATAAAACTTTGAAAACTATTATTTTATAATTGATAAAACAAAAAAAAAAAAATTGATAAAACAATAATTTAAGTTTACTAAGATAAAAGCAAATAATAGATAGTTTTTGTATAGTAATGTTAAATAATAAAAAATTACTTACCACAGTCTTTTCCAAATTTTACAATAGGAACAAGCTTATTATCAGTAACTTTCATTACATAGCCACCATATACTCCTGTGTAAAGTTCTCCACCAAATGATGCAAATGCTTCAGCACCTTTGACTTGTTCTTGAAATAAGACCTCTGGATTGTTCAGTCTTTCATTAATAGCTAATATTCCGTTCAATTTTTTTGGTAGCACCAGACTAGATACAATTGAAAAAATTAAAATCTAAATTTTAGTCATAACAGAAAAATAAAACAATTACTCATTCTAACAATTGCAAATTGATTGTTAAATTGAATAAAAAGTTTGGTTAGGAGCTGTCTAAAGTAATTCTTTTCTTGTGAACACTGTATCCTCAAAAAAATTTGTGCACGAATAAAGTATATTCCAAAAAATGAGCAAAGATTAATTAGCTAATTAATTATATAAAGAATATTTTACCTGTACTCTTCGAATTTTGCGTCAGGCAGAATTATAGGAATGAAAGTGATTACAGTCAAAAAGGTACCGAAGTAGATAACAAACGAGCCTATCGATTTTAGAAAGCCCATGTTGTAAGTTTGCAAAGCTGCAAGAAATCAACTATCAACAAAAGAAATATAATGATGAAAATCACATATTCTTGGTTCGATTGAAACAATCTTTAATTGCACATTCTTTTTATTATTTCAAATTAATGAAAGAACTCAAAATTCACCGGTAAAAATGTACCTGATACCGGGAAAATTCCACTTGATTTTAAAAAGCTGACAAATTTGCTGAGAATGCCACTCAGCAACTGGCCTTGGTAAGTGGGTAAGAGAAGCTAAACGGCGGCCGGCTGCCAACGGACGAATCGAAACGGTTTATTATAAAATATTCAGTTAATTATCGAGGCGATAGCGAATTCATCGACGTGTCATGCACACAGCAGAGGTCAATTCTCGCGTATGCGCACGGAACGTCTAATATTGAACTGAAGAATCTTGGATTGAACGTAGTGGCCACGAAAAAAACCGGATTTACCGTTATCAAGGGATTCAAGTATTCAACATTACAGACCATCTTTCGATGTTATTTTGTGCCTGTGTCGCAACAAGAGATCCATAAACAGCTTTCGTGAAATATATGATTTTGAGAATATTATCCATCGATTTTCGATACAGCATTTTCTATTTTAATTCGTTTAAAATTTTCCAAGTTAATTACATACATATTTTAGTTAACCATTTTTAAAAAATTTATTTATATTAATATTAATAAGAAATTATAAGAAAACTTGTCACTCTTATTTTTCTTTCATTTGGAATATATTTTTTGATTGTTAAAGAATTTAGCGTTAATCGGATAAAATGTAAATGTAATAAAACAATAGTAAAATATGAAAAAAAAATTTTTATTGTCAGATTATGCAAAAGGCTGTAATTAAATTATTGTTTTCTTTTTTTATTCTCAATTGCAATACAATATCTTATTAGTCAATTATAACTAACTATTAACAGTGAATGGCAATATTTTTAAATAAGTAAAATTATAAAGATAAATCAACTTTGAAAACAATGATATTTTTTTCCATAAGTATTTACAAATTTTAACTAGAAAAATTGTCATATCAAACCAGTAAATCACATAAAATAAATAAACTCTGAGTAATTATAAAAAGTATTTTGCATTTATTGTTTATGGACTTGTTCTTCAATTTAAAACATTCAACCACTTGATATCAATTTCGACGACAGCAAATCTTGCCTGATTATCTTATCTTTTTCTATCTTCCCTTTATTATTAAATTATGATATTAATCATATGAAGCTATCTATATTGGCTATCAATACAACTTCGTTGTATATATTTCAACAGTTGCTTGATGCTTTCGATTGAACAACATTTTTCACATTAGCACTGATTTTTATAGAAATATTGAGGCAACATTTGTTGAATAAATTATTATATTATGTGGAAGTATCTATCGTTCATTGTTAGAACCAAATTACATGATTTTACACGGTCGATCGGCAGTCTTCAATTACCTAAATACTGTAAAGAAAAATTAAAATTTTAATATAACTTTAAATTAGCACCACTAACAACGTTTTTTTAAATTATTAAATTACTTACAAATAATCAAAAATTTGCACAATTAAAACCATTAAAATTTCTCTTCTTCTAAGCCATGCTTAAAGAACATAAGAACTGGCACAGATTGATCGTCAATTTCACGGTATTCCATAAGTGCTACAAGTCCATCAATGTCCATTGATTCTCCTGTGAAAAATTGCAGTTCCTTAAACCGGCTCAGAATGTCCTTCATAACTTTGTTCATATTGGTTTTGAAAACGTCAACTTGATCTGGGGCTTTTTCTTCCAATTTTGCTACGAGCCTAAAAATGTTTTAATTCAAATATAAGATAAATGCTGAATGAACTAGCGTGTAATAACAGTAACATAAAATAGATCATACTTCTTCATATAATCCTTAAGGTAAAGAGTGTATGACTTTTTGTCACCAAAGGCAAAAGTTTCTTGAAGCCTGTGGTTCAAAACAACATCCACACCAGATTCAACAGCCTCGTCAGTTCCTTCATCAGTTTCTTCAGCAGATGGATTGGCACCATCTAGCTGAATTTCACCAGCTTTCCGTTGGACCAACTAAAAAATTCATATTTAATTAGAAAGTGTTGAAAATAGGAAAAAATTGTCATTCCTTGATAAAAGGAGGCTAGTAATTATTACCTTGCCATACACTTCATAGACGACGTCATCAACAAGTTTCATTTTGTAGGTGTCAGAAAACATCTCATCACCTGTAATATAAAGGCATCCATATCAGATTTAAAAATTTTATATTTATCGAGAAAATTCGTAAGTTGTTTATTAAAATTAATTGGAAGCTAAAAATAGTTTGAAAATATAGAAATTTAGTATGTATAAACAAGTGAAGACAAATAAGGTAAGAGTCGAAATCAACAGGGGTTAGAAAGAGAAAGAGAGAGAATGATGCTACACAAGCTACTTGTGAAGCCACTTATATACGATAGCCTAATACACGTTTGTTGCTGACTGGATATGAAAAATATTGACTTTTGAGGATAAAAAAATAATCAAATTTTTTTCTTACCAGTGAAAATATCCTTGTAGATCCTCATTTTGGAAGATGAAAAAAGATTTGATCAGAGCTAAAACTAAATCGACACAGTCACCCAAAAGAACAAACCGGAAAGGAATAGCGAATCTGAGCCAAGCCAAAGCTGGATTAGGAACAGGACTTCAAACTGTCAACTATGTTCGTCACTACGTGAGTCAAATGAAATGACTGAATCTAGCTAGAGTCTTGACTAGCTATGTACACTACCCGGACATTCATTCGTTACCCGCGAAGTTTAAAATCTAAATTATTTTCGACAATTTACACGGGTACGGCAGCTGGCAGAGGCATATACTAAGAACAAGTCATGAATTTGCTATTTAATTGTTTCATTTGTGTAAATTTCATGTTTGGTGTTGACGAGCTCATAGTTTTATGTTATTTAAATCTAACTAATATTAAATGCTCCTTTTATTTTAACATCGATATAGGCTAGGGACGTTTGTTTTCATATAACTTACAAGAGCTTCTATTATTCACCTCTAGGTGGGGCACTTTCGTATGGCGATCTGTTTTACTTTTCTGTCATTATCATTTTAGTACCTACTGATACTGAACCTGAACAGTTCTGACACTCCTGACTGTTCTGACGTCTGAGATCTGAGAGTGGAAACACACTCGCAAGTGAACAACTGGTAGTTGACACGCCAAAAAAGAGGTACTTGTCCCTACCTAGTGCCACTTCGTCATTATTTGCAGTGTTCCAGTCAGTTAAGCAGAAGGTCGCTTGCAAAGTTAAATTCAGCTTCAATCATTGTTATGCTTTCCCATACACAATTTAGAATGAAGCAACGTGAACAATAACAAAGTGAAAAAGTACACAAGAAAAGCAGCAACATCTCCCAGACGTGAAACGACTCACGATAATCTTCACGCTTATGAGATGTAAATATGCATTTAATTGCAAGAAAAATATTGTAGGCAAGAGAAGTAATTGAAACGTGTAAAAGGGAAATATTTTGGTGTATCAATTATTAAAACTTAATATCGATCAACTGCAGTGTTTAATGAGGGAAACTAAATTTTGCTTGGAAAAGCTAACTCATAATTTGCATCTATTTTTCCACTTTGTATTCTAATACATTGATATGGCATACACCATTATTTAAAAGTCATCTCCAAGCTTTTGGAGATATATTCATTTGTTGGAGCATTTGAGCAATGAGATTATCGGAATATTATAGATCAGATTAATATTGCGCTGACCAATGTTTTCAAATATATTTAAGGTAAGATTTTTTCAATCAATTTTATGTAGGTCAAAGTGTCTTAACCTCTTTCTGTGTATAAACATTATAATGTTTGTTTCCTTATCAGACTATTTTAAATTCTTGATTTTATCTTACAAAGGAATGTTTTCAAAAAATGTCAAAATTACTTTATGAATACTCATGTAAAATTTCTAATTTGGTCTGGTTTTAATGAGTCATTTATATATTTCAGGGTTCAGGCGTATTCATTCCACATGAATCGTTGATAAATTTACCAGAGCTACTCTATACAAGAATTACTGTTATGGATAATTTTTTTACACAAAACTCATCTGAAGAACCAGATGATATACCGCAAACTGAAAATTTTGTGTGGATCTTAGGTAGAAAGTATAGTGCCAAAAAAGGTAACTAAAATCATCTATAAATAGATACGATAAGTTTCAGAACTTATAGGTATTATATAAACTTAAAAATGTTTTTATTTAACAGATATAGATGCTATTCGAAAAGACATTAGATCTAGACTTTGGTTTACTTACCGAAAAGGCTTTGTTCCTATTGGAGGATTTGGCTCCTCATTCACATCAGATAAAGGTTGGGGATGTATGTTAAGATGTGGTCAAATGGTCTTAGGCCAAGCTCTAGTTTCTTTACATTTAGGTATGACAGTTTCTTTCACAACAATATGGTTGAAACAGTTTTTAATCATTTAATTTAAAAATAATAGGTAGAGATTGGAGATGGACTCCGGATACCAAAAGCAGCACATATTTAAACATTTTAAGAAGATTTGAAGATAGGAGAGCTGCTCCTTATTCTATTCATCAAATAGCACTAATGGGTGCCTCTGAAGGAAAGGATGTAGGCCAATGGTTTGGTCCCAACACTATTGCCCAAGTATTAAAGTAAGTTTCTTTCTAGAAGTATTTTAATAAAAATTTGTTAGAAATAATATTTGACTTTTTTTATAGAAAATTAGTTGTATATGATGACTGGAGTTCTATTACTATTCATGTTGCACTTGATAATGCTTTGGTAATAAATGATATTGGTAGGTGTAACAGTACTCGTTATTACAATATCTTTATAATTGTTCACTTATTGATAGTAATTATTAATGATTTGTTTTGATTTACAGTTAGGCAATGTCGAGTGGAAGGAGCAACTACAGCAGAAGTTGATGGGGAAAAACCTTTAAAAGCTCCTAGTCAATGGAAACCATTACTATTATTGATACCTTTGCGATTAGGATTGAGTGATATCAATCCTATTTACATCAATGGCCTTAAAGTATGCTACTAGTCTTTGAACCTAATAGTTACGACTGGATTGGTAATTTAATTAAAAAATCTTTTCAGACTTCTTTTCAGTTTCCACAATCCTTGGGAATTATTGGTGGAAAACCAAGTCATGCTTTATATTTCATAGGATATGTTGGTTAGTTGATATATTTTTTATTCAAAAACATATCGTTTTGATTTTGGTTATTGATGCAAATTGTACATTTCAGGAGAAGAAGTAATTTTCCTAGATCCACATACAACTCAAAAAGCAGGCAGCGTAGATCAAAAATCTGATGATAATGAAACAGAATTTGATGCTACTTATCACTGCAAAATTGCCAGTCGCATACCAATGACAGAAATGGATCCTTCAGTTGCTCTTGTAAGATCATTGAATGTGTTTTTTTCTACAGTTTTATTAAGTTAAAATTCAATAATTAAATATTTCAGTGTTTCTTTTGCGCCACTGAAAAAGACTTCAGATCACTATGTAGGTTAATGCAAGATCAGTTAATTTCAAATGAAAAGCAACCTCTCCTTGAGATATGTGCTGAAAGACCAACTACTTGGTCTCCAGCTGAAGATGTGGCATCAGAAGCATTGGGAGCCACAGCATCCACATGTAAGAATGTGTACTATATTTAACAATATTATTCAGTGTTAAAATTCAACTGAATAATTAACGTATTAATTTAATTTTTATTTTTTAATTTACGAGTTTTAATTTAAATTTAATTTTTCATTAACAGTTTTAGGACCAACATCCGATGACGGTTTTGAACTACTTGGTTGACAATCAATACATTAATTTATAAATGATCTTCACATTGAATACTTATTGAAGTGATTACGATAATTGATTATTTTATCACTTTATAAATCACCTAAAATAGTAAGTATAGCATGGCAGCATGATTATTGGAAAAAGTTAACGAATGTATAATACAGCAAGGTTAATTGTAATAACTTAGGTAAATTAAATTATCATGTTAAAAATATCTTTTTCTGAAACTGAAATTTTGTAAACAATATTTAAAAAGAATTCAGATTATATCAGGAATATAAGTCAAATGCTATGGTTTCAGTTAATGTACATATTGCTTATATTTATACACACTGCATAAGATATATTTTGATTGGACTGATAAACGACATTACTATATTATATAGACTGTCTATGAATAATATAGAATTTGTAATTATAGTTTATCAAGTAGACAATTCGTTTCAATAAGTTAATATTCTGTGGTTTGCATAGTTATTAAGAACTTTAATGCAAAGACATGAAAATATTACTTGAATACATGTTTCACGTTTGTTGAGTGTTCATCTTGCATAATAATCAAGGTATTTTTTTGCTCTTGTAGCAACTTGTTGACATCTTCAACATTTCTTTCATACTCATTTACTCATTTTACGCGATTCGCCTCAAAAAGATAATATAAATATCAAAATGTAATCACAATGAATAATGTATCGATCAACATTGGTTGAAGAGAAAAAAAATTGATAAGGAAAAGTGATTTTGTTTATTTTTATTTTATCATCAACATTGTTTAAATATAGCACTGACACGAAATTAAAACCGCTATACAAGAATTTGATAAAAGAAAAATCAACGTAATAATTTTTCGTTGAAAAGTCAAAAATATTACGGTTAATTAACTACGAGCTAGAAAGTTTAAATGTATCAGAATTAATTGTTGTCACTATTTTTTAAGCAGATTTTTAAAGTTTGTAATATTGTAAGTCTAGATTAAACAAAAAAGGAATTTCTTCAAAATAAAAAATGTGATTATTCTTACTTATTAAAATAGCATTGATTATATACATTTATGTATCGATATGTACGTGTTTATTTTAAATATAATTTTTCTACTTTCAATTCGGAAAATATTTCGGAATAAAATCCATATTTTTTGCATTCGTATTGTAATTATCATTTTATATAATAATAAAATTTTTCACTGGTGATCTATACACCAAATTGTGTTGTTTTTTATATGGTTGAGTACAGAAAAAGTATCCACAATTACTTCATCTGATAGTATTAAAATTTTACGATATACATTCTAAAAAAACAAATATTTTTTAATGACATCAATTACTGAATATGAGTCGGGGAGAAGAGGGCCATAAAAGACATAATCGTTTGAAATATTATAAATGTACAGATTATCATTAGTTATCACAATAATTTTACAATTATAAAAAAGCTGTAAATGAAATAAATTTGCAGGAATGCAGCTCGTAAGTAATAAATGTATACTGTGGATAAAGAATTATGTCATTAAAAACTCGTACATTAGCGAAAATAGCCTTTATTTATAAAGCAAATACATATTGCAAACATTTCAAAAAGTTAGAAACTTTTCAAAAACATTAGTAATCGTGACTAAATGACTTTAAAAATAAACTGTTATTTATGAAACGGTAATGAAAAATTACAAACGTTTTTCGTCTAATTCTCTCGTACCGTTGTTGCTGCGACTTTTTAGATTTATCACAAGTACCGTTATGTTATCTAAAGAACCTCTGAACAAAAAACATTTATGTAATATTTATATCATTTTTACATAATACACACAAATGTTTAATTTTTTTTGTTAATCACCTGTAGAAGCTTTGTAGCGTAATGCTTTTGGCTCCAAAATGTGGTTCGTTGATGCGCTCCTTTATGTAAGCAACGGCTTCTTCGTTCGAAAAAGTATCCCATAAACCATCGGAGGCCAATACGATAAACATTGGATTGTGATCATCCAAGTCAAATGTTAAAATATCTGGATCAGCTATTACTAATTTTTTATTTTTTAATGGGTAATCTCCTAATGCTCGCGAGGTAGCTAATATACCGGCAACTCTCCATACACCGTTAAACGTCACGACACCGCCTGCTTTGTTTATTCTATTTTTTTCTCGTTGCTATAAAAGAATAAAGTGAGTGAATCTTATTTGAAGCTACTGTTCAGTTTCATCGGCAGTTAACAAGTAATTTGAATTTATAGAATTAAAAATAAAAATTTTGTTATAAATCGCAATATCTACCTGCTGAGGTTTGTGATCAAAAGATAAAGGAATAGCATTCCCTTTTCCATCACACATAACACCTCTGGAATCTCCTACATTTGCTACAATTAACTTATTATCTTCTAAAATTGCTATTAATGCAGTTGTACCTACAAAAAGCTTACGATAGAATAAAATTTTTACATAATTACTGATTAGAATTCAAAAAAATAAATGTACCAGCAAGATCCTTATTCTTTTTAGCAGCTTCTATTAAAAGACTATCTATTTCCAGAACTTGATCAGTCAATAATTTTCCATAGTTTATTTTATTTCCATCTAAATAACTTCTAATATCAATTTTCGGGCGAGATTTGTTCTCATTGAATTTGTTTGGTCTTACCTAATGAACAAAAATATTTGCTTAGAATGCACTGGTAAATTGATTCAATAAAATTTTTCAAGAGAATAATTACTTCTCTAGTAATCGTCTTTGAAATACTGTCAAGTTTATCCAATAATTCTGGATCTGTGATTCCAATACTGTTCTTATTAGTATAATCATCTGTACTTCCAGTTTTGCGCAACAATTTTTTCTTTCTGAGTAAATTAAGATCTATATCATTTGGTTCTTGATTTTTTGAATCACCACTTTGTCTTGTTTCAGCCTTTTCTATTTTTTCGATAACTTTTCCAGATAAAATGTTCTTTAGTTCAGTTACTTGTTCACTAATACTAGGAACTAGTTTATCACGAGCATAATTTGCTGCAAACTGTAATTTCATTGTATTCAGTAAATTTCAGCAAAAAAGTTTTTTAAAATAATAATAAAATAATCATGTAAAATAATTAGAACATTAAAACTCACCTCTCCACCATGACCATCAAATATGGCAAACAAAGAAACACCTGTATTGTTTATATCATGATTAACAACAAAACGATCCTCCATATGGCTTCTGTGTCCTTGGACTGCATAAGCTGCAGTGTTGCCTTGTTTAAATTCCCAATTGAGTTTTCCACTTGAGGAATCAACAAGAAATTGGAACTTTCGTACCTATGATCAAAACACTTATTTAATAAAAGATTTCACAATTTATTGAATTTGTTGAATCTTTAAAAAAATCTACTTTTTCTTATATTTAAGATAAGTTAAATAAACTACCTTAGACTTAGTATGACCAAATTGATGTTGAATCTGCCTTAAAAAAGCTCTACTCCAAGCATCAACTGTTTGCAAATAAATAAAGATTGCTAGCAGTATGATACCAAACAACAAGATTTCTGGTTTTAGAAAATATGATTTTGCTATTCTCCATACTTGACCCATTGGTGTATTTATTCCTACAGTAGGTATACCCACTACAAATTTAGATATCAATTTCATGTGAGACAAATAAGTCTGAAAAAAACGAAAAATATTGTGTATGATGAATTATGTATTGAAAATAGATGTGATATAGAGCTTTTCAATTATTCACGCTTTTCTTTTCTAAAATAGAGGTGAAGTTATTTAAAAAGTACTTACAGAAATTACATAGAATACGTTTTTCAAGTGATATTTATAACACGTGACACATTTGCCCATTTGTAAATTCAAACACTTTTTCAATTGCAGTCTTGAGCTTATTTTTACTCAAAACAAATGTGAACACATAAATGAACACACATATGCTCATTGTCAGAGTCTATAAACAGACGTTTGAATGCAAATTGTAGATAACGTAGAAAAGTGCAAACAATTTTGATAAAGCGTAATTTTACGTAAGTCGATTGTTGATCATTATTTATAACTTAACCTCAAATGCAAACGAATACAACTTAAAAAACAGAATTGAATTTACTTGTGTATCAACATTACCTGATATAAAGTTCTGTCTTCTAATTCATCATCCATATTATATAATTAAAACTTGATCACATTACGTTTGCACTGCTAGAAGTTTTATTAAAAAACACAGTTCGATTATAAATATTGCAACTTTTGAATTGCATCTAAATCGATAATAAGATAATCAGAGTACAATATCAACAACATTGTAAATCACTTCAGTCAATTACACTAATATCTAATCTCTTGTCTCGAAATGATTGACAGATATTTATGAAAAACAAATTAAAGCTATCCATAAATGATAAATTTCGAGATGAACAATAAAAAAGGAGCACTACACACCCGAACTAAATCAGCTGACGACTATAATATCTAGGGATTGGATCGAAATAGCCCTGGCAGAAAAATTATTGATTAAAAAAAAAATATACTATTAGCTTTGTCTTAATTTGTACCACCCGAAAATTGCTATTTTGGAATTTGTACCCCCCAAAAATTAAAAAAAAAAGCGAAAAAAACGATATTTCGGAAAACTCATACTCCTGGCAGAAAAATGATTGATATCATAAAAGAAAAAAATACCACTAGATTCATTTTTATTTGTACCATCAAAAAAATGCTTTTTTGAAATTTGTACCCCCTCTAAAAATAGAGAAAAAAAAGATTTTCGTAGGGTAGATTAGCAATTCAAACTATCGTATTACTGCTTATGCGCGGCGGAAAATCTATCTTCCAACAGAAAAATATGTGATTTAAAAAAAAAAATATGAATGCCTTCTTCTTAATTTGTACCATCTAAAAAATACATAAAACTAATTTGTATCCTTGTAGAATTTGAATAATACAATGTTTTTTGTGTAATTGTAATATTGATAAATTTTACAGGAAAATCTTTTATTTCTTAAGAAAAAAATATATTTCTAGCTTTACCCACTGAAAATAGTTTTATTGTAATTTTTACACTCTAAAATTTAATTAGACATGTTAATATACAAAGTCCTAAGTTAACATGTGTTCTTAAACTCCTCAAAAACAGCTGATTCTCGGATGATAGAGTAGAAAACTCTGATAGGAAAAATAATTATTTCTAAAAACAAAATACACCACCAGCCATGCTTAACCAATAACAGTCGAAAAATAGTTATTTTGGAATTTGAACCCATCGAAAATATTGAGGAAAAATTATTTTCGTAGTCTAATTCGACGATTCTAATTTCGTGTCTTCCGCGCTGCGGAAAATCTCTTTTCTCGGCGGAAAAATCGTGAAATTTTAATGTATTAGATTATAAATGTCTTCTTCTTAATTTGTACCATCTACAAAATCCAAATAAATAATTTTTGGTCTGGTGGTACGTTCGGCGCTACAGTTTTAAACAACAGTTACTTTTGCTCCCTACCGGTAGTGTTGGTACTAAATAATCAAACTAGATATTTTTAGTGATGTTACTAGAATTGCGCTTCGCGTCCATATCCGTCCGCATCCGTATGTACCTATGTGATAAAATGTCCGGGGCCTGTATGATAAAAAATCGCACTAAACTAAAGCAGGAAGAGGTTTATCTTTGCCTGCAGTGATTTTAAAACATCAAACGATATTTTCGTGCATTGTCGAGCCTCGTTTATTGATTGCTAGTTTCCAGCTAGTTTCTTACTATTAAGCTTCCGTGAAAAGACAGATAAATATTGGGCTTAAAAAGTCTCAAAATTGTTTTATAGTCATTACTTTACTTTATACTTAATCAACAGTTGAACAACTCATAAACGTTTACATGATGGAGAGAATTAATATTGACAACCTCAGGGTGAGACAATTTTATTGATTGACATTAGATATTTCATTTTATGAATATGAAAATTTATATACATTTTATGCACAGCATGTCATTGTACAATACATTATAAATCTTGTTTCCTTTTTCTATCCTGTGTACGCCCTGTGTATGTCTGAGCATTTACTGGATAGTATTTTTAAATAATATTTAAAAACATTTTCAGGCAGCTATTTATTGGTCAGCAGTAAAATATCAACAAAATTTTTATGAACTTAGCAGTGATTGGAACAGTTATGATCTTGATGAGCATATATATCTAAAAAAATATATCGGTTATGCCTTGTATGGTCCACCAAAAATTGATGTCGACTGTCGATATCTTATAGATGATTTTTATGCTTATGAAGAACAAGCTATGACTGTAATAGAGTCAATTTATGATCAAATTGTTAAGCATGGTACACAATTAACTAATAAAAAAGAGGTGCTATGTAGTGTATTGTACATTTGTATTTATGATGAAACATCATTGCGCTATTGTGATGAGTCCAAATTGAATGAACAAATATTTATCCATCCAATTTTTAAAGTACAAAAATGTATAAAGAAAAATGGTATACTTACTTATGAAAATTGGTATGTTGACAATGAGGCACGATTTTATAAAAGTTGGAGACAATTTTTGCAAAATAATAATATGCCAACTAGTATGATGATAGTTCCAAAGGATGGATTTTATCAAGGAAATTTAAAAGAGACATGGTGTGAAACATCATGTCCTGTATGGGTTGAAATACATAATAATAATAATAAAAACAAAAAAATAATAAATGCTATTGACGCTGTAAGTACTCTTGCCAGTATTGGAACTGTTGGAATTGGAGTTGCTGCTATATTCAATCCTATAACTGCACCAATTGCCATAGCAGGTAATTTTTATGTTATTTTATATTATCTGTGTACTGAGACATGTATATAAAAATATTAAAACTGTATTTTTAGGTGCTGTTGGAGGAGTACTATCAGGAGTATGGGGAGGTAGTAGAGCAGTAAATGAATTAGTAGATAGAAAGATTCATGGACAGTCTATCGATGTTAGGAATAAGCAAGCAATGCCAGCTTGGTTTGGAGCTGTAGGCAGTGCTCTGGGCCTAGCTGCTAGTGGTGGATCTGCTCTGCTTTCTAAAGCAATACGTACTGGAACTTCTATTAGTAAAGGTGCTCAAATCACCCATGATGTAATTATGATCAGCAATCTTTCTGTAAATTCCATTAGTGTTGGATATAACTCTATGCATCTAGTTCAACAGTATAAACAAAACGGAGAAATATCCGTCAAAGATGTATTCTTGTGGTCTGCTCATATTTTATTTATTTGCAACTCTGCTGTAAATATGAGATTTGCATTAAACATTATTAAATCAGACCAAAATCAAATTTTGAAGGATTTTGAAGAAAGTCTTCGTAGTAACAGACACAGAAGAGAATTCCGTCGTTTGGTGCGAAATACTGGAGCCAATATATCCGATGAAGTTTCTAGAAATGGACAAATAATCAAATCCTTAACGAAAATCAGCAATAAAGATGAATTTTTCGCAACTATAGTTCAAAATCGTAAGCTCTTTGCTTTTACCAACACACAATTGTCATTTACCGATGGCCAGATCCAAATAAATGGTGTATCTCTGCTGAGTCCTTCCACCTTTACTTCAATGTCCAAGGAGAATATTGTAAGTTTGATAAAGCAAGCGACAAAAGGGGTTCAAAATACAAGCAAGCCTTCAACTTCTAATAATTCATTTGTATCAGCAAAGCCACTGATATCTGGAGTGACTCTCGTTCGCGATTTTTGTATTGAAAATTTCAAGTACCTAAACGGATCTATACCAATCAGCGTTAAATTCGAAAACGATATGAAATTTATGTCAGCGAAATCATTAATTACCAATTTGGTGATAGACACGATGAAATCTATTATCAGGACAATGAAAAATGATTCTTACACATATGAAGATATTATAAATAATTTGGTTGAAGATATTTTAAATTTTGTTTGGGATGTGATAAAAATGAACTTTAGTCTTAATTATCCACGTGCTTCTATGTTCTTGGAGGCGTACCAAGATTTATTCGTGAAAGTTGTACAAGAGACTAACCAGTATATCGTAACCAATACAAAAGAATGGATCCGTGCTTTTCATAACTGGAAGTCAGGTTCAAGCAAATTTGCCAAGGAAATACAGGGTTCTAATTCCGAATCTAAGAATACGGATTCACAACTAATATACGAAGATATGATTATAGTAGATCCTTTAGAAGTTATGGGTTTACCACATGACATAATAAAAATACTTATACAAGACGCGTTGAATTCGAATGGCTCTATGTTAAATGTAGGAAAACAATTGTCCATAGAAATGATTGAACTATGTAAAGCAGAATTGAGTGAGTTCTTTTTCAAATATCCAGTCCCCTTGGATTGCAATATAACTGATTTAACAAAATATTTAAATGGTCTACTAAACGATATACAAATTTTCGCGAAAAAAGATATTATATTTTATAAACTAGTCGTAATTTCCACGAATATTGCGCGAAAAGCCACAATAACAAGTACTTTGAAAAAGGATATTTTTGTAGAAGCGATGAAATTCTTGTGGATCCTAATTAACATCAATTTCCAACAAATTCCAACAAATACACCACGAGGCATCAGAATGTTCAATCCCAATAATGAGGGGTATTTGATTAAAATTATTATAGCAATGTATAGATGTGAATTAACTGAATCCGAAAAATATTTGCATGCCTTCCACAAATACAGAGCTATACATCATAAGTAATAAGCTATATATCATAAGTATCATGCATATAATTAGTATAATAAGATGTAATATTGTTTCACTATATTATTTTCATAATTCACTAAAGTAGTTGTCATTAAATGTTGTTATTATTACATGAAATGATGCATGTGAGATATATCACAGCTCAATGTGAAATTTTATATAAAACTTTTATAAAAATGTTATATAAAACTTAATTATTAAATTTTATTAAATGAAGAAAATCGATGAGGTATACCTAGGATCTGTCTATTTTGTAATAGTATTTTTAAATAACATTTAAAAATTTATATAAATATATTTATATTAGTGATACTAAATTTACTTGTTCGAAGTGATTCTCAAAGATTTTTTCACAATTTTTCGAAGTATAGGTTAAAAAGTCGCAACTATCCAAAATTTGCACAACTACTTCTGCAAGGCAGACATATCAAATCTTCTACACTGTAATATGTCAACAATATTTTTATAAAATCTTCAATAATATCAAGAAACAAATGAGGAATTATTTCTTGGAAGTACAAATTCGAAGTAATCATGTAATGATATATAAACTTATAGAATAATAAAGCCTTGACTTTTGTAAAGAATATCAGAATTTATTTGTGTAGAGTATAAAAATTTCAATAAAAACATTCAATAAGCTTATATTCTAATCTAAATTGATTTATTACTAATCGTGCAATAACTTAACTTATTTAGTTAACGTGGATCTTCGCCTCGGAATCGACCTTGCTTTCTTTGACAATGAGAGATGTCGAGGCTACCATATTACTCATAGAAATATTTTTTCCATTGTATTCGTTTAGGTATTGAACTTGAACATCATCGCCCATCTCTGTAATCATTATAACAAGGTAAGATTAATGACTTGTTTTGACAAATTGTGCAATCGCAGCTATTTGTATATATAGTACAATTAATCCTACTTATGAGTCGTATAACACTAGCATTTATATGTGTGTGTGTGTGTGTGTTTATCCTATTTTAAATAATTTCACATGCATGCAATTTAATTTCGCTATATTTTATTCGTTTCTGCATTATAATTTTCATACATTTCAGCAAGCATTTGTAGGTGAATACATATATATAACCGCAGTTAGTTACCGCGGTCAATTAGTCGTTTTGAATATTTCATTTCATTTCGATTTTAGTCGTTTCGCGCATCTCTGAATCATACGTATGGTACTGACATATATTCTATTACGCATGGTCAATTTACAGCACCAATTTTAACTTTTCTCTAATTTGCAATGCCCTGCTGTATTTGAATCTCTGTCGGTCTCGGTGCTCTGTCGCCTTATTCTATCTAACTCGTTCTCGCTTAGTCTGTTTCACTCGCTCTTATTTAATGTCTTACTCGCTCCTGATTATAGTGTATGCTTAGGGAATATTACTCCAAACAATCTAAAGTTGAGTGCCTAACAATCCAAAGCAGTATTTTTTTTTAAAGTTGTTCAAATATCGACGTCGAACGAATTTTCATTTGTTTCCCATCGAGTATCGGTCTGGGACATTGTTTGTAAACAATACGAATTTAAATAGACACCGTGTTTTTTGCCGTTTCTCGGCTTCATATTGATCGTAAATCATAAAAGATCTTTTTTTTCTGTTTGGAATTCTCCGTTAAACGAGCTGTCGATGGTTAAAATCGATTAATTGGGTAAGTAGTTATTAACAAAAAATTATTAAAAACTACACTTTTTTCAATAACTTTTTTACTCGCATTAAACAATATAATTAAAAAAAAATCCTGTCATTTGAAGCGCTACCATCGAAGGAACATGTGTATTTTTTTTTAATCGAAATTTCGCATAATTCGCGAACTGTAACATTAATTACACAGCAAGAGTCACAAAGGACTTAGTGGCAAATTGCTCTAACTTGCATAAAAAACATCGTATGGCAATCGCCGACATGCCGTTGGATTCGTTTTGAATTGCTCTTTCTGTATCTACAAAGAAAAGTAGTCATTTCTGTTTGTTTATTGTTGAAAAATCAATTAGTAATATGCTAATATTCTACACGACGTAAACAATTATATATCTTTGTCGATTTTTTTACATTGATTGGCAACGTATACCTCTCAATTGCTGATTCAGCAAGGTTGAAGTTGATAAAAAAATGGGCTCTCTATTTCATCAGAACTAAAATTACGCAGAATTTGAGATTTTTTTTTTTTTTTTTTTTTTTTCAAAAATTCGCAGCACGTTTAATTATTGAGATTAAAAGACTTGTTTTAGTCTTCAATTTAACTGTTAATCTCTATGAATCCCTATTTTATACATTTTAATAATTTGTTCCATTGTAAAAATTATTGCAAAATCCATGCACGGTATCTAAGTCGGCGTGCTAGTTGGTGGTGGGGGTAACGTGCTTGGAAACTGAACAGGCAGCTTAAATTTCACTGCGCGGAAACAATTTTTATTTTCTCGCCAACTATTCATCCGATTTGAACAATTTTTTTAAGCGAGGGTAGCTTTGAAAAATATTAACATTAGGTACAATCACTCAAATTCTCAATCAACTCAAATTCGTTAGTTACAATCACGAACACTTAATTTTTTAAATGAGAATCGGAAATTTCTTTGGATTTTTTTTGTCATAAACTTGAGTTTTTAACTACAAAATAATATTCAATTAATACGTCGACGTATTTTTGTTTCAATCATTTATTATATGTTACAAGCTTACACTTTACATAACTAAATCAAACGTGAAATGACAAATGAAACGCTTATTAAAACTATTAAAAACAAACTTGACTCATTAAAACTAAAGCGCACGCATTATTTATAACAAACAGCTAAGTTGTTCTATTTTTCGATAAGATACTGCCAATCTCATCACGGCTATATTGCCTTTTTCTTTCGATATTATTTACAACATTCGCTGAAGAATCATCATCATCGAGACTTTCGTTCTCACTTTTGTCATCATCGTATTCATTGTCCTGCAACTCAAGTTCATCGTCTTCTAGCAAGTCCGGTTCGATAGAGCTTATGAAATCGTCAGCAAAAGCTTCTATCTGACATCTGAAAAGACTAAAAGTATTTTCATCTACGTACACTAACGCTTACATAGTTCGTACAATTATCAGCGCAACTGCAGCACAAAGGACTTCAGTGAACTCCATTCTTACGACAGTTGCATGACTGATTTACTTTTATTTGAGAATGTGGGTTTTAACAAATAAGAGCTTAAAGTCCATCCCTAGTCCACGGCTTCTTTTTCTTAGCCAAGTCACTTCTGGCACTTGATGATAAACGCGTAAATAATGTTGTTTAGCAGCTACTTCCGTGGGGGGAAGTTATTCTAACTTTGACGATTTTACTTTTACAGCGCTAAACTTTTTATACCTGAGATCATAGCAAGAGATTATAGCAATAATTATTAATAAAGTTAATTCAAGAAAATATTATTTTAAAAACTTGAAATCATTTATTTGATGGGCAGAAAGAAAGGCAAGCCTGTACGAAAGCAGCGTCTGTTCTTTACTAAAAACATAATGCCTACACAGGTCATATTTATTAAATCCAGTTTACGACCATTCCCGACATCGACAATCGTCACCAATCTCCCACACCATGCAAATTGACATTTGCTACAGCCTTATAGTTTTCTTTCTCTTTCAAAAGAAAGAGAGAGAAAGATAAATAGATTGATTTTTGTCTTTTAGTGAGTCATACAAATATATACGCAAGCATTCCAACAGATGCTTTTTTTTGTCTTTCTCATTATTCCGTCTTTAAACAACGACATTTTATAGGTTGCAAGCTCATATTCTAAGTATTTTTTCTTTCATCGTCACCGCGGATGTTAATTATCATACTTTGATCAATCAAACTCTCATCTACAGTTAATTCCCACCATCTATTTTGACAGAAGAAGTGGCAGCTTTTAACGGAATTACTTTATTTTTCCTAGACATTTTGATCGAACCAAACGACTCTTCCATCTTATTTATTGCGTTATAACCGTTTTCGAAAACTCTTTAACAGTTTATAGTATCATTTCCAATTACACCAGTTGTTAACTAAATAATGTTGTCGATTTGAGAAAATGGGTTGTGGTTATCAAAAAACGTCAATAATTTTTTCAAATCGGAGTTATCGCTACAAATCCTCGCATTTGATGTATCAAAGTCCTGTTCGGAGATTTGATATTCTATTTTGCAATACTTTTCCATAAAACCAACGATGTTGACTAATGAAATAAACGACAAGATCCAATGACTTATCACGCTTTCAGATAATTCGCGACCGTGAGTCAAACTTTCGAGACTTTTCATTGATCTCATAAGCATTTGTTCTATCGTCATATCCGATAACCGAATCGAAATTTCTCTGTTTGACGAATAGTGAAACATCCCATGTTTGTTAAAGAAAATAAGCCATCATAGTGAAGTTTCTCAAGAAGCTCAATTGTGTGGCCTATAGATGGGTTTTTTACACTTAATTCAGGTGCCTAGTCCTTGGGTGTGGCAATCGAATTCATTTACTTTTCAAATGCACCACTTCATGGATACCTGAAGCTGAACGCCCACGATAACAGTAATATGCATTGGCTCCACTTAATATTGATACTTGAAATATCCATGTGTGCCAAGAAATTCGCATAGTTTGTCATTTTGCTGATGCATAACACAGCTGACGACTTGTAGGTGGTGGGATATTGTCTCGAATAACGATGCATAGAGAAACCTGCGAAGCAAACCAAATTTTGCATCCAAGTTTCGTCCCGGCGAGTATGCGTCATTTAGCTCAAGTGACGCGTTCCGTTACGGATTCGACATTTCATATTCCGACGCGGTTCGATTAAATCAAGGACAACGTAAGCGCGCAAAGTTCGCGTTTTTACTGTTGCGCAATTGCATCCAATTGCATTGAAATGGAAAAAGAATATCGAGAATTTCTTTCGAGGCTAGATCTCGATTCGAACTGAATCGCGTTGGAAAAATATGTTTCTGGTCGATGGATCCACCTTACGTCGGCTGTTGTTGCCTTTTGCGTGTATTCGCGCAATCCATTAGCGCGTAAGCGTGCTAATCGTCCATTCAATTCCGAATGAAAGGAAAGCGAAAAATAATCATTGCGGTTTAAGCAAAAAGCGTGTATCTGCGAAAGATGCAGTTTTTCTCGTCGCGATTACATAAGTTTGCTTGCAAGTACACAAGGTGTTAACCGAACGACCAACCGGTACGCATTGATCTCGACTCACTTGACATCGGAACGCGAAGCTCGTCGTCCCGTCTTTACGATCTGTCGGAAGTTCACTGGGCCGTGGCAATGCCAGAAAAGGTGGAAATGGCTAAAATATTGGACAACTGGACGGAAGCAAGGCGCGGCGAGTGAGTAGTTGGTGGTTTGGTATAGCCGCGACGTAATATTCGAGGGTACCGTCGAACTGTTATAGCAGCAGCGTCCCCATCGAGGAATCCACATGGCGGTTCTGGAGAAAGCGAAGATACGTGGTCGGCGTGCTGGCGTTCTTTGGCTTCTTCGTGTCGTACGTTCTTCGCGTGAATTTGAGCGTGGCCATCGTGAAGATGACCGCTAATCGCACTCTGACCGACGACAGCAGTGGCCAAGTCCGTCACACGAGCGTCGCCTTTCGAGCTTCGGCTCCGCGGGCACGCGGTCGGCACTGGCCATGCGTAAATTTGTTCGCGTCGTTCGGCAACAGGGAGCCGAGTTCGAGTGGGACTCGAGGCTGCGGGGCCTCGTGCTGAGCTCCTTCTTCTACGGCTACATGAGCACGCAACTCCTCGGCGGGTGGCTCGCATCCCGCGTCGGCGGCAAACGAGTCTTCGGATTCGGGATCGCCGTGACGGCCCTGTTCAGCGTGGTCAGCCCGCCGATAGCCAGATGCAGCGTGTACCTGTTCGTGGCCGTGCGCATCGTCGAGGGGATCTGCGAAGTATGGCAGCTCGTCGAGGTGGACACGTGGATGAACGCGCGGCTTTCTGCACGCAGGGCGTGACGTACCCGTGCATCCACGCGATCTGGGCCAACTGGGCCCCGCCACTGGAGCGCTCCAAGCTGGCCACGCTGGCGTTCTCGGGCAGCTTCGTGGGCACGGTGTTCGCGATGCCCGTCTGCGGGACGATGGCCGAGAGGCTCGGCTGGCCGAGCGTGTTTTACGGATCCGGGGCCGTCGGACTGCTCTGGTACGTGCTCTGGACGATCCTCGTCAGGGACCACCCGGACGATGATCCGCGCATCAGCCGTGCCGAGCTGGAATACATCAAGTACACGCTGGGATCCAGCAAGAACGAGGTACCGCGCGGTCAAGTCCGCGACCTGCAACGAACACGAATGGACGCCGCTTGTCTCGGCAGAGGGTGTCGCACCCGTGGACGGCGATGCTCCTGTCGCCGGCGGTCTGGGCGATCGTGGCGGCTCACTTCAGCGAGAACTGGGGCTTCTACACGATGCTCACGCAGCTGCCGACGTTCGTGAGCGGTAAGCAGCCGCCCGCCTCGGCGCTCGGTCCCGGTTCGCCGAGTACAGCGACCGGCCGGCCTCCGTTTTGCCTCTCGCAGACGTGCTCGACTTCGAACTCGAGAAGGCTGGACTGCTGTCGGCGCTGCCCTACCTCGTCATGGCGCTGGTTCTCCAGTTGTCCGGCCAGCTGGCGGACAACCTGCGCTCGCGCAACGTTTGCAGCACCACCCAAGTGCGCAAGATCTTCAATTGCGGGGCCTTCGTCTGCCAGACCATTTTTATGGCCTGTACTGCGTACACGCTCACGCCTGTCGCAGCAGTCACCTGCATCACGATAGCCGTCGGCCTCGGCGGCTTCGCTTGGTCCGGATTCAGGTACGTAGTCCCAGTTGGCTTGCTTCGACATCCAGACAAACACCCATTTCTCGACTTTTTCAACAGCGTTAATTATTTGGATATCGCCCCGAAGCACGCTAGCGTTATAATGGGCATTGGCCAGACGGTCGCTACGCTTCCTGGCATCCTGAGCCCGCTCATTACTGGTTACATCGTGCGGAATAAAGTAAGCCCTCGCTTTCCCTCACTTCGTCGCAAAGCTCGTCTTACTTTCCATTGGCCGTATCCTTTTAGACGCCAGAAGAATGGCAAAAGGTCTTTCTGATATCCAGCGCAGTTTACTTCATTGGGGCGCTGATATTTGGGATTTTCGCTTCTGGGGAAAAGCAACCATGGGCAGTCTCCGGCAACGAAGTTGATGGAAATCAAGAAGCGCAGATAATCAGTCTGCACTGCAGAAATGAACAAGACTAAACAATAATCATGTAAATAGCTTTATTTCTATTTATACTATTCAAAATTGTCTAAATTTTCTTTTTGTACCCCTCCTATTTATCAAGAAAAATAACATTTTCGTACAGCAATCTTACACATGTAAGTGCTGTCAGCGTAGAGTGGTAAAAAATTATGATTTTGGAGTAAATTTATTTAAAAATTTTTATTACGGCGCAAAAATACTTAAATTGAACGAAAAAAAAATGTTAATGGACTTGAAACTAATTGTACCATTGGAAAAAAAAATATTTTATAATTTGTATTCATCTGAAAAGCGGAGAAAAGACTGACAATCATCTGCTTAAAGATCTATTCTCTTGGCGAGAAAATGTTGCAGTTCCGGAGAAAAAACCACTCAAAGGTATACCTGGTAATCTACATTAAATGTAAAAACAAATATTTTAATTTGTACCCTCCTGTGATGATAACAAAATTCTTTGAGTGCCACTTAGAAGAATACTACTTACTTGCCATCATAGTTAAAGCATTGATTTAGTAATAGAAAATCGAAATAACTAGAAAAATCACATCACGACTAAGGCCCCGGTCACATAGACCCCGGTCCCATAGCTACGTATGAATGCGGACGGATACGGATCGAAACGACCCTGGCAGAAAAATGATTGATTTAAAAAAAATATATATACCATTAGCTTCGTCTTAATTTGTACCACCCGAAAATTCATTCTTTGGAATTTGTACCCCCCCAAAATTTTGAAAAAAAGCGAAAAAAACGATATTGCGGAAAACTCATACTCCTGGCAGAAAAATGATTGATATCATAAAAGAAAAAAATACCACTAGTTTCATTTTAATTTGTACCATCAGAAAAATGCTTTTTTAGAATTTCTACCCTCCCTAAAAATAGAGAAAAAAAAGATTTTCGTAGGGTAGATTAGCAATTCAAATTAACGTATTACTGCGCATGCGCGGCGGAAAATCTATCTTCCAGCAGAGAAATATGCGATTTGAAAAAATATATATATATGAATGCCTTCTTCTTAATTTGTACCATCTAAAAAATACATAAAACTAATTTGTACCTCTGTAGAATTTGAATAATACAATGTTTTTTGTGTAATTGTAATATTGATAAATTTTACAGGAAAATCTTTTATTTCTTAAGAAAAAAATATATTTCTAGCTCTACCGTAAATTTTACTAACAGAAAATAGTGTTATTGTAATTTTTACACCCTAAAATTTGATTAGACATGTTAATATACAAAGTCCTAAGTTAACATGTGTTCTTAAACTCCTCAAAAACAGCTGATTCTCGGATGATAGAGTAGAAAACTCTGATAGGAAAAATAATTATTTCTAAAAACAAAATACACCACCAGCCATGCTTAACCAATAACAGTCGAAAAATAGTTATTTTGGAATTTGAACCCATCGAAAATATTGAGGAAAAATTATTTTCGTAGTCTAATTCGACGATTCTAATTTCGTGTATTCCGCACTGCGGAAAATTTCTTTTCTCAGCGGAAAAATCGTGGAATTTTAATGTAAAAGATTATGAATGTCTTCTTCTTAATTTGTACCATCTACAAAATCCAAATAAATAATTTTTGGTCTGGTGGTACGTTCGGCGCTACAGTTTTAAACAACAGTTACTTTTGCTCACTACCGGTAGTGTTGGTACTAAATAATCAAACTAGATATTTTTAGTGATGTTACTAGAATTGCGCTTCGCGTCCATATCCGTCCGCATCCGTATGTACCTATGTGATAAAATGTCCGGGGCCTGTATGATAAAAAATCGCACTAAACTAAAGCAGGAAGAGGTTTATCTTTGCCTGCAGTGATTTTAAAACATCAAACGATATTTTCGTGCATTGTCGAGCCTCGTTTATTGATTGCTAGTTTCCAACTAGTTTCTTACTATTAAGCTTCCGTGAAAAGATAGATAAATATTGGGCTTAAAAAGTCTCAAAATTGTTTTATAGTCATTACCTTACTTTATACTTAATCAACAGTTGAACAACTCATAAACGTTTACATGATGGAGAGAATTAAAATTGACAACCTCAAGGTGAGACAATTTTATTGATTGACATTAGATATTTCATTTTATGAATGTGAAAATTTATATACATTTTATGCACAGCATGTCATTGTACAATACATTATAAATCTTGTTTCCTTTTTCTATCCTGTGTACGTCCTGTGTATGTCTGTGCATTTACTGGATAGTATTTTTAAATAATATTTAAAAACATTTTCAGGCAGCTATTTATTGGTCAGCAGTAAAATATCAACAAAATTTTTATGAACTTAGCAGTGATTGGAACAGTTATGGTCTTGATGAGCATATATATCTAAAAAAATATATCGGTTATGCCTTGTATGGTCCACCAAAAATTGATGTCGACTGTCGATATCTTATAAGTGATTATTATGCTTATGAAGAACAAGCTATGACTGTAATAGAGTCAATTTATGATCAAATTGTTAAGCATGGTACACAAATAACTAATAAAAAAGAGGTGCTATGTAGTGTATTGTACATTTGTATTTATGATGAAACATCATTGCGCTATTGTGATGAGTCCAAATTGAATGAACAAATAGTTATCCATCCAATTTTTAAAGTACAAAAATGTATAAAGAAAAATGGTATACTTACTTATGAAAATTGGTATGTTGACAATGAGGCACGATTTTATAAAAGTTGGAGACAATTTTTGCAAAATAATAATATGCCAACTAGTATGATGATAGTTCCAAAGGATGGATTTTATCAAGGAAATTTAAAAGAGACATGGTGTGAAACATCATGTCCTGTATGGGTTGAAATACATAATAATAATAAAAACAAAAAAATAATAAATGCTATTGACGCTGTAAGTACTCTTGCCAGTATTGGAACTGTTGGAATTGGAGTTGCTGCTATATTCAATCCTATAACTGCACCAATTGCCATAGCAGGTAATTTTTATGTTATTTTATATTATCTGTGTACTGAGACATGTATATAAAAATATTAAAACTGTATTTTTAGGTGCTGTTGGAGGAGTAATATCAGGAGTATGGGGAGGTAGTAGAGCAGTAAATGAATTAATAGATAGAAAGACTCATGGACAGTCTATCGATGTTAGGAATAAGCAAGCAATGCCAGCTTGGTTTGGAGCTGTAGGCAGTGCTCTGGGCCTAGCTGCTAGCGGTGGATCTGCTCTGCTTTCTAAAGCAATACGTACCGGAACTTCTATTAGTAAAGGTGCTCAAATCACCCATGATGTAATTATGATCAGCAATCTTTCTGTAAATTCCATTAGTTTTGGATATAACTCTATGCATCTAGTTCAACAGTATAAAGAAAACGGAGAAATATCCGTCAAAGATGTATTCTTCTGGACTGCTCATATTTTATTTATTTGCAACTCTGCTGTAAATATGAGATTTGCATCAAACATTATTAAATCAGACCAAAATCAAATTTTGAAGGATTTTGAAGAAAGTCTTCGTAGTAACAGACACAGAAGAGAATTCCGTCGTTTGGTGCGAAATACAGGAGCCAATATATCCGATGAAGTTTCTAGAAATGGACAAATAATCAAATCCTTAACGAAAATCAGCAATAAAGATGAATTTTTCGCAATTTTAGTTAAAAATCGTAAGCTCTTTGCTTCTACCAACACACAATTGTCATTTACCGATGGCCAGATCCAAATAAATGGTGTATCTCTCGTGAGTCCTTCCACCTTTACTTCAATGTCCAAGGAGAATATTGTAAGTTTGATAAAGCAAGCGACAAAAGGGGATCAATATACAAGCAAGCCTTCAACTTCTAATAATTCATTTGTATCGGCAAAGCCACTGATATCTAGACTGACTCTCGTTCGCGATTTTTGTATTGAAAATTCAGAGTACCTAAACGGATCTATACCAATCAGCGTTAATTTCGAAAACGATATAAAATTTATGACAGCGAAATCATTAATTACCAAATTGGTGATAGACACGATGAAATCTATTATCAGGACAATGAAAAATGATTCTTACACATATGAAGATATTATAAATAATTTGGTTGAAGATCTTTTAAATTTTGTTTGGGATGTGATAAAAATCAACTTTCGTCTTAATTATCCGCGTGCTTCTATGTTCTTGGAGGCGAACCAAGATTTATTCGTGAAAGTTGTACAAGAGACTAACCAGTATATCGTAACCAATACAAAAGAATGGATCCGTGCTTTTCATAACTGGAAGTCAGGTTCAAGCAAATTTGCCAAGGAAATGCAGGGTTCTAATTCCGAATCTAAGAATACGGATTCACAACTAATATACGAAGATATGATTATAGTAGATCCTTTAGAAGTTATGAATTTACCATGTGACATGTTAAAAATACTTATACAAGACGCGTTGAATTCGAATGGCTCTATGTTAAATGTAGTAAAACAATTGTCCATAGAAATGATTGAACTATGTAAAGCAGAATTGAGTGAGTTCTTTTTCAAATATCCAGGCCTCTTGGATTGCAATATAATTGATTTAACAAAATATTTACATGGTATACTAAACGATATACAAATTTTCGCGAAAAAAGATATTATATTTTATAAACTAGTCGTAATTTCCACGAATATGGTGCAAAAACTCGGAATGCCAAGTCATTTGAAAACGTTTACTTTTGTATTAGCGATGAAATTCTTGTGGATCGTAATTAACATCAATTTCCAACAAATTACACCACGATGCATCAGAATGTTCAATCCTAATAATGAGGGGTATTTGATTAAAATTATTATAGCAATGTATAGATGTGAATTAACTGAATCCGAAAAATATTTGCATGCCTTCCAGAAATACTTGGTATGTACACATAAGTAATAAACTATATATCATAAGTATCATGCATATAATTAGTATAATAAGATGTAATATCGTTTCACTATATTATTTTCATAATTCACTAAAGTAGTTGTCATTAAATGTTGTTATTATTACATGATATGATGCATGTGAGATATATCACAGCTCAATGTGAAATTTTATATAAAACTTTTATAAAAATTTTATATAAAACTTAATTATTAAATTTTATTAAATGAAGAAAATCGATGAGGTATACCTAGGATCTGTCTATTTTGTAATAGTATTTTTAAATAACATTTAAAAATTTATATAAATATATTTATATTAGTGATACTAAATTTACTTGTTCGAAGTGATTCTCAAAGATTTTTTCACAATTTTTCGAAGTATAGGTTAAAAAGTCGCAACTATCCAAAATTTGCACAACTACTTCTGCAAGGCAGACATATCAAATCTTCTACACTGTAATATGTCAACAATATTTTAATAAAATCTTCAATAATATCAAGAAACAAATGAGGAATTATTTCTTCGAAGTGCAAATTCGAAGTAATTATGTAACGATATATAAACTTATAGAATAATAAAGCCTTGACTTTTGTAAAGAATATCAGAATTTATTTGTGTAGAGTATAAAAATTTTAATAAAAACATTCAATAAGCTTATATTCTAATCTAAATTGATTTATTACTAATCGTGCAATAACTTAACTTATTTAGTTAACGTGGATCTTCGCCTCGGAATCGACCTTGCTTTCTTTGACAATGAGAGATGTCGAGGCTACCATATTACTCATAGAAATATTTTTTCCATTGTATTCGTTTACGTATTGAACTTGAACATCATCGCCTATCTCTGTAATCATTATAACAAGGTAAGATCAATGACTTGTTTTGACAAATTGTGCAATCGCAGCTATTTGTATATTTAGTACAATTAATCTTACTTATGAGTCATATAATACTAGCATTTCGATATATATATATATATATGTGTGTGTGTGTGTGTGTGTATAAATATGTATATATACTCATTATACCCGCTCATCACTGGTTACATCGTGCGGAATAAAGTAAGCCCTCGCTTTCCCTCACTTTCGTCGCGAAGCTTGTCTTACTTTCCATTGGCCGTATCCTTTTAGACGCCGGAAGAATGGCAAAAGGTCTTTCTGATATCCAGCGCAGTTTACTTCATTGGGGCCCTTATATTTGGGATTTTCGCTTCTGGGGAAAAGCAATCACGGGCAGTCTCCGGCTTCGAAGTTGATGGAAATCAAGAATCGCAGATAATCAGTCTGCAACGCAGAAATGAACAAGACTAAACATTTCAAAAAAACAAGCGTAACACCGACGGCTGTACTTTTTTATAAATTTATCGCAATCCATCAACTCGAAAGTTATAGAAATATAGTTTTAGTAAAAATAACGCGTAGAACAATCGCTTGAACTTTAAGTTATGTGACAGTAATGTAGCTTATTTATTTTATACAACAATAACGGTTCATTATTATTTGGCGATTCTAAAGTTAAACTCAACGAGCTTAAGTTTCTTATATAAATAGATGTTTCTTTTTTAAATAGATTTTTGTGCATTAGAGTAATAACTCCGTGAACAGATAATTCGAAGAAATAAACAGCCTATATTGAATTGGGAATCTCTGCAGCGGATGTCGGACAACGGACATAATCGCGGACGTGTATCGAGATTATTGGGGTGAAGAAATTAATCATTTGTTTCATTACACGTCCAGATCTTTCGTGATTGCGCATAATATAATGCGAGCAATGATAAAACGTATAAATCTGCTGTATTATCATTATTAGTGGAAAATAAATAATTAGATTATACGTTTTCACCACGGTATACACTTCTTTCCGACGACGTCCGATGTCTTCTTATTGATGTATATATTATACGAAACCTCCTTGAATGTTAGATCAATAGCAGGGTATTTTGACGCACATTACAAGAAATTTGAAATAAAACCTACGCTTCATTTTAAGGTTTTCTATATAACAGAACACATTGCGCACAGTTGCTGCGTCACTTGCCGTGTAGACGTGAGATGTAAACAATGATTTTTCTTTTTACTTAGGTTAGTCAGTTCTAATGGAAACGGTATGAAAATAATTGAGAATATAGAGTAACTTAATAAATATGTGAATATAAAAATACATTTTCTAATAAGATACTTCAGAGCTGAGCAAATTGATATGGTACGAAGTGCCAAGATTTTGTCATAAATAATCTGTGTTGTAGAATTAACGAGAAAAGATAACCTTCCTTTAGATTTACTTTGAATTATTCAGTTATATATTTATTTCTCATTCATTGTTTCGTACATTTTTATTGCTAATTGATTGAAAAACTAATTTTCATAGACATTTTTCCAATGGAAAAAACCAATAACACTAACCTTTATTAGTAAACTTCATTACTATTTTAGTAAGAAATGAGATATCTACAAATACAAATATCAGTTTAAACTAATCACATCAATTAATATTACTCTGAAACTAATAAATTTAATACAGTTAACATTCTATACAATAACTTAACTCAATAATGTTCTTATAGCACTTACACTTTTTTCAGATTATGAACGATAATAAAGAATAGAGAGAATTAGTTAATATATTGCAGTAACATGTATTGTTTATTAAGATCATTCTTTCAAATGATTTTACAAAGGTTGTCAAGAATAAAACTGAAACATGTCTGTATAGGATTTAGCATAATTTTCTTATTAGATTTTTTTGGAGTTTTCACTCACATGTTTGAATTATCATATGATGAAAAATTCAGTTATCCATATGAAGGTGATATTCATGAATTTGTTGTTGCTTTAAGACATAATAAGAAACCAAGTGTGCCTCCTATCAATATATACAATTATAGCTACATCCATGACATAAAAGACACATGTATAAGAAGAAGTTTTCATCCATTACGTTTAGTATTATTAGTTAAATCAGCCGTTGAAAATTTTAATAGAAGAATGGCAATTAGACATTCATGGGGATTTGAGAAAAGATTTTCTGATGTCTCTATAAAAACTGTTTTTCTGTTGGGTACTCATGAAAATGATGATGAACTACGAACAAGGATTAATACAGAAGCAGTCAAGTATCAGGATATTGTCCAAATTGATTATATTGATTCATACTTCAATAATACCATCAAAACTATGATGGGCTTTAATTGGGCAGTAAACTATTGCTCTAATTCTAAATTTTATATGTTTGTTGATGATGATATGTATGTATCTGTAAAAAATATTTTAAGATTTGTTAGAAATCCAACTTTGTATCCCGAGTACTTGACAGACTCTTTAAAATTTAGTGAGTGTCAATATTCTTTTTTAAAATTACATATGAGCCTTGTAAAAGTAACAAAATTTGTTCATTTGTTTATTTTTTTTACAGGAGATGTTGCACACTTGAAAGATAGGCCAAAAAGATCTGCTACATATAACTCTACAATACTCTACGACAATCAAGTAGATAAAGGTAGGATTCAGACAAACAATTTAAGTAATGAAATAAACAAATTAGATATAGGACATACCAAATTAAGGAACAAAATTGAAAAGAGTGCTAGAATGAAAACAAATAACAAAGAAAATTACAAAAATATAAAGAAGCGACAAGTATTTGATTTTGAATTGCCAGAAGATGTAAGACTGTTTGCTGGCTATGTATTTGTTTCAGCACCACATAGACACAGAACTTCAAAATGGTATATTTCATTGAAAGAATATCCATACCACATGTGGCCACCCTATGTAACTGCAGGAGCTTACATAGTGTCAAAAGAAGCTCTATTAGATCTTTACTATGCTAGTATATACACCAAACATTTCAAGTTTGATGATATATTTTTGGGGCTTGTTGCCAAGAAGGCTGATATAGAACCATTCCATTGCGGAGAATTCCATTTCTATAAAAAAGAATATACAAAATACAATTACAAGTATGTTATTAGTTCGCACGGTTATAGTGATCCAGGTGAACTATTACGAGTATGGAATGAACAAAAAGCAATGGGTAATGCATAATACGAAGAAGACTATAGAAGTAAATAAATATATGGTCCTCTGCATTCCAAAATGTTGAAGCTTATTTCTGAATCTTTCTTTTAGTATTATACAAAAAATCTAACTATGTATATTATGCAACTTAACAAGAAACATCCTGAATATAGAAACTCTAGCTTACAACATAAAAATGCAAGCTTTAAATTTTGAACTCAATTAATATGTGTAGTTCTATAATAACGAATTTTCCTACAAGTGCCATCAATGTCTACGTAGTTTAAAAAATTTATACATCAAATTAGCAGAAAATATTACACCTAAAATATTTTTCTATGTGGCAAATTCATGTTCATGTTTGCTAAGATAATCATTCTAGATATTATAAATGATATAGATTTGAAAATATTTTATTCTTCCTATAGTACATTTATTCAATGCTGTGACTAAATACTTTGCAATTTTTGGTAATAAAAATAATATGTAAAAATCCGAATTAGTTATTTTTAAATTATTTATTATTAGAACGAAACAACCGTTAATTTTATTCCCGTTATAATCGTTTGATTGGTTCAAATTTCTAATTGATGAATTCCGCCGGCGAATCATACAAAGGTTGACCAATGTAAACAGTACGTGTTATAGACATGAACACGTGGGCAAACTGTTACTTTGATATTAAATAAATCATTTGTTTCGTCGATTCAACGTTAAACATCCTTCATTATTCGATTTGTAAGTATGTAAACGAACTTGTGATACACTATAGAATATTTATTATAGATTGTTGATAAAAAGTATTACCATACAAAAAACAAACCAACGTTTAATAGCAAATAATGTCAGTCAAGGACATACAAGTCAATTATTTCCAACTAAATTATTCTTCGAAAAACAAACTTGTTGATAATTTATTAGCAAGAATATTTAAACATTCACCTTTTTCCTGCTATAACCTCCATTACCTATTTAAACAGTTCATAAAGTATAATACCTGATAATCGATTTTTGTAATTGTTTTTCATTGTACTGAAACGAATTTTTATTATAGTTAATTAATATTTAACGTAAAATTTGTTCCGTTCAGTATATATTATTTCAATATAACTGATTAACGTTTGTTGAAGCAAGTTAATTATTACTCAAAAAATACAAGAATCTTAAATATTATTTATAACTAGTCTGATTTTTATGAACTTTATATTAATGTAATTGTTTAATTCAGTCAATGTTATCTATTATGAACAAATTATCAATAAAATTAATTAATAGTGAATATTCTATCATTGAATATTTTAAATTATTTATAGAATGTCAACAATGGACAAAATAACTTCTTTGGTTTTGATGCCCAGAGAATCTGGGAAATTCATTGCTCAATCAGCATCAAACGTTTTTGTCAAAACTGAAGGAGTCAAAGAACTCGCGAGTGAGGTAAACTACTAATTATTTCAATATTACAAAAAAATAAACATTCAACGCAAATAAACACAAAAGTACCATCAAAATATTTATTTTTAGATATTAGAAAACTTAAAAAATGGCCGTATAAGCATCAAAAACTTTTCTCAACATTCTCTTCATCCATCGCCACATGATCGGAAGGTCTTTGATTGGCTATTAGTTTTAGATTCATTGAATTTTTGTTTCTGGAGTGACAAGGCATTGCTACCGAAAAAGTGGAAAGTCAATGGACAATCCGGTTACTTTGCATTGTGCGCTGCAATCAAAAGGGCAGTCGAGGTATGACCACGTTAATACTCATGTATGACAATGTTTTTCAATTAAATTTACTTTATAATATCAACAATAATTATTTAAAAAAAAAATTATTCATAGGAAGGAGTTCCAATAACTGATGCTGCATTTTTATCTAAAGTAACTGAAGAAGAAGTACGCCGTATTTTACGTCCAGATGAGGATAGCGCGGAAACTCCTTTAATGAAGAAAAGAGTCGAAAATTTAAACGAAATCGGACGAGTTCTGCTAGACAAATATAATGGTAAATATTACACACAAAATACTTGGAGTGACTTATATAATGCGTGATTTATATAATGTTCTGATGATGTTATATAATATTCTGATATTCCAGGTACATTTAAAGAATGCGTGAAAGCTTGCAACAACTCGGCAGAAAAATTGTTGAAGTTCATCGTTACCGATTTTCCATGTTTTCGCGATGAAGCTGTGTACAAAAATCAAAGAGGTATTTTTTTTCAATATTTTCGACTCAAAGAAAATGAAATAATTTACAAAATTAACGATTGTTTTTGTCTTCAAGTTTCTTTCTATAAGAGAGCACAAATTTTAATTGGAGATATCTGGGCTTGTTTCAATGGAAAAGATCTTGGAGAATTCAAAGATATTGATTATATTACAATGTTCCCTGACTATAGAGTACCGCAAGTACTTTTACATTACGGAACAATGGAATACAGTCACTCATTAATGGAAAAATTATTATCTGGTGAGTGCTAACCTGAAAACTTTGAAGCTGTTTAAGGTATGATTGAAATAACTTTCAAGTTTGAACTATATTCCATTTGTAGAAGATGAACTACCTCATGGCAGTGAGGAGGAAATAGAAATTAGAGGCTGTTCAATCGAAGCAGTGGAAAGAGTTGTCAAAGAAACTAGATATTTAATTGAAAATGATACAACTTCAGATTTACGTGGATTAGACTGCAATTCCATACTTGTTGATCACTTTCTATGGGACTACAGAAGAAAATATGCTAAAGAATTAGAGACAGTACCGTATCACAAAACGCGAACTATATTCTATTAAATTAATTAAAAGTTAAGAACATTTCCAAAGTATTAAATTTTTCGTCAATAAAAAATGCACATAACAATTGAGAAAAGTACTATCGATAAGAAGGTAATTGTGACGCATGTAATATTGTATTTTTGTATTTCTTATAAACAATAGTTTAAAAGTTATAAAATTTTTGTACATTCTTATAAAATTTTTATATATATTGATGACTAAAATAGAAAATAAGGAATAATTTTCTGAATTACAAAGTTGAACACAAATATATACGAAGTGCGTAACGTACAGAATTTGTCCATGCAGTAATGAGGACTTAGCCTATCTATGCTTTGTTATAGTGCATCGAAAGTTGTTAGTAAAAAATAGATTTACTTTTTTGCCTTGTCATACACCGAACTTAACGTGGTACTTAATGTGGAAAAATCAGTCTTGACATTATGCTGTACTCGAGTGACTACTTGTTGTACCGCTTATGGCATTGAATAGAGCGGCACTGTTGCGTTTAAAGCTTATAATATTCTCGTTAGGCCACACTGGTTCACCCAAAATAGACGATAGGTTCTGACAAAACTTTTGAAAATTCTCACGTAATGCTTCTTGATATTCGTGTTGGTCACAGCTAATTAATTTGCTGTTGATTTGAAGAGCTGTGTAACAAATTTTTACGAATTCTCTGCAAAGAAGTTAAAAAATTAGAAATCTCTCCAAAAGGCATGTAATAATCTTATTGAGTTAATTATATACTTGAAAACATCTTTCAGTTCTTGAACTAAATCATCGGGATACTGTGCAGAACTAGGAGGATTCAAAAAGGCATTAGCATAAGCCAGAGGACCTGCGTTTACGGTTACGCAAATACTGCCTTGAAGTTTTAATTGTAGCTTTTTAGCATCGCACGTACCACTAGTTATGGCAACGTCTTGTAATTCTTGTACTCTTTGTCTCATCTCGTCTAAAGCTACTTGTATTGGACTTAATTCTATTATCTTTTTATGAATTACTTGAATACGTTTTTTGGCATACGGAAACGAATATTCAGCTGCAATCAATTAAAAAATTAATATTGTTAACAAAAAATAATGCTAGAATTAAATAGTCCATAGCATCAATTAATACTTGTGACAATAGTTCGTCGTTTCCACTGATCTTCGGGTTTGCCTGTTGTTCTATTTCCATCCTGTGTGAATGGAGTTTCAAACATGAAACACGATATGTCATGATTACGCTCGAAATCGGTCAAACGATTTTCAAGTTCGACGTCGTCGAAATATGGCACAACGTATGTAACTTGAATGTAGGCGATTTTAGGATCCAAATCCGACATCTGAATGAATGTCGAGTCCATCATGATTTTTACATTCTCAGCTCCAAATTTTTTAGCGTATAAATTTCGCAGGCGTTCGGATATTTCCGGTAGCGTTGTCAATTTTGGCTCTTTATAAATATATTCAATACCGTGCTCTTGCTCAAAATATCCCTAATTTAACGAAAAGACAATAAATTCCAGCTGATTGACAATTTTAAAAACGAATACAATTTCATTCACGAATGAAAGACTTACCGAGCCGAAGAATGCTACTTTGTAATAACGACCAAGCAATCTTTTCCCATTTTTATTGACTTGAACCACTTTGTTATAAGCTTGCGTTAAATGCGAGTAACAGTTAGCAAGCGCTTGATAATTCCTCTTCTTTTCATAGATTGGTATTATCAAACGGTATAAATGCCCAAGTAATTCAAATCTTTCAGCTTTATCCAGAAGCTCAGCGCAAGATTCTAGTTGTTCTAACAGAACGTGATCGTTGTAATGAACATCCTGCACGCCAGCGTCGAGTTTCAATCCTTTTTCATCTCTCGGAATATTTTTGGAAATCTTTTCAAAAGCTTCTGCGCCCCAATCGTTCAGCTTATTCAATTTCAAGTATTCGGCCATCAAAGCGGCAATATGTAATTGACAGCAGGCAGCCTGAGTATTAAAGAGTACAACAATTTAGAAAATTATTATTTAAATAATTGAAAATAAATTAATAAATTGCTAAAAAATCAATAAATTAACTTACTTCAGAATAGTTTCCATCTCGCATGTGATTACGAGCCATAGTCTCTAACCATGTGTGTCTCAACTCCGGGGTGCTAGCATAGGAATTGGCTAAACTGTGTTTAAGATCAAGCAACATTTCTGGATCATTATTATGCTCTTTCATTTGTGCTGTAGCCATCAAAACTGTTCTAATTCTTTTATTTAAATCTTGAACTTCCAAAGGAAAGCTCGTCCCTTTCATAACTTTATCCGAACAAGCATAACTATTAATCAACGATAAAGACTCTTGGAATCTTAAATTATTCAATCCAACAATATTTCCTAACATTTGTGATACCGAAATCATCACCTGAAATAATGAATGTTTATTAAACTCATTATTTCAATACAAATGTGTACATAGTTAACTGTATATAAAATAATATTACTTGAAGATGTACTCTTGTCAATCCTTTTCTACTAGTAAATTCAAAATTACTACGCATGAGTAGGTAAAGCAAGGCGCATGATTCTTGTCTGATCGAACTAAGTTTACTGTTGCAGCATCTCAATAATTCATAACACAATCGTCCGCATAGTTTTCCATTGCCTACAACACAATTTTAACGTATAATGACAAATTGTCAATTAATTAAATATTAGGAAATAAGTGATGAAATTTTTATTACCTTGGAACAACGTTATAGAATAATTATTCAAGAAAGCTCGTAAAGCAGCGAAAACATGATGATATAAATTTTCTGACTGACCAAGTCGAAGAAATGTCAAATATATATTAATTATCTGATGCGTAATAGGATTACTGCTATTGGCCTCTACTAATAAATCCTATGAAAGTTCAGTTACAATTAAAAGGTTTGCCAATACAATTCATAAAAAATTAAGTCGAAAAATTTAGGGACCTTAAAATTCAAACAAAACAATCCTAAACAATCGAGTACAATAAGACCAATTTCTACAGACAAATTAGCTTGCGTTTTATAATAATGCTTTTCACTGTCATGTTCCAACAAATTTTCTCTAATAGCAGTCGTATTTTGAGGTTGCAATGTTCCAGTGGCAGGCGAATTATCGTTCGAAAAGTCAGGTGGAAACATTCTTGCGGGCAATGTCATGGATTTTGTAGTTTTTGGTTTGCCTATCTCTTGTACAATATTGGCTGATGATTGTCGTCTACCTTGATACTTGAAATGATGTAAGCTCAATCTGTATAACCAATGAAATTGTAGATACTTTTTATCAACATTCCTAGTAATTATAATAAATGAGAAAGTTACTCACTCTATTATCGATAAAAATTTCTGAATCTCAATGTCTGTACACTGTTGCCAGTATGAAATTATCTGTTTGTCGTCCAGATGTTTCACTACGAACATGAAGCATATCAGTAGATCTTGAACTTCCGAAGATTGGAATTTGTCACATCTCGGCGAAGTAGTAGATGCTCGGGAAAGGTTCACAGATCGCGAATGTTCTTTGTGCTCTTTCATCTCATCATTAAGTATCACCAAATCGCCATTTCCCATGTTATTTCCACGCATATTATTTATTTGAGTTACTGTCGATGTATTGGATAGATCAGACTCAATACTGCAAGAATGACTATCGACCATACCATGGCCGGCAATAGCGGCTAAGTAGGTAGAATCTCGAATACTGGTGGAATTTCTTATTGGAGATGATTCTATTTCACTTGGAACCAAACCCCTGCTATTGATCGTCATGAATATTTAATTTAATCGCTGTTTTGAAAATTTTATTTAAAATTATTAGTTACCTATGCGATAATTTTATTGGAGTACTAGATAAAGCGGAAATATTGTTTACACCGCTTAATCTACTATTAGATTTTGAGTTAATGTCTTGATATCCCATGTAGATCGATCCGCGAGTTCGTAAAGAAATTGCATCGGTCAAATCTTGTATTTCATTTTCAAACATGTTACTTACAGACTCTAAACGATCAAAATTTTCTAATAAAATGCTTATCCATGGTATGTATAACGATGCTATTCTGCTCATTCGTCCCTAAGAAATATATCATTTTCGTTGAAATATTTATGGGCTATAGAAAAAAGAAAAATAACGTACATTGATTTGATATCTGTCATCCAGCTCGTGTTTAGCCAATAAATCTCTCAAAATAGAAACTGCGACTTTACGTAACGGTACAGTTTCATCCAACGAAACTTTAACTTGCTGCAAAAGCAGCCCGACTAGAAAATGATATTTGCAGAAGTTTTCCGATAAGTAATAATCGTCGTTTACTGGTTCTGGAAAACCGACGTCGTACAATATTGTTAGGAGAATGTAAAAATAATTTTTTTAATTTTATCATATTTATACCTGATCTGGTTGGACTCATCAACTTTGTCATTGGTAAATTGAAAGAAATAAAATGTTCATGAGTACATATGATCTGAAGAAAATTAAATTTCAAATCACTGATAAGACGAGAACTTCCGGCAGCAAACTTATCAATGCAAGCACTGATGAGCTTGAAAGTCAAACCGCGATCCATAAAAGTAAGACAGCGCTGTAAAATAAATTATCAATAGTTTATATTATGAAAAAAAATTACTTTTCTTTCAATAAATCTTTTACTTTTAAAAATTGTGCTAAGCTTTTGTTAAGCGCATGAGATTCATGTGGTACTTCCTTGCATTTATTCGCCAAATGTGATGATGTTACTTGAACAAATAGCTCAACTTTCTCCTGATATTGTTTTGAGAATCGTTCACTTCGATGCATCTACGACAAATAATATGTCAATATAATCACAATTATATTTGCGTAAATTTTCTATTTGTATAAATTTACTTTTATTCTTCCTGAAAATAGAAGATACTGCGCCATACTCTTAACAATAATATCAAAAAATAAGCTCGAATGAACCATAAACTTATGCAATAAAACTAGATCCATATTATTTGGTAAAAATAATGTCGGCAAGAACTTGACAAGCTGTTCGTGAACAGTTAAAGTATTATTTGACTTGTTTGTCGGCGACAGGAAAACATACTGGAAACAAAATATTTCAATTAAATATTGTACTTTTGTATATTATAGTTTGAAATTTGTATATTTCACCTTAACGTAAGCGAGTAAAATTTCTTGACGCCCAGCTTCATGAATAAAATTAACAAGATGAATTAATAATCTAACGGCGCACTGACCTACTTCATCTGTTAAATTGCATGTGAGTAAAGTGAGTAATTGATTGAAAATAGTTGGTAAAAATGATATTGCTGTTGATAATTGTATAGCATGCGCCGATTTCAATATCTTGCAGCTTTCCGAGTCAGAAGGCACAGAAATCGGTATTGAATCCATGATTTTCTCAGCATGTGCAAAGAGATTATGTAAATGCAGATCTTTTGTGAAAACTGTAGAATGGATTTGAATAGTAACAGTGAAAATTGGCTTCTGAGAGTCTATCCATATTATATCAGGTCCGGCGTTCTGAAAATTATACGAAGACTTTGGTTGATTTTAGTTTTTTAGCTAAGTTACAGCAATAAAAAATTCTACTTACGCCTTTTCCTAGACCAAGAGGTTGAACTGACAAGTAGCCGTCTGGTAAATTGGTAGCTATCGGTAAAACTCTTTTACTTTCTTCGATCAAAGTGAGCCTATAAGTTTAACAATGTAAAAACTTATTTTATATGTACATAGAATCTTTAATCAATTCTTTGTTCTTACCTGCCCTTCGACAATAAAGGCAACCAAGCAAAGCCAAGACAGTTTTCAACACCATTCTCTTTTTTCTTGTTCAAGTTACAGCTTATATGGTAAAAAGTGAAGAGGAGGTGATGCTTGGTATGAAGTTTCAATGGTAATTTTATTTTTACTTCTTCATACCATGATGGAGTTGTATTATGATGTAAAACAGAACAACAAATTTTCGACACAAAAGAAGAAGCCCCAGGACGACCATAAATATACTGAAAGTAAGAAAACAATTTCTTACATTATAGCTTTATGCTATATTTGAAAAAAACAAAAGAAATCAGCTGTATAGCTTACTTTTAATGACTGTGTTTCCTGAATATCATTGTCCCTAATTTCAATACAACATGCAATGTTTCTTGCCCTATTGAACAGCTTTTGGGTATCAAACATGAGACTCTGGGGGTATACAAAGAGGTGATTTATGTAACTGGTAAATGGGTGAACATCCTTTTCAGATGAACTTTCAAATTCAGCTATTTCTAGCGTTAAATCAGACGTTGTTGGTTTTGGAAACGGTTTCACGGGTACTAAAGTTGTTGTTAAAGAATCTGTAATAATAGTTTTAGCTAATTATTTCGAACACACTTTTGATGGCATGGCAAAAAGTGTTTGAAGAAAACTTACTTTCAGGGTTTTGTATAATTGCTTCAATGTTTATTTTTATTGTTCCTGGTATTACAGTAAGTTTGTTCAATTTATCAGGCCTAAAATAAAGTTTAAAAATAAAGCAAACTCATTATGATAGTGCTTAATTTAAATATCTGTTCAAAAAGCTTGCCATACTTTCTATATTCTGAAAGCAACTTTAACAATTCCTCGTCTTTTATTTTGCTTCCTTCCTGACGATAAATAACTGAGAAATCTGATGTAGTATCTAACTCATTACTATATAGTCTAAATAATGGTCTAGTTGACCAAGCAAAAGGCATCTTGTAATTTCCCACTCTAAAAATATTCAATAATTGTAGCGCAATTTATGATTTGTATTAACTAACACATAAAAATACAATGAGACTTACCTTTGCGAATAAGCTTGAACTTGTTTACGTATTTTTATTCCTAAGGAAGGATCTTTTGTAGCTCGTACATAAGGTTCGCATGTTTGATTAATACTTCCTTGCAGAATCTTATCAATCCTTACCACAAGAAATATATCTGGATGTGGATTGCTTACATTAAATATAGCTTGTTTAGCACTGTTAAGCCAAGATATTGGAATGTTTTTTAATTCATCGGGAAATTCTGAATAATCATCTGATGAATTTTCCTCATGTTTTTTATTTTGTATAATAGTATTCAAAGATTCATGATTGATGTCAAAATAAAAATTTTCACTTAATTTTCTGTGATTTCTTGCATCGAAAATACTTAATGTTGCAAAGTAAGGTTCTACTTGGCATAGAGATTCTTTTTCATCAATGTGTGCTAGTAGTTTAAACTTGATACTTTCACACTTTATTAATATTCTTTGATTGAATTGTTCTTTGTATGGCTTAATATCATTATCTTGTAATAATGAGCTTTTATTACCGTGCTGTGTATGTAAATACATCTGAAAAATAAGTTTACGATTTTTCCTTCTTGCTAATGAAATACTGGTATCTGTTTCTTGAGAATATTTTATTAATTGTGGATTCATACTTTGCTCTAGTCCTTTCAAAGTGCCATAATTCTGCAAAAATTAATTGAAATATTATACAATGATAAATAAAAGATACTTAACAAATTTTATGACTCAGACAGTTGAAAACCTTACATAATTAGCCTGTGGCAAAGTAGATATATTATCGTTAGTTTTTTCTAGTAATGCTGCTTGTGTCTCTTCTTGTTGCTTGTAATGTTGTATAACAGTATTTAACTTCGTAATCCAATCTTGCAGTTCTTCTTCGTTTTCAGCACCCAATACATATGACTTATGAGGACCATTCATCTTTAATTCAAAACAATACTTTCCACGCTTCTGATTTCTTACAATTTCTGTACAAAAATCTAAGTTAGCAATTTTAACATCTGATTTTTTCTCATCTTTGCAAAATTCCAGAATATAAGTTCCATCAACTTGCTGTCTCAGATGACAAAAACGTTTTTTAAATGATTTTGAGCCAATGTTTGAAAACATAATACGATCACTAACTCCAACTTCAGGCCCTTTCATCAAATATCCTTCTTTTGTAATGCCATTTTTATGATTAATATCCTAAAAACATAACACATTCTTGTAATAATAAATTAAAAACATTATTTTTTTTATTATAAATACCATGTTATTTTTATTACCTCATCAACTTGATCAACTTCCACATCAATTTCATACACTTCATCCTTGGATTCATCTTTCAGTATTTTTCTGCTATTACTGAAAAAATAAAGTATCATAAATATCTTTATGAAATCCAAAAGTATAGTTTACTTACTAAGGTAGATCTAGGTATGACCCACTGTAAGCAGAGTACTTGTAATGGATTAAATTCCAGTCAGAAAAATAACTCTTTATACATTCTTTAGTGAATAGATTTGCATCTTCCAATTGACTTTTCGTTGGAGCAGTACAGATAGTTGTGCGATATTCTCTAGGTTGTTTAGCATTCTATCACAAAAATTACCTTATAGTTTGATATAATACTATTTTAAGCTTCCAATAGGTTTTTTCAATTATTTAACTTACCTTCACATCATCTATAGGATACAATAATAGTTCTCTTTGACTGTCGTTGTGCAATAGTGTTTTATTTTCTGTTACAAAACTTTCAAAGTCAATAGGATCGACTAAATGCAGTTTGCTCTAAAGTTTCGGAATAGAAAAACCTGATTATCAAAAGTAAATTTACATTTCCACTAAATAATAACAATTACCTGAACAGCACTTTCACGAACAACCTGGGAAACCGTTTCCCGCAGCTGCGCAGCCATCCCGGGTTTCCCTAAAGCTCGTGTGAATTTCCTCTCACTCATTTTCCCTTCGAGTGAAAAAATTCGTTTTTACCAAAATCTTAATAAACGGCGATATCTTAACAGCGTAAATTCTTTGCGTAGACGCATTATAGTCGTGATATCACATTTAAATTGGTGTTGTCACACACATCTCCACGACCATAATATCAATTTATCGAAGGCGACGCAGCTCACTCGTTGCTGCGCGAATCAAGTGGATACCAGTATCAATATATATAAACGGCAATTGATGTAAATCGACATTCTTCAATTAAAATGCACCGTGAACAAACCGCATCCACATATATATAGAATAGATATTACACTTGTTGTGACTACTTTTGAGTGACTGTGAGGAAGTTTGCTACGCTGTCTACAATGCGGCTTTCTATTTTTACGCTATGAGCAAAATGAGCCAATCAGACGGTGACAAACGCTGTTACGCTTTACGACGCTCATGTTCTCTCATTGTAGGATGACACTTTGATACTTATAAGAGTGTGTGTGTGACGCGTGTGGCGTGGACTGTTCACTGTGTAAAAACACATCTGCTATATCAGAGATATTATACTAGTACCTAGTACGCAAGATGTTCAATCTTGTCAAGTAAAATTTTATATCAACATAGCGACAATAAATAAAACATAATATTACGCTTGCTTAGTCAGTGAGAATAGATTTTAGACAACTTTCAAATGGAGCTACCTCAGGCAGAGAAAAATTAGCAGATCAAGTGAATTGAATAGACCACGCGCGGCCATGTTTATGTTTATATACATTTTTACGATCAGTTAAAGTTCAATAATATTTAAGATTAAAATATACAGAAGAACTTTATCGACAGTTGAAAGCTATTCTGCCATACTAATTAGAGACTAATGTTGATGGTTATGATCTCACATTATATGACTAAGTTATGAGAAAAGAGTAAATTACATTGTAAGAGTTTCATTGAACTTATTGAACATTCTGCATATATTAAAATTAACTGTAAACAGTTAGAATATTGCGATGGATTCTAATGACAGAGGTTAGTTTCACCATTGATGAGTTAACTCCAAAACTTAAGTTTTTGTTTATTTTGTATGCAATTATTTTTTGTATCAATGAACCACATTTACATGTTTATTTTTATTGGCAGGATTTAGCCTTGACAGTAGTAACATGTCGATGTCTTCTTTGGGACCTCAAAGTCCACCTGAAATAAAACCTGACACAGCTAACTTGATAAGTCCTGGAAATTTCAGCCCATCTAATCCAAATAGCCCAGGGTAAAATAAAGCAAGATATGTCTTTAATCTTTTGATTCTTTTCAGAGAAAATTATTGTTGCAAAAGTAAAATTTAATTTGTGCTATCAAATAGAAATCTTTTATAATCTAGCTAGTTAATTTTTGAAAACAGATCTCTCATTGGAGTCCCAGGCAACATGAATAACTCATCACCAGGTAATCGTAATCCAGCCAATGCCAGTACTGCTTATCCACCAAACCATCCATTATCTGGAAGCAAACATCTCTGTTCTATTTGTGGCGATAGGGCCAGTGGCAAACATTACGGTGTCTACAGGTAAGATTATTTTTGTATTGTCTGGGTATTATGAAATTATTATTAATTTAATATAACATTTTATATCCAATTTTTCAGCTGTGAAGGCTGTAAAGGCTTCTTCAAGCGTACAGTGCGCAAAGACTTGACCTACGCTTGTCGCGAGGAAAGGCACTGCCTAATTGATAAGCGTCAGCGTAATCGTTGCCAATACTGCCGCTACCAGAAATGTCTTACAATGGGTATGAAACGCGAAGCCGTGCAAGAGGAGCGACAACGCACGAAAGAACGCGAAGCTTCAGGTGCAAATCCGGGCTCTGTCGCTGGATCTGAAGCGGAAAGTTGTACTAGCAGTTCGCACGCCGACATGCCTATCGAACTGCTTCTAGAGGCCGAACGACGTTTTGACTTTCTTGGAGAGAATCAAGCGGCTTATGATCAGTACAGCACACACGGAAACAGACAGATCCGACAGATGGTCGAGTGGGCCAAACGAATACCTCAATTCACAAGTTTACCTCTGGAAGACCAAGCATTGTTATTGCGTGCCGGATGGTGCGAATTACTTATCGCCGAGTTCTCACACCGTTCGATCGATATCGAGGATGGAATTATTCTGACGACAGGCCTCACGTTACACAGAAATTCGGCTCAACAAGCAGGAGTTGGGCCGATCTTTGAACGTGTGCTTACCGAGCTTGTACTCAAAATGAAAACCATGAAAATGGACAAAGCCGAGCTTGGATGTCTTCGAGCTATAATTTTATTAAATCCCGAAATTCGCGGTTTGAAGAATTCTCATGATGTGGATTTGCTGAGGGAGAAAGTTTATTCGACTTTGGACGAATATGTCAAACAGCATCGACCTGATGAGCCTGGACGCTTTGCTAAATTACTGTTGAGGCTACCAGCTTTAAGATCGATTGGTCTCAAATTTACCGAGCACATGTTCTTCTTTAGATTACTCGGTGACGTTCCTCTCGACGATATACTTACCGAGATGCTTGAATCCTCATCTGATTCTTGAATTACATTCTATTATGTCGTTTGACTTTTACAGCTTGTTAAGTATTTTTCTGAATCTAATTTTCGCGTTAATCATATTATTAGTCGTTCGTCGTTTGTATTTTAATCGGGAGATTTTATCAGACACTGTTTATCCGCGCGCTGTTGAAAAAGAAAATTTTTTCATATTTTGTTCCAAAGAAATTGAATCTTTTTGAAAGTGAAAATGTTTTGATCATTATTCATCTTTCTTGGCTTTGTTAACTTTTTTATTGCCGCGCGGCATCAGGGAAATGTTTGACGTTCACATAGGAAACGATAATTGACTCATTGTTCTGAGAGTGTGGATAAACACTGCGTGTGTCTCACACAATTTACCTCTTTATTTTAAGAATAACGTAAACGAGAATATTTTTTTAAAATAGTTTACATCAAAGAATGAATAGTTCAAATATGTATAAAGGTTGTTACATTGATGTCTCGAAGTAACTATTAGAACCCATAGCTCAGGGTTGAAATAGTATTAAGGAGACCAGCTGGTCTTAAACAATGAAAATTCTAAGTATTTTCTTAATGGTCTAAAAAACATTCTATAAAAGATATTATATATCCAAAAAGAATTTTGAAAAAATTTATAAAAATTCTCATAAAAATTGACTATTTCGAAAAATTCTTCGCTTATTCTAGAGAACTGATACAAAGAAAGATAATAAAATCTTCAAAAATGATTTTCATTCACTCTAACAGTCAGAAAAATATGGCAACCCACTTTTCTTCTAAAAATAAGGTGTTACTATTAAAGGGACTTTCTAAAGAACTTACATGAAATTTTAGGACTTAAAAAAAAGAAAATGAAAGCATGTACCAAGTACTTCAAGATAAAAACATTTTCATGATGATAACTTTATTGGAACGATTTTTACACTACAATAAATAAAATTTATAATTTTCATTGTTTAACACCAGCTGACCCCCTTATTGAAAACGACGTATTTTTTTCGTTGCCACGACATAAATCATATTTTTAAACTAAAAACTTCCCTTCAGCAAGGCTGAGTAATAATGAGATATAGAAGATATTTCTGGTTAGCTTATAAAATACAGTTTAAAACTACACTTAAAAATTTATTTTTATGATTTTTATGAGGAATAATCATTTTTTGATGATTTTTCTAATATTTTACGTATACTTATTTTACAAGACGTTTGATATACTATTTCGTGTTACTTGTAATTTTAATTGAAATCATTTTGGAGATTAAAATTATTGCATATATATCATAATATTCAAATTAAGTCTATGTAAAAGACATGAAAACATGAAATAGAGCAGATCACGGTTAACATTTTTAACATTAGTAATTTAAATTAACAAAAAAAATGTTTAACTAATAGTAAATTTTGAATTGAAAATTTATTACTTCTACCTCGTTTTTTTAAAAATTTTGAAAGTTATTAAAATTAGATTCAAACTAATTATTAATACTGATATTCTTATTTTAATTCGATGAATGTTGCATATAATGTAATAATATATATTTTCAGCTATAAAAAAAGATTAATTGTAAAATACTGATCTATTTACCTTTTTTAAAATCAAATTACATTATTGTAATTGGCAAATAAAACTTATACTAGATAAATAATTTGCTTGATTAACCTGTATCTTCTCTGACTAATTTCTTAAAATATGTTTTTTTTTAATTTTCTACTATACATATTGGTTATACAGTAATGATTAAGTATTATCACATTGTAAGTTGTAATTCGAAAAATAATGTGTAAATTTAAGATATTTCAAGCAAGCAATGTTTATATTAATTAAATAATCTTTATATTAAATTTTTAAAAAGTTATTTGTTAATTTTTAATTCTTGCAAGATGTGCAAACAATACTTATTTTAAATTGAAAAATTAAAATATATGCTAACCATGTTTTAAGAACAAATAAAAATAGTTTCTGTTAAAAATTAATTATATTTATTTTCAAATAAAATAAATACCTTTCCTAGTTTAAAAATACTTAAAATGTATTTATTTATAGAAATACAGCATTTTGCAGATGTGTGATTGATAACAATGTTCATTAAGAGTAAATATGTACATACAATTTATACGGTCCTGTTAAAGAACATTCATAAATTGAATGGTTCGTACAGAAGAATAACAGAAACGTGTTTACAAAAATTTTCTTTTAAATGCTGCTTGCTCATTATCAAATATATTGTCATTATTGCATACACTACCATTTCTTAAGAGATTTCAATTTATTGTCTCTTTTGATACCTAATCTTCTCAACCGTCTCCAGTATTCTTTTGTGTTTGGATCAAGTTCTTCAAGAGGTGGTGGTGGTCCAGTGCGAATAGTCCATAACCAGTCAGGATACTCAGAATCAGGTTTCAATTCAACATCTTGTCCTCCTTCTTTTAAAATGTTTGTTCCACAGCAATATTTTACAAGTTTATAAGTATCTTGCTCTACAGGCAAAACTTTCTTTTCTGCAATTGGACCTTTTCCTTTAGTAATTTTTTTGCCTTTTGCCACTCCTATCCCTAAAAGCAACAAAATTAACAATACGTTAAAACAATTAAACACGTTAAAAAATATTATTATTTAATCAAAATATTTAAAACTACAAATATAGATTAAAAATATTATATCATAACTGAACACGACTTTTTAATTGTGATTCGTTTTTCGTTATAGTTTAAATGGTATTGATGAAAACTAGAAACCACTCACCAGGTAATGCATAATTTTTTGATTGAATATAATATTGTAAAGGAAGCAAATTTTTTGTAAGTCGAGATAAATTGGATACAACAAACAAAATCATTTTCATACAATCCTTACAATAAATCGAAAAGATTTAAAACGACACAATATCACCGATTATTTTGAATTGATAAACTCTTTGTAAACTTTGACAGAATTGTCTTGATTATTTTAACTTAATATTTGACCGAAAGAATATATAAATTATTTCTTAACCAAAGTATAAGATTAAGTGTTTAACAGCAGAAGATGCAGTCGACTGTCGACCAAGTGTTGTTTTTCTAGGGATTTTACATGACATAATAGAGATTTTGATAACATCACTGACTGCACTATAGAATAGTAGCTTGGAAATCAGCTGACATTGTAATTCGTTCACACGCATTATCTTTAAACTTATACAGTACAATATTAAAAGCAAATAATGGATATCTATAATTTAAACACGTATCATCAAATATTGGATCAAGTATATTCCCAGGTAAACATCAAAGTATCTAACTGATTTTATAAATGTAGACGATTTTATTTTGGCGATAAAAATATAAGAAATATACGGTCAAAACAATGTTATTTGTGTTTATATGCTTTTACCCGCTAAATTGATCATACAAAATTTTGTTATTTGTACGATATTTTTTTGAGACCAGCTAAAGTCAATCTATTTTCAGCAATCTAATATTTCTGCTGACTAGATTTTATAGGTTTAAAATTCTTGTAATAAGCACGATCAACTTGAATTTAATTTTTATTAAGTGTACTTTAATAATTGATAATAATTAATAAAATGGCAAATAACTTCAATTTCAGCATTTTCGTAACAAATTGAAAAATGAAATAATAAAGTGTTTTCTGTTTGATTATAATACAAGAGTGTAAGTAACTAGCCAAACCTAAGTTTCCACTTGAATTTAAAAATTAATAATTGTGAATGCTTTTTCTTGTTTGGGTTGTGTTTATGAATCTTACACAAATATAAATGCTGATTATGAAATGTTTTAATTTTATTACTTACATTTTTTAATAATTCTTTTGTCATCTAAAAGAGATACTTTTATCGAATTGTATATCTATAAATATTTCTCATCAATAGCATACGTGTTATTTAGTATCAAGCTTATCATACGCTTTCAAAATACTTATTTTTTAATTTTACAGAGTATTAAAAAAAATGAAGAATCCATAAAAACATGGACACAGTACAGAGATAGGCATAAAAAAGTCATTGAAGGACTGCAAACAATTGTGAATGATGTATCTGTAAATTGTGTAGTACCTTTAGGCAAACGAGCATTCATGAAGGGTAAACTTACTCACACAAATGAAATTCTTGTTTGCATTGGCGATGGATACTTTGTGAAATATAGTTCTCATCAAGCTGTTGAATTATGCAATCGAAGGATAAAGCGTAAGTAGTCAGAAAAGCTGTTTGATTTTTACTTTAACAATGTCAATTTCTTTTTTTTGTTTTAATTAAATTAAATATTTTAAATACTTAATATATTCACCAGGTGCTGAGAAAATGTTAGAAGACCTAGAGAAGGAAAGAAATTTATTTGAAACACGCCAAATGTTTCCTTTAAGTATGGGTGCATTTGAATCCGATGATTGTAAAGATATTAATGAATACTGGGATGATAAGAAAATAGAAGATTGGAGAAGTAAGTTTCATTTTTATCTTTTGTTTTTATTACAAAAACAGAAATTAATATTGTAATCTAATATTTTTAGTTGAACACAGAAAGAAGGAAAAAGAATATAGACAAAAGTTGATTGAGTTAAAAAATAGTGAAAAGAAAGAGATTGTAACAGAAGAGGATTTATTCAAAAGGCTTGATGAATTAGAACTTGAAGAGGAACTATCTGATGAAATTAATAGGTAATAGAAAAAACAATACACTTATTGAAAGCTTTTTTTTAAAAACATTAATTCATAAAGTTTCATTCTTTGACTTATAATCAGATTGGAAGGAAAATATGATGATGGTTCTGATCAAGATCAATCAAGCATGGAATCAGAAGATGAACCAAGAGGAAATGCAACTGAAACTGAAGATGAACAAAATAGTAAGGAAATAGAGTCATTGCCTATGCAATCAAATAATCAAACTTTCATTGAATCAGTAACAGAAACGAGTCTCAAATCAGAAACAATCGAGAAACCTCCCGAAAGTATGACACAAGTAAAGGATAATTCGGCAATTAGTGATAACCAATCAGAAAGTTTATCAAAATCAACTGATCATACGGCAGTGACAAATAAGCAATCCGAAAATTTGCCAAAAACAAGTGCTGATATAGAAATTAACGTTAAGCAACCTAAAAGTTTACCAAAAACGACAGTTAGCCAAATACCTAAAGTCGTATCACCTGTCATCATTGACAATAAAATAAACGGAAAATTCGAAGTATCCATTATAAGTGAAGATGAGATAGAAAGAACATTGAGACCACCGATATCTCGTTCGCCATCGAAGTCAACCTCATTCATTGAAGAAACAAACAAAAAATTCGACGAGTCACCCATGTCAGATAGCAATATTGAAAGATCCAAAAGTTCTAGTAGAAGAGTATCCTTTGCCGAGCCTCATTTCGTAGAGTGGCAACCACCTGACGAGCATTCTGAAGAATCGAATCAAGCAACTGCCAGTGACGTAAAGTCAGATGAAGATAACGATGAAGAGAATTTGATAAAGATTGAATTCAAACATTCCGACAAATTACCCAGCGCGGATAAAGGTAAAGAAGGTGAAATTTTAAGTCCAGACGACGTTTATCACATGTTCAGCACACCAAAATCCATTCTCAAGAAGAACTTCGAACCGTATCAACACGTCAGAAGAGTGCCATTGATCGATGAAACTTCCGACGAGGAGTACCACATCGAGATTGACGATGCTGTTAAGTCCACTTACAATTTGGTACGTTAATAATGATCTTTTCGAGCAATGAAAATTCGTCGTAGATTCTTGCATTCAATTTCAAAGAAAAATCCACTGTTATAAAAAAAATTCATTATGTTACTTGAAATTAGTTTTTGCTATCTTTCTTAGAATAATTAAAATACAGTTATTGCAATCATAAAGATTCTTTTTCCATTTAATTTGCAGGTGGTAAAAGATATTAAGGAGAGGAAAGTCGGGAGGGGAAAGAGTGCAGATTCAAACGAAGCAACAAGTACAAAGAGGCCAGTCAGCAGGTTCAAGCTCGAGCGAACCAATTTGAAGAATGATAATAATAAACGTTGAAGAATATAATGTAAAGTCTTGTTAACGGTTCGTATTAACTTTAATAAAGCGAAATAGGTTTTTATTTTTTACTAATGAAAGTCAAAGGCGTGCTGATTGCCCGAGCTCCCTTCGAGGAGAAAAATTTAGTTTGATTTAAACGCGCAGAGTAAAGTTGACGACCCAATTCCGCGGTGAAAATTTACGTTCCAACTGTGCTTGAGAAAGCTCCTCGATAAAATCAATACTAAAAGTCCAAATAACTCTTTGAGGCCTCCTTGAACTTAGTATTTTCGATGCGCGTGCGAGCAGCAGTAACTTTCTTGCTTTATTATCTTGCATCTCAATGGCTACCTATACGAAAATGGCAGGGGTGCGACATGTGGCAAAGAAACTATCCCCCTTGCGCGTGCGCAAATTGCACGGGTCGAGAGAAAAAAGTTTGACAGCATTATCGCGCGATCAGGCGCGCAACTGGTAATCGTGCGACTCGCGGAGGAGCAGGCGTTTATCACGAGCAATTCGAAACGGCAATGCCCTGACAGATAACTCGATTGCACGGTAGTAAAGATTTCCCGAACGCTCGACTTGATATCATCTCTCTCTCTCTCTCTCTCTCTCTCTCTCTCTCTCTCTCTCTCTCTCTCTCTCTCTCTCTCTCTCTCTCTCTCTCTCTTTACGGGCGGGCATACTAATTGAAATTGTTGCTGGCATCCATTAGGGAAGGATGGCGAAGTATATATGAGGCGAGCGAGGAGGCCAAAAGTTACCGGCGTTGAGTAGCTGGCCTTGAGTGGCGTATACGCTTGTCACGCGATACTTCCGCGCTCTCTGTTTGCAAGGGTATATGCGCCAACCGAACCGAAGGTTTATTTCCCACAGCACTGGTCCGATCAATTTCAGATAAGTGCCTCGTGTGTCGCGCAACTGAAAATTCATGAAGTGCGCCACCGCCGACCGCAATTATTTAGCTCTTTTCTAAATTGAACGAATTTGTCGTTGCCGCCAGAACTTTTCTCGTTGCCGCTCGCTCTGACCTATATGTGCATCAAACTGCACGCCACGGGTAATCTACGATTTTTTTTTCTTCTTCCAAAAAAATCTTGGCCTGCTCGCGGATGGATAGAATTTACTGCTTTAGCTGCAGCAATTGCCGAATAAAAAAAAAATAAGAGCGAGAAGAAGCTGTTGGCGCACTTTAACGGACTATTTTTTACTTTTTTTTTTCATTTTTACTTCCTGTCGTTGCACTAACGACGGTTGTAGCTGCGATCAATTCAATTATTAATTTGCAATTTCGTTATTTGGTCGGTAAGAGCGATCAAAAAATGGATTCGATTCGATCGTTCTCTTTCACAGGAGATAGTTTGATTGTTTCGCTCGCAAATGAAATAAATAATGAGTTTAATTGGATTCCTTGATTATATCTCATTGTAGCTTGTAAATGAAATAATTAAGTTTCAATGTATTTGTGATTTAATCTTGATAGTTTAAATGAGTATACATGTGTATACAACGAGCTACTGCATTGAATTGAAGCTTTCAAACGAAGTATTTTATATATATAACCTAATTCGAACGAATGTAAATACGACTTGTCAAAGGGACCAACCTACTTTTAACATGAGAAATCAAAAGTCTCATTTACTTTCGCGTGAAAATCGTCCTGAAAAGGACATGATTATGGCAAGTCGTGTTTTACAAAGGGCTCCGGTTATGTTCAAGAGCCTAGCGAAGAAAATGAGCTCTCAAAAAATGATTTTCGCTTACCCTTTAGCCTTCATAATCGTGCAACGTGCAGAGTTCTTTCAATAAACATGGTGCCGAGCTTGAGGGGATTTTCTGATCCGCACAATGGGGATTTTGGATTTTCCAACAAAGGAGATCAGAGTTTACACCGAATACTTCAGACGAAAACAGTTTTACGATGATTTTCACATGGCAATTAAGAAAACATCCATTTCTCGTGCTATACATTCGTTAGCCACCTTTATCGATAAGTTCCATGTTACCCCATATTGTAATGAAATATTTATATATTATTTATCAGCGTAACGAGCATGTCATTTATACTTTTAATGGAGTAAAAATGGACGGATATAGGAATATAACTCGTTAATATATGGCAGCGAATACAAGTTCAGCGCGTACAAGGTTTTAATGAAACGTGAGCATATTGCTTACACGGATTTTTGGATGTTTCGCGAAAATCTTTCGTTCGAGATAGGCGATATTTGGTTTTTGCATCGTCAGAACGTTCAACTGGAACGCGACAGCTTATTGAGAAAGCCGCGATACGAGCTGCGATCAACCACTGAACCTCGAGAGCAATGCCAAACCGATTCCTATCGAACCCCGGCTGCACAAAGGACTCCGCGAGGAGGACGGGTCAATCGGGAGAGCCGCCGCGGGAAAGCGCGCGTCCGCACGTCGGCCAAGCGAGCGAGGACGCGCGCGCCTCGGAGCGGCTCGGAGCGGCTCGGAGCGCCGCGATTGATCCGCGCGCCGCGGGCTCGGCGCCCGCTCCGGCGAGAGCGGCGTCCGCGCGCGAAGGCGCCGCTCGGATGAAGCCGTCGGGCCGCGGGCAGCCGGACGCGGAGGGCGGGGCGGCGCGGGGCGCGCACGCAGCCCCGCCAGCGGCGGTTCGCGGGGCATGCGCGCGGGCGGCGGGCCGAGGCTCGGGCGGGCTGGCCAGCCGCCCCGTCGGCGGCAGTAGTGTCTGCGCGGCGGCCGAGGGCGCCGACAGTGGCATGGGCCGGCAGCTGGTGCCGCTACTGGTGCTGCTCGCCTCGGGTGCCTGGCTGCTGCTGCTGCTGCTGCTGCTGCTGCCGCCGCCGAGCGGCGCGCAGTCGTCGCTGTCGCGCCACCAGCAGAGCCAGCGGCCGGGCTTCATCGAGCGCCGCCTGCGCCCGGGCGCCGAGGGCGGCCCGCCGCGCGCCGGCCCCGCCGCCTCCATCCGGCACTCGCGCTCCCGGGCGCGCAGGCTGCAGCAGCCGCGGCGCGCGAGCAGCTCGGCGTCGCCCGAGCTGCTGCTGCTGCAGCCGGCCGACGAGCAGCTGCAGCTGACCGAGTGGAACCTGAGCGCGGCGGCGCGGCCGCCGGGCACCGGCGAGGAAGGGGCGGCCGGGCGCGCGCCGCCCGACGACGACTACTACTTCGAGCAGGACGCGGCGCTCGGCTACGAGGCCAATGCCACGGACGACGGCGGCGCCTGGGAGGAGCGCGCGCGGCGCCCGGCCAGCGAGGGCGACATCGTCACCAAGTTCCTCAAGATCATCGAGAACCAGCACTACCTGGGCGCCAACTGCACGGCGGGCACGGACCTGAACCTCGGCGAGGGTGTCGTCGACCAGTACGCGCAGGAGCGCTTCCGGCTGGAGGCCAACCTGGCGGTCAACCGCGCCAACATGCTCACGCGCCTCTGGAAGTACGCGCCCGAGGTAATGCAAGCCTCGGAGTACCTGCTGCACGCCAGCGTGCTCAGCATGGTGGAGTTCGACGAGGACATCTTCGCCGCGGGCAACTGCTACGACAAGCTGCAGTACCGCGAGCGCTGGCTCTTCTGCCCGTTCGCGCACCGCCTGCAGGACGAGGACGCCGTGCTGGTCAAGGACCTGGCCGTCGAGTACAAGTACCTGAGCAACAGCAGCGAGTGGTTCTACATCGCGCGCAAGAACGCCGAGCGCCGCATCGCCAATTACAACCAGTACCAGTTCAGCCGCGGTGAGTCCCTCGCTCGTTCGACCTGACCAATCGATCTCCGCTGCCGCTGCCGCTGCGTGCGCGCCACCCTCTCCCCGCGAGCGACACACGGCGACCAATCGATTCCCGCTCTCTAACTCTCTCTCTCTCTCTCTCTCTCTCGCGCGCGCGATTCACGCTCCTTTTTCCCTTCTCCGTGCGCGCCACCAGCGGCGCCGACTTCATCTCTCTCCGCGGATGAACGTCTCGCGCTCCTCCCCGAGGGCAGCTTCCGCGCTCCGATTAGTGGCCCGCTTTGCTGTCCGGGCGTGTGCAGCTCGACGCCTGCCGGCTAGCTTTGCGAACGGCGCTGTCCGTGCTGATGTCTTCTTCCTCCCTCCCTGCTCGCTGCATTCGACGTTGCTCGCGCGGGGCAATCGTTTGGCGTGCGTCGATGGGCTGGAAAGAGGTCGAGTCGTCGCCGCGCGACGTTTGAAAATTCAGTTCGCGGAGCGTGAATTCGCGCGGGCGCGCACGGCCGGGCTTCGAATCGGCTACTTGGGAGGAGAGAGAGAGAGGGTGCGCGAATCCGAAAAGCGACGATAATAATAAAGCGGAACGAGGGCAAGGTTCGCTGTTGTCGCGCGCGAGCTTTCTGCTACGAATCCGGAATCTCTGACGTACGTAAGGGACCGAGTATAGCGAAGGATGCTTGGCACCGCGCGAGCCCCGTTGACGTGGTACGTTCCCTGCTGGAGCGCGTCGTCTCGCGACGCGAGGCGCGCGCATCCGAACCGTTCCGTTATGGCTGGCGACGTACGCGGACGCGCGCGTGCATTTTACAAATTTGCCCCGCGCCGGGAGAGGCGCTTGATCAACGGCGCACCAGAGGACCGCGCGCGACGAGCGACGTGGAATGGCTCGAAGCACGCGCGCCCGCGTTGGTCCCGCGAGAGGGGACTCGCATCGCGTCGGACAATATGCAAACTGGTGATTGGCCAACTAATTGAAACACAGCTCTCGCGCGCTATGCAAATTTTCGGCCCTCTTGCAATCTCGACGCGCGACCGCGGACTCGCTTCGCTCGTCGACTGCGATAGCGGAGAAAACGCGGCAACGACCGAGGCAGAAAGGGGCTCGCTCCTCTGGTCGAAAGCTTATTCGTAGCAACATCCTCTGTCGGGCGGCCCGACTGTCGATCCTAACCGTGTCGCGAATCGGTCTTGACAAATTGGGTTTCCTATTGATGTTTTTTGCGCGCCCGTGTGGGCCGTGTGGCTTGGTTTTCAGCTCGACCGATATATTTCGGGAACGAATTCCAAATGAATTTCGTACAATCTATTGGCTCTGCCATTCTATAATAAACTTGGACTTCATCGCTTATTAATTTCACACCTTGTGAACCCCTATCGTCTGTAAATAGTATGTCATCGGTTTTGCGCTCGAAAAGTCGTTATTTTTCTCATATCCACGCCCGACCGGTCATCTTAATTAACGAGCATTCACAGTCGGATGAGCGTCGGCAACTGGCGCTGTTTCCCCTTCCGACGGAGATTTTTCCTATACTCGGATTTAGAGCGACATTCGCGACCAATGAAATTCCCTTTCGGGAACTACCGTCACAGCTCTTTCGGAAGCTTCAATTTGCGAGAGTGCTCGCGACGTATTCCGTCGAATAGATAGCAGTGTACATTTGGTTGCATTCTCTTTTCGCGCTATCCCCCTTTACTCGGGAGGCACGTGTGCTTTGTGCCTAACCGGCCGCCTGGCGCATCGATTCCCGCGAAGGTAAAAAGCAACGTCGCGTTTAATTGCCGTTGGTCAAAAGAAAAAGCAAGTAGCTCGCAGTTCCGAAATAGGCGGTTGATCGACAGCTAATCGTCAACGGCTCGCACGAATCCGACCCGCACCGAGTTCTTTAATTTTGGAAGCGATGGCTGCCACCAGGATGAATGAATAATTCACGGGGTCGCGAGCGTCCACCTTGCAGCCGCGATCCATCCGCGTGGTCTGAAATCGACGAGAGTCCCTGGGGGAAGGGGGAGTCACCGCGGACGGGGAAAGACCGAACCGAGGCGCTCGCACGTCGCGAATCGAAAACGCGAGCGGAACTCGTTGCCGTCGAATTACACCCGTTTTCGCAGTAATTTGTAATCTGCTCGCGCTATCCCTGCTTGCCACGCAAATTGAAAGAGCCGGATCGGACGTGCACGTACGCGGAGCGTGCGCGCGCGCGGCCAATTAACACGAAGCCGTGAAAATGAGAGAGAGAGAGAGAGAGAGAGAGAGAGAGAGAGAGAGAGAGAGAGAGAGAGAGAGAAAAGAAGAAGAGAAAGAGGAAGACGAAGACGAGGTGCGCGCTTTTAATTAGTCGGGGCGGCGTGTTCGCAGGCTACCACACGTACACGCACAACGAGAGCAGCCACACGGAGCGCACGGAGGACGAGATTCTGACGGTCCGCTACGAGGACGGACGCTGGTCGAAGCCTTATTACGATTGCGGCGGCGGCCACATCTGGATGTTGACCTACACCGTACCCTTCTTCGGCTTCGCCAACGACACCTACTACTTCAAGTGAGCAGCCCCGCTCCCCGATAAATCTGTTAAATCTGTTGCGAGTTCGAGGCGAATGAACCTCCTCGCGTGCGTTTTCGCGGAGATAATTTGTTGTTGTTGCTGTTATTGTTGTGTGTTTGTTTTCGTCGGGCGTCTCGCTCAGCACAGCCAAGCACGAAACTATCGATCCCTCCTCCACTCCAAGAGAGTACACACTCATTTTATTCCATTTGGATGGGCTCGGTATCTCCTCCAGATGCGAGTGCTTGTCATTGATATACCACTCCACTCCCCCCCCCCCCCCTCCTTCCTCTATTTCTCACCCTCTCTCCGGCGAATGATTACTCGTTAGCGCGTGAAAAATCACGCACACGAGCGAGAGCTCGTATCATTCAAATGCCCCGATGAAAATAATTCCGCCGTAATTCATTCGAATACGGAGCGCGCTACTTTTTATTCTTTCTTCCCTTCCACCCACTCTCGGGTGATATCCTCTTGTACCACTTGACTGAATAACTGAATAATAGCTCGTGCTCAGCTACGCAAACAGCATTGCTCTTACTTTTTCGCGCGGCGCACTTCATCATCCGTACGCGCTAATAATTTTTCAAAAAAAAAATAATAAATCAATAAAATAATATAACAAGGATCTCTAAAAGTTCCATAAAGTTTCTTTCGCAAAAAAGAAAGAGAGAGAGAGAGAGAGAGAGAGAGAGAGAGAGAGAGAGAGAGAGAGAGAGAGAGAGAGAAAGAGAGATGAACCCGAACAATTGTAAAAGAAATCACAAGCTTTTTACGTAAAAGTAATGCCGCCGTAAAAACTTGCGCTTCGGCTCGCTCTCTCGAGTGGACGTAAAAATTTTTTTTTTTTTTTCGAAATTGCCCCCTTCGTCCCGAATGCCTGAAACTCGGCGCGACGGTAAGCATAAATTGATTTGACGGCTCTGTCTTCCTCGCCTCGCGCGCGCGGGACAAGGAAAAAGAGCCCGAGCCGTTAAAATTTGGCCTCGCGCGTGAAAACTGCGCGCAAAAAGCCGAGAACGCGGATTTTACGCGTCGGCGAGCGATCTAGACGATCGCGCACGACCCTCGGTCGCTCGTCCGCCTTCGAGAAATGCAAGTAACTATTGGCGACGTACACCGAGATCTGGAAATTTATGGCACAGAAAGCCACAACGATAAAGGACTCTCATCGATCTCAAAGCTTTCTTATTTTTAACATTCCGGCCTGTTGCCGTTGCGTGATTTATGGCCCCATCTCATCATTTCAATCAACTTTGTTGTCCTTTTATGACGCGACGTTTTATTCGACCCATTTTTATTTCGTTATCTTATCGGGAACAACGAAATGGCGACAATGTTGTACAGTTTCAGCTTGACACGACTGACATTTTGCTTTTGACTAGAGCAAAAACTATTATAATTCGTAATTAAACTTGAAATTTGCGGTAAATGTTCCCGCAGCGAAAAATTTGCAATACAACAAGCTACGTGACATTAATAAGAACTCGACGACGTCGCGTAATTGTACTGTGGTTGTGAAATTTAATAAAATTTAATAATCGCGATAACTCAATTAAGATTTTTTAGCGTCCCATTTAGCACACGAATACACATAAATGTTTGGTGGACTAAAAGCACCTTGCGAATCCTGTACATTGGCAAGAGTTTCGTTTCTGAAAATACCGAAAATTTGTTCCATTCTGGCCTCGCACATTTCGGAGCGCTTGAAAGCAAAGCTCTACAGAGTCGAACCCTCCTTCGATGTTCCTTTCCTGCTGTTAATGAAATATTTGCGCGTTAAATCATACTCGCTGGAATTCTCGCGCGCTTCTCGCAAAAGTCTCGAGTATTGAAACGAAAGACTCGAGAGAGGGCGAAGTCGATCGCAGCCAAGCGGAGGGTCAATTGGAAAAATCGTCGTTAGAAGCACGAAAGGAACGGCGAGCGGACGGTGGGCAGCGTGGCGCGGACGGAGGCATTGATCGAGCCTTTCGATGTTGGCAGAGGGACGAGCGGCATCGACATCGATTTGCGGAGAGTGGACATAGACCAGTGCCCGCTGCCGCCGGGCTCGATGCAGCTCAACATCTTCGCCAACAGCTCCAAGTGCAAGAGCGAAACCACGAAGGTGAGTGCGGCAGCGGCGAATCCTTCGCGGAGCCCCGGCGCTCTCACGCGGGCGCCACTCTGTTGCAGTGCGAGGCGATTCCCGGGCTGGGGTTCCGGCGGGGCAGCTACCGCTGCGTGTGCCAGCGCGGTTACTACTTCCCCGACACCAAGTCGAGCAAGCGCTACTACAACGGCACCCTCATCGAGGAGGAGTACGAGAAGTACATGCTGGTGAGTTTGCGCGGCCGCGGCCCTGCCTCGCGAGCTCTCAACGAGCCTTACCTGTGCGCAAGGGCGAGGAGAGCCAGTACCCGCTGAGGGGCGCCTTCGAGTGCCTGCCCTGCGCCGAGGGCTGCGAGTCCTGCGAGGACAGCTCGCCTTGCATCGTGTCCCTCAATTGGGTCATGAGGACCGCCCTCCTCATACTCGAGTGCTGTATCATCGCCTGCCTGCCCATCGTCGTCATTTTCACCTGGAAGTACGGCAACGTCAAGGTAACCTCGCGTCTGCTTCGCGCCGCGCCGATCGCTTGCGTTGCCCCCGATTCGTCTCGCTCGGATTAGGCACTTGGTTGCGTCGTTTTTCATCTCTCTTGGCGCACCGTCTATATTCAATTACTCGTGTGCGTCGCTTTTTCACGTTTTATAATCTGCTAATCCGCTTTCAAACTCAAACCGGGAAGACTTCTTGCGATTTTATCAATTTGATAAGCTCTTTAACGTGAAAATAGCGTTTTTTTTAAGCCGTTCTGTGAGTGATCGCGTAAGCCGGCTCTCGCACCCCCGTGTGCGTATATATCCTTGTGAATTTTACTATCCATCAAGTTTTTCGAGTCGAGTGAAAGCGACTTTGCGAATGCTTTCAGCCGAAAAGGACGTTTTTTTTTGTCGCTCTATCCAGTTGATTGAAATTTCACGGGCTCGTAAAAGCTTCGTACGTACACCATTGATCAAATATTCAAAATGCTCTTCACTGCCATACAGCCGTTCGCCGAACTCCGACACAAGTACCTTTTTTCGCGTATACACACACATCCTAGCTTTCAATTTGGAGGCAGTCGAGCGAGCTTAATCTTGGCGATCATTTCTATCCGCGGATCGTAAAACGAAGATCAATTATTTCATTCGACGCGAACGCGTTTCCAGCGTACCTCTCAACGAAAATCTCACGGAGCGGAAAAAGTTCACTCGACCGAGTTGGAAATTCATCGGGTTCGTCAAAGAGCTACACGGTTAAATTGAATCGCAAATAAGATTTGCCTGTAAAAGCATCCGGCGCTACCGTATACCGTACGCACGAACGTAGAAACGTAGAAACGTAGAAACGTACGCTTGACGCGTGGATCGCGTTCTTTCGTTATTTACGCTTCTACTGCAGCAACGCCTCGCTCGACAGAGGGGGCAAGCGTTGAAAGCCGTAGGAGAAACGCACCGACGCGTGAAAACGGAGCGCTCGCGCGAGCCGGGCTCGAATCGCACGTAGCCGCGCGTCCGTGAGAGCATCGATTCGTCCGAAGGGCGAGACGGACGCGCGCGAGTTGCGCGGCCGACGACCGAGCGCTCCGTCGGAGAGTGTCCGCGAACGGGCGGCGCGGGAGACTGGACGATGCTCGCGAGGGGCTGCACCGGCGGTTGCCGCGGACAGCGAGGCCGCCGACCAAAGTTTCGGCGCGGCCGAGCGGCCGAGCGGCCGAGTCGTGCATAGCGTGCGTGCGAGCCAAATCGAAGCGCGCCGGCCTTGGGCGCTCTCCTCCGATTAATCGCCGAAAATCTCGCGCGAAAGACGCGCCGCCGACGCCAGCGCGAGACTACGAGGCTAACGACGAGCATTCCGATGCCCACAGGTTGTTCGCGCGGCGAGTCCAGTGCTGCTGCGCGTCATCGTCCTCGGAGCCTTTTTCATTTACTCCACCGTGAGTGCCTCGATAGTCAGAGTATATTGGAAGCCAGCCACCTTTTCAGCGTCTCTGCCTGTGTACATGTATTTCTTTTTGTTTGTTGCGCCTTCCCGCAGACGATAGTCATGTATCCACGGCCGAACGTGATCACGTGCACGCTGCGCGTCTGGCTGCGAGAGATAGGATTCTCGCTGACTTACGGCGCGCTCATGCTCAAAACCTGGAGGTAAGCTCTGCGCCCGGCGTCGAAAAGCCCCGCGGCCTCGCTAATCGATCGTCGAGTCGTCGCGCCAAGATCGTAACGCGGTTAAGCCGCAGTCCCGCGGGCGCGAGCCTCGCTGCCGTGTTCCCAAATGTTTTCGCGCCGATTACGCTCCCGGCGCGCGCGCGCAGCGGAGCGCCGTTCCCCTTTGGCCCGTTTCCCTCGACCTCTCGCCCCTGCCTCGTCGCTGAGGGGGGGAAGCTCGCGCGGAGCTCCTTAACTTTTCTAATTTCGTTGAAAAAGTTGGCCTTGCCGTCGCCGAGGTGGAAAGCTGACGAGGCAACGGCGATTTATGATTTTCGCGCTCGCTGCGCTTCTTTCTTTGTTCTTTGGGCTCGCCCCCGTTTTCGGGGACTCAGCGCGATCGCATCGTCGCTCCTCGAGGCTTCTTCCCGGACCGGCCGCCGTGCGCGCACACGGGCAGTACGGCCTTGCGCTCGAGTCCGCGCGTTCCGCGGGTGGTCTTGCTTGAAAAACACTCGAGTCAGCTTCCCGCAATGCACTATTTCCGGCGACTGGCGCGTTTACAATCGAGCAGCCCGGTTTCCAAGCCCGACGGCGCTCCCGGCAACGAGCATCCGGAGCGGTCCGCGCGTCCGAAAGCGATCCTACCCAAGCTGGACTTTCTGGAGCGAATCGTCCCAGCCCCTGTCCCCCCGCCCCCCGCCCCCCGCCCCCTCGACGGTCGGATAACGCTGTTGGCGAAATCGATCGTTTCACATTGCAGGATATCGGTGATATTCCGCGTGCGCTCGGCCAAGGCTGTCAAGATAACCGACATGAATCTGTTGAAGCGCCTCGGCGTCATCGTCACGATATTCAGCGTGTTCTTGGGTATACGCACGCTGGTGGCACCGCCCGTAGTCATCGTCGGCCGCACCGCCGACGACCTCAAAGCTTACCTATGCCGGACTGATTGGTGGGACCATAGTTTTACGATACGTGAGTTTCAGACCGAGCAGGCCCGTTCGGCCGAGCGCGCGCCCGTAACCGTCGTCGCTTGTCTTTTTCGCAGTGGAAGTGATGTTCCTCGTGTGGGGTATTAGATTATGTATAGTGGTCAGGAAAGCACCCTCGGAATTCAATGAAAGTCGTTTTATATCAATGGCAATTTACAATGAATTCCTGTTGTCAGTCTTCCTCAACGTGTCCATGTGAGTGCACGTAGCAGCGCTGTAGCCTGCGCGGACCCGCGCTAATCGGCCCTCGCGTTGCAGGTTATTTTTGCAATCGCCGGCCAATCCAGACCTGCTCTACATCATATTCTTCTGCCACACCCAGCTGACCGTCACGCTTCTACTCTGCCTGATTTTCGGTAGCAAGGTGAGTCACACTGCGCGAGCGCGCTCGCTGCGAGGCGCAGGCGGTTTCCGTACAACTGCTCGAATCGACAGGCGTACGTGGTGTTTCGCGGAGGTGGCAAGGACGACCCCAACGGCAAGCTCGTCGGCACGAGCAAATTTCTGGGCAAGACTTCCCGCGCCCCAGCGACGAGCAACCAGACCAATTCCATGTCGCTGCACCAGGCCAATCTCACGGAGGACAGCGACGGAATGATGGTAAGGCCGCCTTACCGTGGAGCCGAGACCGGCCGACCTACCTTGCCTCTCAAACGCGACTTTCCTGCTCAGGAGGAGTTCCGCAGATTGTACGCCCAGCTGGACTTACTTAGGGATAAGAATGCGCGCTTGGGTAACCGACACATGGTCGAAAAAATAGCAGCGATGATGGAGGCTGCGAACCGCGTTGACACGCAAGTATCCACATTGCACCCTATATCTTGGCCTTTGGTAGACAAAGAGAAAACCAATAGTCTGTCCAATACACTCACGAGGTCTTGACCTTTTCTTACGTTATCCGCGTGTGCATATAGCCGCTTGCTATACCTGCGCGCAGTCGTCCACCTGACCAACCATCTGACGTGTGCCTCTCTCGCTCTTCCAGACGGAAAGTAGAGGCGTCGCCGAATGCGCAGATCGAGCGGCGGATATCCGCTATCGAGGCGGCGATCAAAGTCAGCGACCTGGAGAAGAAGAAGGAAGCGGCGCCAGACAAAGCCAAGCGGACGGACGAGGCGAGGACCAAAGAGGCGCTCGCCACTGTTGCCGCCGACGAGGGTGAGGGCAAGGACAAGGACAAGGACAAGGAGGACGCGGCGACCGCCGCCGCCACCGTTGCCGCTATCACCTCCACCTCCACCGCCACCGCCACCGCCACCGCCACCGCCACCGCCACCACTGCCGAGATGACGCCGTCGTCGCCAGCCAACCTCGCCAAAGATCAGGCGAAGGAGCGCGGCAAGTCCGGTCACGCCAGGACTCATGCGATTGTCATTAACCTCGATGACAAGTCCCGCTTCTCCGAGGAGGTCACCGTTTAGAGATCTTAATCAAAGTGTCGCGGCGCGCGAAGAGCCTCGCGTGTACAATTCTTACGGTTGAGCGTGCTTCGGGCTTTGAGCATCGGCCGATAAATTACGCTCGAGCCGAGATACGAGTGAGAACACCAATGTTAGAATTCATCATCACACCCTGCCCACGCCCTTCTCTTGTGCGAGCTACATCGACGATGCGTTATTTTTCAACAGCCGTCGCTTTGCGAATCACGACGAATGTGCTCGGTAATTTTGACGCACGACAGTGATCGATACGACACGATAATACGTACACTTGGAAATACCATTTCGTTCCGGACGTTTTCTTTGCTTCACTGCACTGCGTCGTACTTTTATTTGACGCGTTGTGCCTTAATTACTGAGTTTTCGCAGCACTAATGATTCCTAGATTATAAGACTGCTATCGCAACTATATGACGCTTCATTCCTATCGATATAGCTAAGCAAATCAATCTATAGGATGTGTATGGTCGTACATCAATTTTCCTTCGTGAATTAATTGAAGCTCCTGCTTTTACTCTGCGACCTGTATTTTGCTCGCGAATCATTAACAAAAAAACCTTTTGCGTTTGACAAGTTCCTAATTAGTTGAAAGTAAACAGCATTTCCTGAATAAGAACTTTGCTCGCGTGGTTATATCGTAAATTTCCAATATTTCACCGCTAAATTAAATCGAATATCGTGTGTTCGCTAGAAAATGCCAACAGATTTTTAATTTTAGTCAAATTTAATTAGAAACTACGTGGCAAATGTTTTCGAACTTGCTTCAATATTGTGAAATAACGTATCGTCAGAAGTTTGAATTGCGATGTCGTTGAAGACAAAAAGTTTATTGTACATAGATGTAATCGACAAAAAGGAAAACATCAAGCACCTACGCATAAATAAAAATGTGCGATTTACTGTTATTTCCCATAAATTACTTAAACTGAAACATTTTTAAAAGATAAGAGCTTGCATTGAGGAGTCCAATACACTTGCAGAGACGCGCAAAATGAAATTCAATGAACAGACAATGATTCGTGATATCTGCATTACTAATTTATAAAAACATGAAAAATTTATGCGCAACAACGAAAACATCAACTTGAATCCGAACCCGCCTCTTTCCCCCCATTAAGTTCATAATTTACATTGTTTCAATTGAGTTACTGAACAAAGTTGCACCGTAATACCGTTACAATTGTATTGGCGACAATTGTAAATAACGTGATATTTGACATTTGATATTTGAACAAGCTCCACCCCCCACCCATTTGCTAACTGTTACGTAATTCATGTAATGTTGATTGTTTCGTGTATATAAAATTCCGATGATACACATACTAAAGCGAAACTCTTGATATAATAACGTTGATTAAGTTAAGTTTTCTGTAAATATATTGTAAATACGAATAATGTGTAAATGTGAAATCGCATTTAATTATTTACGCATTTGAATGGAACAAAATTAGGCATGAATCCAAACGTGATTAACGATGCATATCACGAGCAAAAAGAAAATTGACCAATACCTACATAAAAAAAAGTGTAATAGCTTGTTATTTCCAACTGACTATCCTGCAATTGAACCGATCATGTCGTAAAAATAAAATTATGTAAATAAGTCGCTTTTATTCTGTAACAATCGGATGTGTTCATTCAATTTATCAAAAATCATTTCGAGTAGCGAAAAATAAACTTTTTAATATTTTACATAAATATTTGAAATGGTTCGTAGTAATTAATATTTAAAGGTGTCTAAAATATAACGCCTAACACAGAATTAAGGTTCATGATTTGAATGGTGCTTTCAGCTGTTATATAAGTTGTTGCTGCTGAAATAAAAATAAAACATTAATTCCTCGAGGAAATGTACATATTTCTATTGTATTTCGCGTTTTAATGTTGTGATAATGGAAAGACTTATGTGATATGAGTTTTGCTAATCGTTAAAAATCGATTAACGTCGAGCGGAGAATTTGATTTTATGTAGTTCATGTGATACATATTTAGATTAAGAGGAATAATGTCACGTTGAATATTATTTATTTCTGCTTTGATAAAAAAATAAAGCAAGTAATTTTCCTTTTGTCATTTCGATATAAATGCCTTATTCACGAAACTTCAAACGAATTGATTAAAAAAAACTATAAAAGATACAGGTGACTAATAATGAACAAAGAAATTGTATAGGAAATGACTAAAGCAATTGTAATTGAAAAGTAATAGAAAACGAACGTTGACGCTAATCAAATTGTAGATCCGTTAAGTCTATGCCACACCTTTGTACTAAAGCAATGATAACACTTTCAACAGCAGGCTTGAAGTGAGTAAGGAACCACGTCAGTGTCTGCGGTGATACCAAAAATATTGCGATTGCGCTGACGACGGCTGGAGCAAAAAGCAGGCAGATGATCTAAACGGGTAGAAAAACCTTCGTCAGTCATATGGGCTCGGAAAATGTGACATTAAATGCGAGTGTTATACAATGTCGTTTTATCTTTGTTTGTAATATATGTGTAAATAATAAAAGAAAAACAAAATGTCTTTTATCCCACACGACTTATACGAGACGTTGAATGTTTTCATTCAGAAACGCATGAAAATTATAAATTTCATGTTATGTGTTAGTTAAAAATCTAGATCGTAAATAATAACGAATATAACAACTGCATAATACATTACACATTGAATCCGAGATATCATTGAGAAATATGTCAGCTCCAAAAAAAGTTTTTATCAAAAATATCTTCCATTATTCAAGTGGATCTCCAATTAATAACCCATTACGAACTTTTCCAAGTACCATTTCTTGATATTCACTTCCGAAATAAAAGTTTTCTATCTTCGAAACTCAAAACTTTCATTTAACCTTACTACTCAGCAATACGGGTACAATGAAAATACTTTATCTTACATGCCATATCCAAGTTACAACCATCCATCCTATGAGAACTGTTGCCGCTGTCTTCAAATAAGTTATAAACTCAGTGGCATCGATGATTTTCTCGCAACTGGACGAATAATAACTCCCCATTTTCAAGCGATTTCCGAGTTTGCACTTTTTTTAATAATTATATCTTTGTTGAGTTGTTGATTTTTAATTTTCATGTGTTATGCGAAACCAAACGAAAATTAGAATAATTCATTGCAATAGTAGGAATTTTTTACTTGTTACTTGCTAATTTAGTATGTGAATTTGGAAAAATTTTAGTATGTAAATAAAAATAAAAAGAAAACAATTGATAGCCTGACTTTTTTTCTGCGTGTATACATTCCTTTTGTTTTCCTTTTTCTTGATTATCATTCTGCACCTTTGAAGTGCAAAGAACAGTAATTCATTTGTGTTATTTCATTTTTATCATATATTTCAAGCAAATAATTTGAAGTTTGTTATTTCATTTTTTACGTTATTTACAATTTTTCGTATTCAATATTTTTGTTTGAGAACAAATTAACTGCACTGTACTCATTTTTTCAATCAAATTTCTTCCTAAAATATTAGGAAATAAATTTTAATTGCTGTATTTTTATTTTGCCAAATCTTCTTAGGTTATGAGTGTATTAAAAAACGCTTTTCCACTCCTTAGGTCTCCACAGTTATGATATGTTCTTGCAGTATATTCGGTGGTATAGATGATTCGACCTGAGAGCATTTCACTGATAACAGTATACTCCGAGCATAGATAATTGTCAAGTGCATCAAGTACTAAAACAACGAAAAGTTATATCATTTTTACATATCATAAGTAGGTCATTACTAGAGATAGGAATAAGCAACGCTTCATATGAATGTATCATTGAAACAACACACGCAACTTGAACGTCTGCGTTTAACAAAAATGTATAATTTCAGTTAATAGTCAAATTTTTCCGTGTTTAATTTTATTACTTACAATTATAATTTTTCCGAGTTGTCGTATAATGGCTAAGAACAACGGGTTCGCTATCGTTAAAGTAAATAACAATAAATTAAGAAACATTGAAATCGTTAATAAAACGCCGCTCAGTGTTACGAGCAATATAAATTCGACCATGCTGAAGATCATCTGTAAAAAACAATGTAAAACACTTTACCTTTGCATAAAAAACTTTCTACAAAATTTCTTAAAAAAAACTTACACAAAGGATCGATAAATAATTTTCAATCATCATTCACTTTGAATGAACTGTTCTATAATTTTTTTGTATTTGAATTTGATAATATGACAATGTGTTAACAAAAATTTAGTTAAATAACCTCGTGAAATTTCAATACAACTCAACAGACCAAAATATTAAATCATTTGTTTTTGTTTACTATTTTAAAACAACTTCCCAAGCGACAAAAGTGATACTGTGGGTATGAAAAGAAAAACTATTAAATTTGTAATACTTTATTGTTTATATTCGTGATTACATTTACAATAGAATTTTTTATCGTATAATCTATCTTGAAAATAGTTTTAATATATTTCACCTCTATAAACACTCTATGATTAACAGTTATCGCAATACTCTCATATATATATATATATATATATATATATATATATATATATATATATATATATACACATGCGTGTAACAACAATACAAGTACAACAAATGCACATGCACGGACGCACTTTCGTGAACAATGTAACTAGTTGGAAAGGCATTTTCTATCAAAAATATTTTTCATGTGGCAACATTTTTTAGCTCTATGGACCATAGTTATAACTTTCAGCATTGAAAATCAAGGTATGAAGCTACAAAACATTTTGAAATGATATAATTTTCAGCTAATTGTTTTTCATGAGATACTCTAGGCTTTATTGTTTAATTTGACCGTAGTACTTCGCACGTACTTTCAATCCGAGTATTATAAATTATATTAGGCCAATTAGACTTTTTTAGACTCACTTATAATACTTGCGTATGGTCCCGCCAAACGAAAATCTGATATAATTGAAATCAGTCATTGAAATATCAACGGTATTAAATCCGATTACAATTAATTATTTCTCTAAAACACTTTGATACGATATTCAACAAGATATGTAATTTTAGCAGTAAATTTTCTTGAGATATTAGAGGTCACATCCTTTTTGGTATTCCATAAATCATCGTAACAGGAATAGCAAAAATCACGATTATAATCGTTTTGAAGTTTAACTTTAAATTGATACTTTTTTATACTTTTCCGTTTCTTAAAATTATTCGATGTCACAGATTGTAAATACATTGCAAATACTTGTATATAGAAATATCTTAAGGGCTTACAGTTCGTAACAAGCAAAAATATTGTCTTCCACATAATTTCATGATAAAAATCGTATTCTAATGAGCCATATATTACATATTAAAGAGTGGTTGGCTAGGAATACGTAGTTTACAGCCTACGTGCGCGAATAAATCCACGTAACTTTCCGCCAACATTGTTATCTAAAACAGTTTTCTAAATTCAAAATTTCTCTTTCAATTATTACATTAAATAACATTATTCATATCGATATTGAATATTATCATTTCACATATATGCGATCACAGTTAGATCACAAATTGACCTATTTTTCATATATTCGAATTTGTCTCTCATCTCGAACGGATATTTAAAACAGCAAAACGTTATCTCTTAAAATTGTAACACTTAAGAGCCATATAATAGCACACATATTATTTACTTAAAATTCAATTGTATACTCAACGTATACTTCGTAGCACCATTCAACGTTACTTTTTCCTCTATTCTTTTTTTCTTTTTGTACTTTAACACAAAGTTCAACAGCGCATCATGTTCCATTTCTTAAATTTTACTTAGGATTAATACATTTCCCATTGAGAAAATCAAGATATTGTCCGTTTATTTAATAGGCATTTTGGGAAGAGCACTTACGAGCAATGTGTATCCACTGTTTATTAAATCGTGAATACATACTGCTTATCGATACCTCATCGAATAAAACAGAATAAAATATGCAAGGCATGCATCGGTTATTAGATTAAGTGAAAGTTATTCGGACAAAGTTGCTTTCTTTTTCTGGAAATTTAAAAACTTTCGGAATTCAGTAGATTGATCCATAATATGCCGCGCATCCATTACAATCGTTAATTATTGTCTCGTTAGATTATTCCGTTCACATATTATTACATATAAATATTAAAGTATGATAACAATCGCATACGTATGTATGCATGTATGTATATATACACCATATAATCCTATTCAGGTGTGGATCCTCTTCGCTGATCACTAAATGCTTCGGCATACATCGCGAGTAAATTAATAAATATATCCCGTTGAAAAATGCTCATGCAGCTATTGCAGCTCGTCTATGTAATAAGACATATGAAAAACGACTTCCTCGCTCGCTCGCGATGATCGCGTTGTAAAATGCCGCTCCGCGTGTCGTGGCAAGCGACGCAAATTTATCAGACACGCGCGTCCGCGCCCGTGACAATCAAGAAGAGCAGAGCATTCCTATTATTCAAAATATACATTTATCCTGTACGCGTCGTTACTCGCGGCGGCTCGCGTTGCGTACATAGTAGGATGGTCCGTCGAGAATCATCGGCGTTTTGGCCACGCGAAGTTGTACCGCTGACGCTGGCGTTGACAAGCATCTTGGCTAAAAAAACTAGAGACTCGTGAAACAATGGCAATGGCTTGGTAGAAAAAAGAAACAAAGAGGGAAAGAAATAGAGAAAAACGGGAAGAAACAAAGAACGCTCGTGGCGCGTTATTATGACTAGATTACCTTAAAGTAAAATAAGAGAAAAAAAGACAGATTGCCGTGTTCGAGGACTCGGCGACGATTAGAACTTGGCGTTCTGTCTTCTGAGATCGTTCGGTATGATGGAGGTGAGTATAATACCGACGAACAGCACAACGCACTGAGCGATATTCGCGTAGTAGTCTCCCCATAAGTCGATCAATTGCCCGTACAGCATCGTAAACGCGACGCCGAAGATTTGTACCGTGGCGTTCAGCAAGCCAGCCGATGTGCCTTCTGGCTCCGGGTAGGTCAGCTCGGCGGCGAACTCGAAGCCCACTGGCAAGTATCCGGTCATGAAGAATCTGTCGGGAAATAAAAAAAAGAACACTCGCCGTTACGTGATATTCGTCCCTCTCCCTCTCTGTCTGTCCCGGTCAACGTACCCGAGCAGGCCGGCAGTCACGTAAACGACGACGATCGAACCGACATCGAGCGTGAAGGTGAACAGTATCATGCCCAAAAATGAAAACACGTAAACGCCAAGAGTCGTCTCCCTGCGAATGCCAGGCGGATTGAAAATCTCATACAAGCGACTCCCCGTCGCCTCCGGCTCGTGTACTCACTTGAATCTGTGCGTCTTGTCTAGAATCACTCCACAGACCACCGAGCCCAGCATGCCAGCGCACACGATCGTCAGTCCAATTCTGCCAGCATCCATGGTGTGACCCTTCCGAGAGCGAGCAAAGAAAAGAAGTTGGAGGAGACTCGTGAAAAGAGGGCCAGGGCCGAGGCAATCGACTTACCGGGAAGTGCGTCAAGACGATGTTGTTGAGCAGAGTGCTGATGGCGTAAAAGATGCCAACGTTCACGGCGTAGCTGAGCAAAAGCAGCAAATAGCCGGAATTGGTGACGAGCCGCTTGATCGAGAGGAAAAAGCTCTCCGACGCCTCGGACTCCCTTTGCACGGCTTGCGCGGGACTGGGCGGTAGTGGGGGCTTATCCTTGAAAACTGCCGAGGCGAAATTCAATTTAAAGCTCTCTCGTTGGAGACCAAGAGCCGCGAGTATTCGTCGACGGCCGAAATTCGGCTTCACTCACACAATATCAACAGCAGAAGAATGACGGAGGTGCAGATGGCCACGATGTAGAACATGAGCTGCAGACCTTGCCCGATCACGCCGTTGTCCTTGCTGTCGGGCACGAGCATCGGAGGGAAGAGAAAGCCAATGGCGATACCCAGCTGCGAACAGCGCCCGAAAAGTCGCGGCCCGTTTTAAGTCGCTTTTTAAATCGCTTTTTAAATCGTCGCTCGCCGTGCCAGCGGTCCGCGTTCGGCTGGCGACGGGACGCGCAAGACCGCTTAACAGGCTAATCTTCTCATCTAAACCGATGAGGGACGTAGTTTACACGGTTAATCAGCGCTCATGTACGGGACAACCCCCATTATAGCCCCGGAAATGTCGTTTCCCTCTCCCTTTTTCTTTTCTTTTCTTCTCTGGAACGCTCGTCTACGTGTTCCCAAATTAAAATCGAATTATAATTTCAGATGCACTTCCAGCCCGTGATCGATTAACGCTTGGAAGCGCGCTCATTTTACTGACGCGTACTCGAATATTGCCGTCCCGCTCTCTCTCTCTCCTCTCTCTATCTTTTCTTCTCTGGAATGCTCGTGTATATGTTCCAAAATTAAAATCAAATTATAATTTCAGATGCGCTCCGAGCTCGTCATCGATTAACACTTAGAACCGCGCTCGTTTTAGCGACTCTCTCTCTCTCGTTCTATCTAATGGAACAGTCAGTGGTGGAACTTCATACGCAAGAGAAGAGAAAATAGGCATTTGTCGCTCTAGCGACAAGCGCTTGGGAACGTACGCTCGTCCGGTCTGGAACTCAAGGGACTGAAATCGACAAGGAGCTCGCGTACCTGATTGCCAAAGACCCCGATGCTGCAGGCGCTGCTGACTTGGTCGGGTCCAAACCAGACGGCGGCCAGGCGCGCCGGCACCGACAGGATGAACGTCTGGCTGACCGCCACGACGGTGTGGCCAGCGAACCCTATCCAAAACTTGTTGGGACTGACGCTCACCACCTTGATCCAGCTGCCGACGCACGTGCCCAGGGCGCCCAGCAGAGCCGCGTACCTCAGACCCTGTTCCGATGGAAAAGCCAAGCTCTCGTTTGACGGCCGTGATTCGATTGCCAGCGCGAGCACAACTTACGAATCTGTCGAGGAAGTAGCTGGCCGGGAAGATGAACGGGATGTAAGTGATCATATAGATCATGCTCGTCATCTCGACCGAGAAGTTCAGCACGTCGTAGTACTGCACTATCAGGTTGGAGATGATGCTGTACTGGATCCACTGCATCGAGTTGCTCGCGCTGTACAGCACGAATATGCCCAGCACCAGCCATCGCCGCGCGTAGATTTTCGTCTCGATCGCCTGCCAATTGTCGACGACGAGAAAGAATCGTGTCACTGCCTGGGTCTGCGTTTGCCGTCGATCGCCGTCGTTCTTTTCGCTGTCACGCCGCGGCCAAGAGAAAAATAAAATACACGTGTACCTGCGTGGGTGGCAAGCCACCTTCGACGGCCTTGACGTAATCCGAGGAACCTTTGACCATCGTTGCGCTAAGGGGACGCCTCCTACCGTTGCTCGAGGGTTATCTATATTCAAACGACCAACGCTCGAGCAAGTTCAAACTCAACGCGTACCCCTCAATCTCTAACTCCCGGCATAATCGCACAAGTGTTTTTCTGCCTACTTTTGGCACCCAACTTTCGCTCGAATCTGCAAAATAGAAGGGCAAACGCTCGTCTCTTCGTCGGGAGGCGCGGATTTCACGTGAGCGCGCGATGCGTTTCTTTGTTGGGAGACGCGCAGACAGACGCGGAGAGATAAAGATGGTTGAGTGACGACCGATAGACGCGCCGGTGACCTTATTCAACAAACTGTAAAACATCTGCACTCTTCGGAGAAAAGGCAGCGTTAATTATGCAGAGCGCGCGCGCGCATTAGTTTCCAATTTCCTCGGCGTCAGCGATCACGCGTTCAAAGAGTGTTTTCATCGCCGTTGGGAATTCGACATCGGCATACTTAACGACCCGCCGTAGCGCGCGCGAACACTGCGACGGAATTCCGACTCGACGGGGCGCTCCGAACTTTCCCCAAGCGGGAAGCCAATTGAATTTACCTCGGCGCGCGGCGAGAGCGAAGCCGTGAGCCTTCGCAGCGCGCCGAGTGAATCTTCTTCCTACGGCGATCCGCGTTGAATTGGAAACGTCCGAGGCAGAGCTGGCGCCTCGTTGAGCCGCTCGCTCGGCGTTATTGTCGGTCGCGCGCGAGCTCTGAATTTCGCGTCGATGCCGCGCGATCAGATTCCTTATCGCCGAGAGAAACCGCCTCGAGTCGACTGGTTCGCGCACAAATCTGCCGAAATCTGTCGCGGCGATCGGTCGCAGCAGCGGCTCCGACGCGTGCACAGACGTACGAGCGAGGCACTTACCGCGCGCAAAGGGGAAGGCAAGGACGAGAGTGGCGTGGGTGCTGACCCTCGGGGCGCTCGGCTCGCACTGATACTGAGCGCCTCGCTCGTCTGGGATTGTTCGTCCGGCCGCGCGAAAGGAGCTCGGCTGGCTGGCTGGCTGCTGCGAACCACGTGCGCGCACGCGTTCTAACGATCCACGATTTCCGGGGGGGGGCCCGTTTTCGTTCGCACTCGCATCGCGCGCGCGCGCGCACACACACACACACACACACACACACACACACACACACACACACACTTCGGCCCGCGTATCGATCCTCTCCGTGCCAGCACGCCGTCACCGCTGCCGCCGTCGCCGCCGCCGCCGCTGTTCCTCCTCCTCCGATGGCAAAGCAGCGACTGGCGCGCGCCACGGCCTCGTCTGCCGCTGATAGTCCGACGCGCGAAAGCTGCGCGCGTCTTCCTCGCCCAAGAGCACTGACATGCCCGTCGGCGCAGCGGAACGCGCACGCACACAAGCGCGCTCGCCGCCTCGTGTCCGCGCGCGGACCTGCTGCGTGCGCCTCGCGCCTTATCAGCCCGCGTGCACACGCCGCGAGATGCGCCGACGCTGGCTACACGTCGGACGCCGCGAGCGCGCCGCCCGTGCGTGCTTTATTTGCATCGGCGCACATGCGCGCGCCGCGAGCTTTTGCGGCTGCCGCGCCGCGACGATTCCGATAAGGGACTCCTCTCTCGGCCGCTCGTCCGCGCCTCTCCGGGGTCTTGCTCTCTCGCTTTCGTTGGCCATCTCCCGAAGTGCGCGCGCGCGACACCGCCGACCGTCTGACTCATCGCGAACGACAGTGCGGTCTTTTTCGTTTCGTTCGCGCGAATTTTCCGCGTTCGACGCTTTGTCATTGCGTTTCTGCAGACCGCGCTAATCGATGCACGGTTCGCTCGGGCGAGAAGAAAACGCGCGAGCGTTGCGACCTTCGCGCTATCTCGAGCGTGGTAGGCACTTGGGACGAGAACTCGCGGGAGATCGATTGCACTTGCGCGTATTGCTGAATGAGAAGCAGAGTAGAGATCGAGGAGAGGGATTGCGAAAAGCGTCTTATTAAATTGACTGTATTCGACGACCCTCCCCACGCGCGCGCGCATGAAAAGCGGAATACCAAGCGACGACCATTCGCTGCAAGCTCCTGAGTGTTTTTTTTTCTTTTCTTTTTGAGAGAGAGACTTTTTCATTGCAAGCCGCCGAAGCCAATTGTGCTGAGCTTGTCAACAGCTGAACGTGCAACAAAGCCGCGAACAAGCAGCATTTGGAAAAGAACGACGACTCTAGATAAAATCAAATAAATATTGCTTCGGAAAGACTTACTTACGGACGAAATAACGTTAACGATGGCGGATGTCATGGTGGACCGTTCGAAAGAAGGGCGAGAGAGAGAGAGAGAAAGAGAGAGAGAGAGATGCACTCCCCTTGGAGAAGAGCGACGGTATATCCTCGCGGCAGGCGGAGTAACAATTGTAACGAGCTGACACGCCGACCGGCGCTTTTATACGCTCACCGCGTGGTCTTTTACAACTATTCGCGAGGTATCTGTGCAACAGATTATATTTTGATTACACGCACCGTGTGTACGCTGCGTGTATTGGCACAGATAATACGTGTCGATAGCCCGGGCAAACAGCCGGCACGCTGGAGATTGCGACGGTGCGCAAGATCGTTAACTGCGCGAGCGTGGACACATCTTTATGATCTCGAGGACAATTGTTATTACGCAAAAATTCGTCGGTTCTCGCTGACTCGATATTGTGCGTACAACGCAACCGTCGAGCGGATCGGTCGATCTCTGCGCCGTGAGACGACGAGGCGCGATTGCTCGTTCCGCCGTGCCCGCCGACGAACCTGCATGCGCATCGGCTTAATTGATAAAGGTGCCGAGTTATTTTGGCGCGAGCCCGCGGTGTGGCTTTTCGCGTGCATCCGACCTGCACCGCCGAACAAAAGACTCGACATTCGCCCGCAGATCAGAGCTTCGTACGACAATTATCGTTCCATGCTAATTCCAACTATTCATTCGATGTGTATGTTTGGCTGATTGCTAATCCGCTTTTGAAAATGTCACGAATGGCAATTGGATAGTTGCAATCGATCCGTCGAATGACATTCGCCGACGATAAATTTATTTGCGAAAGACATTCTCGAACAATGACGTCTTCCGAGTGAACGAATCGAAATCGGCGGGACCCAAACAACGACGACGATACTCCAAGTGCATTTGGGCATCGTTATCGATCGTTCAACGAGAACGGGCGCTTTCGCTTGGGCGTGCAGGAAAGCCGATTCCGACAAAAAACCAGTTAAACGGTCTAGCACTCGGCGCGTCAGAGGATACGCCGTACAACGTGTACGTTGTGGCTCGCTCTCTCCCTCTCTGTGTCAGGTGTCGGCGACAAAAGGGAAACCGGAAACTATATCGCGTGCCAGTTGGTGGGCGCACGCGCGCCTATGCGCAGAGGGGCAGGCGAGTCACTCGAGCTTGAGAGGCACCTTTTCATTGTTGCCGGCGGAACAAGCGAAAAAAAGAATCGCCGGCGCTGTGCCGTGCAGTCGGTCGTACGAGCCACTTCGGGTAACAAGCCGCGCGAGCGAGAACCCAAACCGAACGGCGCAGGACTCCCGAGGATGAGCACGAGGAGATTGGCCGCGCTGACGACGCGCGCGCGACACGAGAGGCGTCGACGCGACCGACGAGCAGTCGGCCGCCGCTGGTGAGTGTGTGGCACTTTTGCTCGAGCGGGGCACGCGAAAATCGGCGCGAAGCTCAACCCCCGGAGACGCGACGGAACGGCGACAAGTGGCGTTTCGCAAGCCGCGCGGAGCCGACCGGTGACCCGGATCGGCCGCGCCGCCGAGCCACCAGGCCGGCGCGCTCGCGTAACGCCGCGGCGGTGCGACTGACCTATTACAATGGAGGAAAAAACCGAGCGGCCGCGGCCGGGGAGTGAAAGTAAAAAGCAATCGAGGAACGGCGTGCGCGGCTGCGCTTCGAGCGCGAGAAACCGGTCTAACGGCGCGGCGCGCGAGTCCTTATGACATAAGAGAACGCGCGGCGCGAGCGCGACTCCTACCACGGCGTCGCCGCGCCGAGCGCAACTTTCAGCTCGCACGCCAGCTCGCGCGCCAGCTCGCGTTTTACTTTCGATCGGCGAGCGATCGCGCGCGCTCCCCCGCTGGACGGCCAGCCGCGCGCGACACCTTCGGCAACGACGTCGGCGGCGCCTGCCGCAGTGCGGTCGCGCGAGTGTGCCATGTGCGCGTGACCGCGAGCCTCGGCGATGCCCACCCGAGCGCGCGACCGGCCGACATGTCGCTGATCGGCGCCACCTTCGGCTCGCTGTTCGCCGAGAGCGACCGCGTCGTCACGGCCCAGGAGCGCTACAACCTGGCCACGTTCATGGTGCTGTTCTTCCTGATAACCATCGAGGTGGTGCTGGTCAAGGTGGCCAGCTACGAGTACGAGCGCGGCGAGGACGAGCAGAGCTACGGCGAGCAGCAGCGAGACCCGGCCGGCGCGCTGCTCCTCGAGGCCGGCGACGATGCCTGAGCCGCCGCTCTCGCTGTCGCAGCACTCGCTCGTCGGGCGCGTCCGCTCCGCGGGCGGCCGCCGGGCCGCAGCAGGGCGCAAGGCGCAGCCCCCGCGAGCGACGCTCCAAACTACGCGGATCGACGATTGTTCGGCTGGCGCTGCTCGGGCTATATAGGTCAATGCGATTGCCCGCTCGTTGCGGCTCTCGCTGGCTCGCTGCGTCGTCAATTATTTCGTTCCGCGAGCTTCCAATCTCGCCCGAGCGTCACCGTCGCATTTCGCAGGCCGCGGCGAGTGCCGCTCCATTTCAGCCGCCGCCGCCGCCGTCGCCGCCGCCGTTGGTCGCGTTAATTACCGCAGCGCGCGACCGACGGCCGCTCGCTATTATGCAGCAGGTAAAGTGCATTTTTCTCCTACTTTCACTGCCCCGAAGACAAGAATCGAGGCGCGGACCACTCTTTCGCGCTGATCTACTCGCGTAATAAAGCAGCGCAGTCTCGCTCGAGAATCAATAGTTTTTTCCTATGCCGATGACAGCTTTCGTTTGCAATCTCGGCCCCCCTCCCCCCTTTCTCTCTCACGCTGTGACGGCGCGGCGTAAGAATAACAAAAAGAGAAAAAAACATGGTAGTTTGTCGGTGAGAAACAACGGCACGGTGTATATCAGATAAGACAAGCAGATAAGAGGTGCCGCGAGTGTGTGCGCGCACACAGTGGTGCGCGTTAAAAGCGTACACACTCGACACAGATACGTTAGTCCAAAGCTCTCGCAACTATTAGGCATTGCGCGAGAAATAGAAGCGGCGTGTGTTATAGCTCGCGCTCTCTGTCTCTGTCGCTCGTTTTCTTTTCTTTTTTCTTTTTAATTCTTCAAAATAGCGCATGCGCGCGCCGAAGACAGCGCGAGATAACAAGAAGGGAAGCCTTGAAACCGCGACTCGTACGCCCGTCAGTCATATAAGGTGCAAAAGTCTCATTTGTCAAATTGCACGATGTAGTTGCTTGCCAAGTGCTGCTGCTGCTGCTTGTTTTCTTTTTTCTGTTTTTAGAAAGTGGCGTACTTTATACAGCTATTGTGTTTGTTAAAGAGAGGCAGAGCTCGATGGTTATGAAAAACTATGTGTGTGTGTGTGTGTGTGTGCATGCGTGTGCATGTGGATGTGCGCGTGCGATCGTTTCGCGAGTGACACGCTTTCCGCACGCACGCGGTTCTTGCTTTATTGCTCATTTTTTTTTCTTTTCGCGGGACGGGTCGTTTAAATAACCGCACTCGCCGTACTCGCGAGCCATCGTTACGTAATCGCAACTACGAGCTTATCGAGAAAAAAAAATGAAGAAATGTCGACCGCTATCGCGCCGCACGCATACGCGTATCGCGAGATAACGAGCGTGCAGTGACGTAAGCGCAATCGGCGATCGTTCGAGCTACAATAGATTTCCCGTCCGACGATTCTTTGCCGTTGGCGACAATAAGCTTTTCACGACGTCGCCACTCGCCGCAGCCGTAACGCGCGCGCGAGCGTTTGCGTAGATCTCTTAATCGCTTTGCTCAACCGTGCTCGCAAAGGCCGCCGCTGCGCAATCGACTTTTGCTCAACGCACCTAAATGAAGAAGAAGAAGAAAAAAAAAGAAAAATCATATACGGGATGTTGGAGAGGTAGAGAGCTCGTCTTTCGACATAAGCCGTCCAGTGTGAGAGAGGGGACCGATTTCTGCACACGCGCACATTCCACGATTCTCGAAGCAGGCGAAATACGCGGCGTTTTACCTAGCGAAAGGATGCCGTCGCGATATATAAAATTAACGTTACCTTGCTCACTGCTTTTCCATGCCGTGCCGGTGTAGCATTGGCGCGAGGCAGCCTTCGAAATTTAATTTCGCGCGTCATCGTCATCTTTTTCTGCTTCTTCTGCCCTCCCTCGAGGCTGCTGGCCAGCCTCGAATCCATTGTGCTTCGGTGCGCTTCATCCCAGTTGCACTTTCCTCGTTAGTTCGCTCGTTCTATCGTCATTTACATTTTTATCGGAAATTGATTAGGCACTCCTCTTCCAGTACCCTCTCCGTCTGGGGGCAAAAAGTGACGAGAGAGAGAGAGAGAGAGAGAGAGAAAGGTTTGGAGCAACGCATCTCAAAAAGTTTACTAATGGGCTAAGGGTCGCGAGCGAGAAACGATGGTCATTCGATCGAGGATGATCGACCGAGTTTGTGCAAATTAACCGTCGGTAAATGGCACACGATCACGGAAGAGAGATGCTGGTTCTAATTGGAGGACTGCTCGTCGTCTCCTTCTTGTACTTGGTGGCGGCGATGAAGAAAGACGGTAATCTGCCAATGAACTTATGTAGAAGTCAGGCGTACTTTAGCAACGTCATTTACAAGCTGTACGAATTGCGTACATGTAAAACGCGATCGTTTAATTTTCTTCGAAGCCGCATAAGAGGCTTTACCGAGCCTCCGATTCGGTAAAATCACGTACGAAGCGAATGGCTGGCCTGGAAGCTCGATGTCGCGCTGGTCGAAAATACCTGCGCTCCGGCGAGCTGCATCACTTATTAAAAGGGGGAGGGGGGAGCGCGAGGCCTTGACCTCTGGCGCGCGCGTGTCGCGCAATTCGGAGTGTCGTCACCTATAAAAAGCCCGTGCTCGGCGGGCAAGGGTCGGGCAGGGTGCTCCGCGCGCCCTACGATCGAGGATCAGTGTTTCAGAGCTGAGATTCGTCTCGAGCCGACGTCGTAGGCGCGCACGCGTGGCCTCCAGAAAGACCAGTCGTCAAGAGAAAGAAAAAAGGGCACAACGCGCAATGTGGTCAGCGAGACGCGCCGAGAGCGAATTAGCTCGGAGTCGTTACACGCTTACGCATTTTGCAGATGCAGCAGCGCAGGACGAGCGATCCGAGCAATCTGATAAGCCCAGAGATTCGCAAACATCGTCTGTCGATGTGACTAATATGGAATGTAGTCGATCTAGTCCTAAGTATGTTTGCTCGATATGTGGGTCAGAGACGACGATCAAGGTATATATATGTATATATATAAATTGTCCGACCGATCGATGCGATGACATTTCCATTGCACGCTGATTTATCCGGCCAGATTGAGGAAAAAGTCGAGGAGTCGACCACGACGACATTCGAGATCGTCGAGGATGCGACTGGTTGGCTGCGCTTCGACGATAATAGCTTGCGCCGAGTGCCATTCCCCGAGGCTGGGGTAGATATCGTAGATCGCAAATTAAAAAGTACGTACAGTGCTCGCACGCGTGCCCTTTTTAATACGACGCCTCGACGAACAAGGAAGCACGTCGCGCGCATTGTATTTTCTTTTGCAGATACGGAAGACTCGCTGTGGCGAGAAATAGACGAGCACCGCTGGGACGACGGCGACATCTTAACGTACACCGAGTCGTGGACGGAGAACTGGTTGTTTCGCAGAAAGAAGGAGAGCAGCGCGCGCGAGGACACGGCTGGCGTCTCGTTCAAACCTGTCTCGATGTTCGTGCCGAGCACGAGCGCGAAATGTCGCGCGATGATCGGCGATCAGGACGTCGACGAGATCTCCGACCTGTCCGACCTGTCCGACCTCTCCGACGGCTCCGACGGCTCCGACGACTCTGACGGGATGGCGAGGAGGGAGGCCGACAGCGCGACGGCTAAATATATCTACGACCAACGCAGTCGCGTATTTATAGACGGCAGATCGAAACACCATGGCGAAAACTTGGGTTTGGCCGCCGGCAGGCCAGACCAACCAACCGCGAACGGCCAGGCGAGCTCGCCGGACGACGACCGGCCAGCCGGCCGCGAGGGCCTGGCCGATCACGAGCCGGCCGACAACAGGTACCCGCTCTGTTTTTCATGGCCGACCCGCGCGCTCTCGGCTCGGACCGCGGCTCCGCATTTAAGACTGCGACGCAACGTCTCTCTCCGCAGGTCGCGCTACAGAAGCGAGCTGTTCGTCGAGGCGCGTCACGCGGCTCGGAGCTGCACCATGGGCGGCGGCGACGACGGCGTTCCATGCTCGGCTGCAGACTCTCGCTTGACTTCGCCGCCGAGGCCGGGTGAGTACTCGACCAAGCTGCGATGAAAACGAGGAACGAGACTGTTGACGATGCAGGTACGATCGCCGATCGCGAGCACCGCAAGTGGCAAACTGCGGCGCCAATGGAGAACAATCCCTACAGCGAGGAGAATCTGCAGAGGAGGCTCGCGGAGCGGAGTCGCGCTCCGAGGTATTCCAGTGGCTCCAGGTAAGGGGACGTGCAAGCGGCGAATGTTCTCCTGGTCGCGTGCCTGACTGTGCGTGTGACTTTTGCCGGCAAGCCTCTTCGGAATGGCGCGAACAAACGGACTGGACAACGCAAGAGCAGTCGTTGCCGACGGCATCCAGTTCGAGACGATGGACTTACCGCCTGAAAAGTCTAGTGCACGCTGCGATAACGATGCTCCAGTGACGACTGCCGAGAGCAGATCAGCTGCCGCCGGCCAGTCAATTGTCATCGATTGCGAGAACACGGATACTGCGATGGTCACGCGACCGAAGGAAGACCAGATCCCCAGGTGCAGGCAGCCGCCGTTGGCTGGAAGGCCGAGCCCGAGAGGATCGGGAGGCAATGACGTGGCGCGCGCCGCAGAAGACGCGGCTAAAAATACATCGGGCAAATCGAAGCGCAGCGACGGCCATGCGATCCAAGTGACGAGGAACGATGCGACGATCAATGAAGCCGATTGCGCCGGCTCGGGCGGCCGCGCGCGCGATCAGGCGATATCGCTGCCGTCCGTGAAAAAGCTCGTCGAGGTTTTCAGCCAGAAGCAGAGAGCCGCCACGGGTGCGGCGCCGGTGGCAGCGACAGCGACCAAGCCAAAGGTAAAGGCCCTCCCGAACGAGTCGATTAACAATTGACACGCGCGTGCCGTGGCGGATAACTAAAACCGTTTGCGACCATGTCGATCGATGTGCCTATAATGTATCAATTGCATTCTCTCCTTTGTCCATTTAGGACCGGAGCGACGGCGACTCGCAGCAGCAGCAGCAGCAGCCCAAACTCAAGCGAGTAGAAAGGACTGCGCAGCAGTCGGCTCCACCCCTGCATTTGCATAGTTTGACGGCTAGATCGCTTTCGAAAGAATTTCGAGAAGGATTGCGCTGAGGAGATTGCGTCTGATTGCTGAAACGCGAATGAATGCGTCAATGAGCAATAGAGCGAGAACGAATGGTTTCTATATGTAAATATAAACGTTGCATCGTGTATGCCTGGCTTCGTCATTTTTTATTTGATTTGAAAGAAGCTCGCAGTACGTTTATCCCTGTAACGCAAGAAAGTTATATCGTGAACAAATTTACGAATCAAATTAATGGATAGTGCCGAGACAAGAGACTGCAATTATTTTAGATTGGATGTACACGATGAATTGTTGATAAAATGCTTATATTGTATCTGCAATGGAGTTGTATGTTATTATGATCAGCGTAGTCGTGTTCAATAAAGTTTGTGAATACTCGATCGGAAACCTAATTGTTTCTGTAACAAAGTGAATTTCAATGGAAATAAGCTTCGATCAAGTGTTATCGAGCGAACTGCTGCGAACGAACGAGAGTGGCATTTTTATCGATGTGCTCAAAGATCGCTTTCGACGACCACTAGACGGAGCTACGTTCCGGAGCATTGTCACTCGGACACGTCGTGCCGGCAATGATTGCCGAACGATTCCAAAGATGCAGGTAACGATACCGTGCCAATTGTTGCCTCCACGCAGTTCACTCGCGCGCTTATCGGCTATTCGGTGCGGCCGCGTCGCGCACGAGAGACTCGTCTATGACGTGGGATAGCGTCGTAATAGAACTCTCCCGTATCAAACCAGTTTATTTTCGCCCGTAACAATTTGACGAAATCACGGGGAAAAAAATCAAGCGGAATCGCGGCGCAGTAATCTTCTCTGACGCTCTTGACAAATAGCCGCGCATGGGTCGATTGGCTTTCATCTTCATTGGACGTCCGGCCGGGATATAATGGGTCGCGATGCGGAAACGCTGTCTACGCGACTCGTCCACTTGGCGCGTGAGTAGCAGTACGGCATTGTTATCGCGCGCGCGCGTCCGTGTGTATATGTATCCGTCGTCTCACGCGCTATACGAATGAACGCCACCTGCGCAGTAGCGCTCCGTCTCTCTCTCTCTCTCTCTCTCTCTCTCTCTCTCTCTCTCGCTCTAATAAAAAAAACAACCGCGTGAGCGTTTACCAATTTATATGTCGTCCTATTAGCCCGCAACCCACTCCAACTTGCCTTTCTTTTTCGCGTGGGCGCTGGTAAACGGCTCGAGTGGCTTATTTCGCTTCCATATAGTGTTTCACTTTTTCTCCTCTCTCTCTCTCTCTCTCTTTCCGTTGCGAAACGGCGTACGTATATGATTCGATTTAGATGGAAATCACGGTTTGGCGTGGAAATTCTTTATGGATTTTTTGAGTAAACTATCTGCTCATTGGGTGGGCTTAAACTTTATTTCGCTTGGTTTGCAAGTATTCAATTATATTATTGTCTTCTCACAAGAACATGGACTGCGTATGCTTATTTGGAATATCAATTGGAATTAACATCACGATCAACGCGTTAATTGAAAACAATTGGAACAATACACTTAATCAGGTAGTTCAAGTTTTTCACTCTGACTAAATGAAAAAGATAAGTATAATGTGCCACGATAAAGCACGTCGACAAAGAGTCCCCTAAGTAATGATTACTCTGGCAAGCTCCTGTAGACATGTAACCGAGAATCCGTAGAGCCAACTTTTAATCGCGATATCTCCGCCAGGAAAGAGATAAAGTTATACGGGCACCTACCTATCCGAGAGAGAAAGAGATGAAGCTAGGTTAGGTATATACATATATGTACTCACAGGTGACGAGTGTAAGAGATAGGTGGAGAGAGCGCGTGAGTGAGAGAGAGAGAGATACTTGACGTGTGCGCTGCCCGTCGAGTCGAGTTCGTGTGTTAGCTGGATTAAATATCCTCGCGGCATATATACACACGTAGATTTACGAGAACAATAATCCTTGCGTGGATAAGGCACATAGGTGCGCCTCGACATTCTTCTCTCTCGTTCTTTCCTGCGAAGAAGGGAGCTCTCCGTGAAAATGCGATAGAACATACCAGCTGCCTATAGACAGAGATTACAGTAAGCAGAGTAGTCCACGGATTTTCCAGGTATATAATTATGCGCTCTCGATAAGTGTTAACTATTTGAATATCTCATTTATGCTTCGCGCGCGATTAAAAAACATTGTCGCATTTTATGTGAGTATAGAGGCGAAAGCCTAACCTGAGTGCGCTAGAAAGATACGGTGGCTATATACTATACTAAGTTTCAAGGTGGTGCTCGACGTTCTATCTATCTATTATATTCGGTTTCGCGAAAGAAGCATAACTTATTTGCTTTCTTGACACTTCGAATTTTAACTAGATTTTAGTTGAATAGTGGTATTTGATGATCAGCATTGACCTCGTATTGAATTAGAGGGAAAGCTACATTTGTCAAACAATGATTAAGTGTTCGTTCTTCTAATGATATAGTTATTTTATGTTTTTTTTAAAATAGATCTTCATTATGGCTATTCCACCCTTAGTAAGTTCAACTCCACCGCCTTTGGACAATTTTGGAGAATCTGATGATGATGAGTTTGGAGATTTCACAGCAGCTGGAATCGATGGTATGTTATACTTTTATTGCAGCAGTTGACATGTACTCATTTATATATTTCTTTTAAGGATTGTCACTGGCATCAGATTCTCCGCAAAAAATTTTATCTCCAGTGCCCACGCCAACACCTTCTCAATGTGGTACACCAAAAGTCAATGGTATAACAAGTACCTTGTCAAAACTGGTTATATGCAAGGATGATGAGATCATCAGAAAAGAAACTAATGACGAGATTTTGATTGTGGAGAAAACTAATGACACAGTGAGCCAGATAAATTTAGAGGATAGGACAGATAGTGATAGAAGTAAAAACAGTGACTTTGATAATGATTTACCTTGTATTAGCAGCTTAGACATGCTTGATAGCAATGATGTGAAAAATTTGAGGAGCAATAGTGGTAGTTTAAGTCATCGAGGTGATATTCAAAAAAGGATTATTAATAATGATGTAGTTAGTAGTAACAATAGTAGCTTAGATGATAGTGGTAAAACAGGAAGTGAATTGGAAGATTCGTTAAGCAATTTAGAGATTAATGATGAGCCTGAACCTTTGAGTTTAGTTCTAGATGACCCAAACAGCATTTCAGATGCACAGCAAAATCTAGAAGATGATTTTTATGAGTATGACGATTTTAAGGATCCACTTGAACAAAATAGTCCTGTTAGAAATAAATCAATTGAAAATCAGACAATTCACATTAATGAGCATTTTCAAGAAACAAAAGTACAAAATGATTTATTTACAAAGTTTGATGTGTCACCTATAGAACAGAGTAACGATAATAGTGAATCTTCATCGTCTGCTAATGATCATATGCAAACAAAAACAAGCACTGATTCTGATACTATCAATAACACTAATTATGATTCTGAAAATACTTTAGAAATATCACATTTTTCTCTAGATAAAAATGAACTTAGACCTAGAGAAGATGAATTTCAGACATTCACAAGTTATCAATTTGAAGGTTTGCTGAGAGAAACAGCTATTAATGAAATCAATTATGATGGGAAGGATGTGAATTCTAAACCAGCTAATTTTAGCTTAAGTTTTGATGACTCTATTGAAGAAAAATCAAATTTAGATTGTGAATTTGTAAATAATCTAGACAATTCTAATAATTGTATTATAAATGAAAATGTGAATAGTTATCAAAAATCAAAAGTAAATTTTGCTGATTTAAAGACTGCTGATACAGTTAATGACGATTATTTCCAATCTACAAATGCCAAGAATATTCAATATGCAATTTACAACAATGATGATGTTGGAACTTCTGAAAATGTTACTAGTATCAGTCCGAGAGAAGAAATTGACTGTGATTTTAATGACTTTCAAAATCAACAAACGCTTCATGAAGAACCAGTATTTCAAAATGGTTTTGATGACTATGATAGTCTGAAATCAAATCAAATTAATGACAAATCAGGTGATCATACCAATGATAGCTTAAATGATTTTCAATCTCCACTGCCCAACTTTGATGTTGATTCTGTCAATAAAAACATTCATGAAGTCATGTATAATAGGTCTAGTACATTTGCTATACCTGAAAAATCAATAAAAGTAGATAATGAATTCATGGATTATCAAGCTGGAAAAATGGATAAAAGTGAACAATCTGAAACTTTCCAATCAGCAATGAATGATATGGATGACGATTTTGGCGATTTTGCTGATTTTTCATCTGCTCCCATAGAAAATGTTCATATAAATATAGATAATAGTCAAAATCTTGCAAAATCTGAACTTAATTATATCAATGATGACTCAATGGATGATTTTGATGATTTTGCTGATTTTGAATCTTCCGCACCTGTAGTTGATAGACTGCCTGTTAGCTTAAAAGAATCTATAAGTCAAATAGAAAACAAAAATGTAAGTTTTATTTACTTTTTATATTAAATTATACAATACATCAGGCACACACTTTACATTTTTAGAAAAATACATTTTATAGTTAAAATTTACTATTTTTTGTAGCAATATAGAACATAATGTTGCTCTTCTAATGATTATGTGTCAATGTGACATTTAAATATGTTTTACAGGCAGCAAACAAGATTGAAGATATAGTTAGCAATATGTTCCCCTCCTGTACCGAATATCTAGAAACAAATTTACACCCTTTAATATCTAAGCAAGACGATATATGGAACAATTTGAAAAGCGTTGAAGAAACTAATGCTCTAAGTTACCAATGGTCAAATAGTAGTAGCAACAATGCTCTATTAAACGCTCTAGGCATTGATTCACGTAATATTGTAAGTTCACTCAACGTTAGAAACAAATCGTTTCTCACGAATATTTTAATTAAAAATAACAAATTTGTGCTGTCAGTTATTTGGACCAAGGTGGAATCCCAACATTCCAAGATTTGCAGCTAATTTAGGTTTTTCACCATTAGAGCCTGTAAAAGCTTCTGCTGAGGCATTTATGAGTATGCCGCCTACTTCCACAAAATCACCAAACTCGTCCGCTACCGAGGTAAGTTTCTCGTCGTTCCTATTAATATTCAGTTGACGTCAGCATATTAATTACGTTTATTAATTTTTCAACAGGAAATACCTGCTGCTCAATTCGATTGGAATAGTTCAGGACTGGTAAATCCATTGGATGGAAGTGAGTACACACGTTATGTTTTGATCCAATTTGTATGATATTAGTTGCTTACTAAATTAATAAGTATTACGAATTAGATGTATGTTTGCTTGGTTCTTGGTTTAAAGTTTCATTATTTGTTATTGTTGTTTACTTAAATAAATTTGGCTTCTTATGGTGGAGATTTACTTGTAATTAACTATACAGGTGGCGGGTTATCTGCGCTTCTACCATTGGATTTATTATACCCTTTCGATCCTCTACTATCATCCCATTGTTCCGCTCATTCTGAATCCTACCATCATGATCCTACTTCTACAAGGAGTTCTATATACAATTGTAAGTGAATAAAGCTAGTTTTCCTAGAATTCCATTTCTTTGTAATGCACAAGTTAGTAGATATAGTTACCTTTTTTTTCATCCATATAAATCTAGCAATGTCAAAAGCATAGAGCTTGCTTTAAGATATTTAAAATAATTGACTAATCTCACATTAATCTTCGTTATAGACCCTCCAGAAACTAGTTCCTCGCAAGACTTCAAACAATCACAATCAACAAAGTCACAGATATCGGCTAGCCACCAAATTAGCAGTCCACCAAAGCCACAAAAGCAACAACAAATGCAAACTTCTAGAATAATTGAGCCGCTGCCCGGACCAAGTACTATAGACTGGAAGAAAGCAGATACAGAATCAAGATTACGAAGTGAAGTGCAGAAGACTTCGAAAGTTTCGCAAACTACAAATAAATCGTTCCTCGCAAGCAGTGCTGCTTCTAGCAAGCTAGATGCTGCAAGACCTGATAGTAGTAGATCCGAAGTGTATAGGTACGAACAACAACATCGCAAATCTTCGCTCAACAAAAGAGAACATTTACAAAACCCGGAACATGTGGTATTAGATAGGTACGGTCGCCCGATGACTGTTTGTACAGATACAATGAAAGTATTGAAACAATTACCGGATATATCGTTTCTGAGTGCAAGAATGCTGCTTCTCAGTCCTGAACAGAAACAAGTCGTTCCGGATCTTGGTGCAATGATCAATCGTAAAATGCCTGGCTGAGTTACGACGGTCTGAATACGAGTTTGAAAGGGTAATCAATATCTTTGATCAGTTTGTAGATAGCAATTTCTTTAGTTTCGAATGAGTTGATTTTGTATATTCAAAATAAAATAGAAAAGAGATAGGAATTCTAAAAAAAATTTGTGTTCATAACAATATGAAATAAAAGCTATTAACTATTAAAAGCTATTAACTATTAAAATCTATTATTATAAATTTGGTGCATTTAATTTTAATTAGAAATAATTTCTTGAAATCAAATGATTTTAGTTTTCAAATAAGATACAAATTATAAAACAGCAAAAAAAGATAATAAAAATGGATTTGCTTATAATTTCGTTATTCTGGAAAAATTCAATAACGTCGACATTGCGCAACTTAACGATTTTAGTAGTTGCATGCTCTGTGATTGCGTGTTAGATTACATTTTTATTGTCGTTGAAGACTAAAATTTCGATAAATAATATATTTTTAACGTTGTTAAAATAAAATCAAACGAACTATTGATAAACTGAATTTGAAATACCTTTCAAACCTGCATTCAGGCCGACATAACTAGTACTTTTAAGGCGCTATCCTTACTAAAAATTGAGTTCGAGCACAATTAGATTTTATTTACATTCGAAAACTGTCATATTTTACATTCCATTTATGCTGTAGAGATTGTAAGTTTAAGGCAATTTTACAGAAACAATGTTATCAAGTGATAAGACTTCAAAATATTGATGCGTATTAAAATAGATTGTATAAATGTTGATTTTTGTCAATTGTGAAACGTAAGTAAGATTGTCGTATTTTGTACTTATCAATTATGAAGTAGAAATCGATTGGTTAATTATTTACTGATTAAGCAATTTAATTGCAATTTTCGTTGAGTGTATTACAATAAATTTCCATATCGATATATTTGAAGCGTCAGTCAAATTGACGTGTAATTTTAGAAGATACATTTTTACGTGATATATTTGAGCAACAAAGTTCATATTTGTCATAATTTGTTTTGTAGCAGACCATTTCGTTAACAAAATATAGGAATTTCATGTTTCGAGATTTGGTCTACATTCTAGTCCGCTAAAAATGTTGTATAGTACTATATTATATTTCAAGTATTATGCACAATTGTTTTATTGAAGCAGTTATAATATATTGTTGTTAATTTTCACTAGGGAATATCACACGGCATCTCAAAGATCGCTTGCATAATTTTCTTGGGTTATGGGCTTTTAATAACATTATTCTTTGATATTGATACGTATCTCAAATAATTTTACTTACTATAGAATCAAGCTTAGTTAAGTAGTACGTTTTATCACACAGAAAACGCTTGTACTTAATTGATTTAAGCAATGAACGCTACCCTTCAGTCAAAAAATAAAAAAAAAAATAAAAAAAGAGAGAAAGTTGATAACTGATGCAGAATGTCAAATCAGGTATCTATCATTACATAATACTAACTCAACAAGTACCTTTCACAAGTACCACAGTGACTTATTGAGGAACAGTTTTCAAACATCTAACAAACTTTATAACCTACCACATGCTTCATTAAAGTATGTAAAATAAACAAAAAGTTCAAATCAATTTTCAGAAGTTAACTGTAGTTCTCTCATAATTGAATACAAAATATTAAATAGAATATAAGAAGTGCTTACTGCTCACGTGTAATTTAAGTTTTCTTCTACAGTAAGAAATTTATTACTTTTTTAAGATAGCTTGTGATGAAAAATAACATTCAAAAGATACCTTGCAAATATGTGAAGATATAATTTTTGATAAATCACTTGCTTGTGTACCTTAAAATAAGTTCATTTCTGTAATTATTCATGTGCGTACTTAACTGCATCACTATCAATACTTGTGAGCATTACAATATTCATAAGATATTTGTCAATAGCTACCAAATATATTAAGTTTGTTATTTAATAACAATAATATTGTAACATATATTTTATGTAAATTATTGTGGATGAAAATATAAAAAACTTGTTTAAAATTTCTATCTCATATTAAATTATTCCCAAACTTACCTATTTTGGTTAACTTTCATTTGTTCTGCAATATACAATTACGATTCAATTTAAAATTAATTAATAAGTTAAACGCTATAAAATGATAGTAGGAAAAAAGCCCTGAACATAATTATTCTACCACAAAAGTGCTACAGAATGTTTTGAAAAACTTTCTGCAAGCGATTTAATAATCGTTGCAATGAAGGAAGTAATTTTAAATGTATAAAAAGCAATAACGTTTTTCCTATTCATGACTTTAAATGTTATAGATTAAAAACTTCTATTGGCTGATAAATCACGAGAAAAACCAATGAAAAAGTCAATGCACGTACTGTAGCGCCATCTAGGCTCAGTTTTCTACTTGAATTTGCCAATCGGATGGAGCGTCGTTATAACGCAAACCCGTCGGAAGAAAATTGAAAAAAGAAAAACAAAGTGCAAAAATCGCGCGCGTAAAGTGTCATTGACTCATTTACACTTTATTATCATTACCAATTACATTTGTCGATAAATACGTTCAGAAAGGCATTGTTTATGAAGTTGTACGACGGGTCCATACTTGTTTTACGAAACAGCTGCGTAGTAAGTGTAACGTTTTTGTTTTGTCGTATGGGATGCTACATATGTAGGTTATAGCTTATAAACCGCTTATTTCTGAATATTTCTACAGAATCCAGTTTCATTTTTCAAATTTCACATCAATATAGTTAAGACAATGTAAAATCATCATAGATCATTTTCATTTATTGAAAGATACGCGTCGAATTTATACAGTGGTGCATATCATATGTTGCGCTATGTCTTTGTTTTCAAATCCAACTGTCTAAATGTGAAAACTTTTTTAGGTGAAAAAGTACCAGCATAATGACACGAATTACAAGGAGTAGGCAAACTGCAGTATCAATTGTTGAAACTACAACTAAAAAGAAAACTACAGTAAAGCTTACTACTACTGGTACAGTAACAAAGAAAATCGTTGGCAAAACAAGATCCAATGTTAAAAAAGCATCCAATCAAGATGAAAATACAGTGCCCTTTAGTCAAATCAATAAAACATCCAAATCTAAAGATTCAAGATCAAAAGGATTAGTTGTAGGTACAAAGTTGCTTAATAATGATGAAGAGCCACATAGTATAGTTTTAGGATTGAAGTCTCCAGTTCTGCGTGACAGAACTAATACAACTAATACAACAAATGAGCTTGCCAAAATAGATACTGTTTCAAAATTACCAGAAAAAATGCCATCGGCTGGAAATATGACATCAAATGCCAAACGAACTACTAGAAATGCAAAGAAACAAAGTACTTTAAATATAAATATTTTGCAAAGGTCTACAGAAAGCTACTCAATGAAAACACTAAGAGCTCGAGCAAAAGATCATCATAGAAACAATTTCTCAAATAAAGATCTTTTACATAATAATAAAGCAATTGAAACATCATTAGAGGAAAAAGATACTAATAGAAATTTGAATACAAATCAAGAACAGTCATTATCTGATAAAGTTAAATCTGAAACTGTTCGTACAATGAAAAAAGCTATGAAAAGAAAAAATATTTCTGTGGAAGATATAGAAAGGATTTTAAATGAGGATGATGGTAAGGAAATAAGCGGTCATGAAACATCTGATGATGAAGAAATCGAATCTATCCATGAAAAAAATTATAAAAAAGATGGGAATAAAACTAAAAAGTTTTTCAAACACAAAGGTATTGTTGAAGAAATGAAATCAACTATTCATACAAAGAAAAATTTGGTTCAAAATACCACAAGCAGAGCAACTAAGAAAGTAAAAAATAATGATAGTACATTTAGTCCCAAAGTGGTTAATGGAAGGCAATCTATTAAACCAGAAAATAGAAAATTGCGCACAAGGGTAGCGAAAAATTACTGTGAAACATCAAGGCTTTCAAATTCCAAAAATGAAGCCAAGAAAGTTATCGATAAACCCATTGAAAATGATCACAAAGGTGTACCTATTTACAAAAATATCAAATTATCTGAAGAAGAACATAAAATAGAAACAGATCAAGTTTATGAATTTGAAGCATCTCAAGATGATGGTCAAAAAAGTAAAAAGAGGAAAAAGACAGTCAAAAGGCCAGCTGTCAAACGTGCAAAGAAAGTCACAAACTTGCCAATTGGTTTGGCTCCACAATTAAAAAGAAAATCTGCTAAAATTATCGGCAAGAATGTGCAATTTAAAGTGGAAAATTTAAATCGAGTAAATATGAATATAGTTCCACGCGAGAAAAATATCAATGATGTGATCAATACAGAGACAGCTACAATATCTAACAATGTAGAAACAAATTATGAGGTTCCTAATGAGCCTTCGCAGATTGGTAACAGTACATTTCAAGAAGCTCCAACCATCAAAATAGTGTCAAATGAAAAATTAGAAAGCAATAACAGATACCATTTAACTACTACCCCGGCAGCACTAAAAACAGCTGCTTCAGGAATGAGAGTATTTGATCATAAAAATTACAATATTTCTCAGCCAAATCAGTTGAAGAAAATGGCAAATCACTCACTAATGAGGGAATCCATGTCTCCTATAAAAAAGGTGATAGAAGAGTTTGATACTGGCAGTCCATGGAGAGTACCACCTGTTGAAACTTTCACTCGAATAAGGAGAGTGGTGCAAAGCACACCTCAGGTCAAGAGACAGGCTGTACTATATGAAAAGAAACCATTAGACCATATTGATAAGCTCAATAAAAAATCTTTTGGTTCAGAAGAAACAATTCACTTATCATCTGCAGCTCTTAATCAACTTAGTAAAGAGTTTAGTTTAGGAGATATGAGCACCATTAAGCAGGATGAACCAAGAAAATTTGGAACAGTTATTTCTAACTTGAGCTCATCCAAATCATCAACAAATAGAACTGGTTCAAGCAGTAATTCTGTCACTCAGAAATCCCCACCACAAGGTACATCCCTGCAGTCTATTAAACCAGCAAATAATCAACAGTCACCGGTTAAAGCAATATCACCTCCAGCTGCTGATCCAAACTTGCCTGTAAATTATAAGAAACTGGACATTGAGGATCCAACTATTAGTTTTGATAACAAGGAGAATATCAGCCCAAAATCATCTCCAAAAAAAAAAATCGTTGCACCAAGTCCTTTCAGATTTGAAAAAATACGGTCCTCCAAACGATTGGGTAAATATTATCATATATTATTTTTAGAATATTTCGTTATCTTATATTATAGTGTCTCGCATTATTAATATTAAAATTAATATTTATGTTAGCTGCAATTGCTTCAAACTCAATTTCACCTGAAAAGGTTTCCTCAACAAAAATTTACGAACCAGATGCAGAAGCTGGTCCGTCATGGCTCGACAAACCAAAACCTACGTTTATGAAACAAACGAATCTCAACAATTTCTTAAACCTGGTCGATATGCCAGGAAGCACAAATATTGCTACGCCACACGGTATTTTCGACGACGTTTGCTCTACACCAGTTAGTGGAAAGAAACCAAGAAAGTTTATTGAAGAAGCCAACATTGAAAATGCTTTTGGCTTTGATGATTTTGATTGTGACGACGCATCAAACGTTGAAAATGTCTCAGCAGTTAAGATCGCTACAGAAGCAGACGTGAAAAAAAGTGTGAAGGGAAAGCTGTTTCCAAAAGCAAGGGTAAAGTCTGCTGTACCATCGAAAATTTCTGGAAATACTGCGAAAAAGACTTTTTTTAAAGCTGTTTTGAAAAAGAAGGCAATTGAAAAGTTATCGGAATTTCATCAGAAAGCAGAAGAAGACAGTGATTCTTCTGGAAAAGATAGTGAAAATAAGAACGATCAACTGGTGCCATATACAGAGTCAGAAAACGACAAAAAGAAAACCATATTAGATGCTATTACATTTTCAGATACTTTTGATGTTCTTTCCGAAAACGGAGCAGAACTTGAAGCAAAAGTACCCGAAGAAATACCTTTATTTGTTGATTTGGAGCCAGTGCATTTTACAGATGTAGTATCTTTTAATTCAATATTATGTTTTGACTTTCTTTATTATTCGTTATTATAAAAATAATTTTATTTACAGCCTCCACGGAGATCGTACAACAAAAGAAAGCGAAATGTTTGTTTTGATGTAGGCAGATGCGAATCTTCAGACGACGAAGAGCACGAAAAGAAAAAAGAAAAAAGAAAGAAGCCTAAGGAATCTCATCTCAAGAAAGAAGAGAAAAAGCGCATGGAAGAATGGGTTAAAAATGTAAATAAGACGTTTGACGAGATTGAACATTTCGATTTAATAGTTGAGTAAACTTAAAAAAGTATAATTATTAATCAAAAAAAGAGAATGTGCGTAAAAAGTGATATAATATGTGATCGCTTTTGAACTTTATTATTTTTATATCACTCCTTTGTAAATATTCCTTCAGTATCGTGTTTAATTTTTTATAAGTTGGTTAATTAATAAAATAGTTTTTAATTTTTAGACCTTTTAAAAAGAACTATTTTAGGTTTGTTGGAGGTTTTCTTTTCATTATTAGAATTAAGAAATACGTGAAATTGTATGATTCGGTGATTTTAAATTTTTCCAAGTAAATATTTATGATATACTTGTAGGTAAGTGTATTCTAAGTGTATATAACTCATTGCGAGTTATATAAGTTCCATGAGAGCTCCAATAAATTATATAATTAAGTATTAAAAGTTACTGAAGAGTAGAAAGTTATAAGATAGTGTACTGTGCAATTACCATAGCACTAATTAATTTTAATATATAGTTTTCAGACCTCGTGAAAATTATATATTGTTTGCGATAGAGATTCTAATATTGACTAAACATCTGAATGGAAAAGTCAGATAACGCTCTAATTGTTTTAAGCGTATATATAGCTTTTCTACTTTTACACATTTTTTATTACTACTATTAAAGTCAAGCATGACTTCATGTCGTACACATAAAGCAACAATAAAAGACTTTGTACGTAGGACTGGGCTTTTGAATAAACAAAAAGAAAAAAAAAAACCATAATCTTATAAACCAACTTTTATTCTTCAACTCTTTTGCGTTTTCCGTGACAAAAGGCAGAGGCTTATCTCGAGTTTATTCGCACAAAGCAACTTGGCTTTTTCGCGCCAAGTTACTCACTCGCGGCCGATAAGCTTGTATGTACGACACGAATACACACATACTGAGTAATAAAAGTGATAATAATCGCATCGCGTGCACCAATTAGAAGTCGAATCCTTTGTGATCGCCATCGCAGTGGAGCTTTGATTTCTTGACAGCTTTTCTTTGCCTGATTTCTCTCTCGAGCGTACTCTTTATCACTTCTTCCTTTGTTTAGCTTGAAAGCGTCTGTATGATGAAATCCTTGTGTTTCTTTTTTTCTTTTGCTCGAGTTATACAAAGACACGTGCGACGTTATTTCCGAGCTTTCTTTATTAATTAAGAACAGATCCACAGTCTCATTCATGTAGATTATCTATGAATGATTCATTATAGCCCACATTCTTCGATTGATATTTAATCAAGAATCTTTTCATACGTTTTTTTTATCAATCTGCAGAGTTCAAAACACCTGTACTAAATTTATACGAATTTGTCGCATACTTGTGTTATGAAATAAGCACTCGTTCAAATAATAAATGTTTACACCTGTGTTAAATTAAAAATATTAATCATTCTGATATTATCATTGCTAAAATCTATAAGGAAGCTCCAGTTTGGTTTTTATGGCACTAGATGTGATTTAATTATTTCATAATTTTTTACTTTATTGTATTTTTATTTGTCGATGTCATTTATAGGTGTTATTTGTAACAGTTTGTAACGTAGAATCCCAGAGGATTTGTTATTTATAAAATCCTGATCCTATTCGGTAAATTTCTGGTCGACGTTCTCCAATCCCCTCATAAAATCGAAACAACGTATAAGCGTTCATTAACATTCAACGCCACAGCACCTCATAAAACCTATTTACTTTTTCAGAAAAGAAAGAACGAAAATAAACTTCAATTCCCAATTGACCATCGTGCCTGCACGCGAGGGAAGAACAATTAATAACACAATACAATATCCTCGAGTAAGACGGCATACGACATGCTTTGCATACAATGCCATTGTCAGGCCTTTTATCTCGAGCGAAGAAATCGGAAAAAGGACACGAGCGCGCGTCTTTATCTAAATTGTTATCGGGTGGCCGGATAGAAGACGATTCCGAGGGAGTGAGACGTTTGGAAATGGAGATAAAGTGATTTTTGTTATCGGCGATCCTTTTATTCTCCCGGCGATGCGGCCGTACATTGACATGGGTAACACACAAAGCCTCCCTTTTAAGCTACTTACCACCCGGTAGTTTCATTGTCTAATTTATGATAGACAGGCGAAAGGAAAAGAACAGAAAAAGCGGAAATGCGTCAATGCACTTTCAACGTCTTGTAAACTTGGGAAAAATGTTGATGCATCAAAAATTAAGCTTCTTGTTGGACGTGTACTCAGGATTCCTCTTTTCTTTCCTTTCGACAACACTTACAGTGCGTTGCGATATCTGTACTTTACTAAATAGATGATATTTCCTCCTTACAGTTCTTGTCTTTGCGAGTATATAAACACGCGAGGTCATTCGGAATATTACACGTTGATATTTGTATAACGTATACGGTATAGTTCCGTAGGAATTTTACGCGTTGATAAAACGAAGAAATGTTTGAGATAGCGTTTTACGTTGAATCGTCGAATTCCATTTCCATCGAACATAAAGTATGACGATGCCCTATTAGTGCTTCTGCAAACGTTCGAAAAGCAAGCGCGGGCATTTCTGCAAGCACCGAGGCAACCGAACCATTTTCCACGAGCGTAAGATCCACCGTCGAGTCCTCGCTGCTTGCACGTGTGCGTCGAAGGAAAGAAAAGCGAATCGATTAATAACGAAGCGAAGCAAGACGTCAATGGGAGCGCGACAAAGCTCTCGCGGTGCAATTTCTCAGGGCCGAGAGCCGTACTCTCTCGCGCGATTATTTCCTTTCGCGGCCTCTCAGACGCGCGCGTGCGCGCTCAATTTACGAGCCGCGATTCTCTCGATTTATGAGGCTCGCGCGATTGCTTTGCACCTTCGCACGCGGGCAGAGCCCGATGTACGATTGCGCGCGCGCGCGACGCGACAGAGCAGTATACGACGAGTTGCGCGAGCCGAGGAAATGGTCAATCTCCAACTCGGACGGTCGACGAACCGAAAGCGCTTTCGCGCTTTTGCGCGCGGACAGCGCTGAAATGCGATATTTGTTTGGCGAGCGATGAAAGCTTTCACGATTGTCATTGAAATGAGCGGAGGATAATTGTTTTCGCTGATCACATCGAGCGCGACGCCAAGCAGAAACGGATTTCCATCGAAAAGTGCAAGCGTCATCCGAGAGCGCTCGCTACTCACTTCCGTGAAAAAGACAATCGAGCAACGTCCAAGTCGGATAGTTCTAACGCACACCTGGTGGATAAACGAGCGAGAAGAACAAAAAGAAAACAGAAAAAGTGGCTTTTATTTGCCTTTCGCCGTCGCGCGCGCAATCTCGCCGCCTTTGTCCCGCACGTGCTGCGGCGCGCACGCGAAAACAGAGCGAGGCGTTGACTCACTTTTATCGGCGAGGGCTAGTCGCGCGAGGGTTCCCGAGACGTTCCGCGAGCAGAGTTATTAGGAGGGGTTCCGCGCCGGCGAAACGACCTCGCTTTCCTTTGTTTCCTTGGTTGTGTCCCGCTCCGCTTCGGCCGAATCTCCTTCGTGCTCGGATCGAGTTCGCAAAGACCGCGCGCGCGCGCGCGCAGCCGCGACGAGCACCTTTGCTCGCGATTCACGGCTAAAACGCGCTCCGAGTGCGCGCGCGCGCGCACGACGCAACAAAAGCGGGCTCACGTGCGGCAACGCGAGAGCGCCGGAGCTTTCGCCCGCGCGGCTTGTTCTTTGTGCGCCGCGCGGAACCGTTGTTCTCTCTCCAACTGCAAACGTTCGGCCGCGCGTCACTGATTATTGGCCGGGCACTGCGCACTTTGGGTCCGTGACGCGAACGCACGAACGCGCGAAAGCGCGAAAGCTCTTTATCGGCCGCGAAGAATGTTTCGGTCGCATTTGCTCGCGCGCCAACTGAAAAAACACGTTTATTTTTCTCGACGCCAAGCATCTCCTGCTCAGTCTTTATCGTGCGTCGACTCACGTATTGCGTTAGACTCGGCGACGGAGAGCAAAGACGCGCGCGCGATTGCGTTTTGCCGCGTTCGCGACACGGCCGACCTAGATTGTTTTTCGGCAAGGTCGCCGCGACGCGAAAACGCGGGAATGCGCGAGAAACCGAAGGAGACGAGAACGCACGCGCTGCCGTCTTCTCCCGGCGTGCGATCGGATCCAAGGATAGCCTACATTTCCTTGCTGGCGAGCGTTGCACGCGTCGAAGCCGCGGGTGAAGCGCGCAGCAATGACATTCCTGCGACGCGCGGCTCTCACCGAACGTTTTCTTTGGAATCCGAGGGAGACGTCGACTCGCGCGATCTTCTCCAGCGATCGTTGAGCGTGCTACGGAAAGCGATCGTCCGGTTCAGGGCTGTCGTCGCTCTGTTTTCAGAGAGCGACGCGGTGTTGCTCCCGCGAAAAAGAAAATGAACGAACGAACGAACGATCGTCGCGACCTTTTCCCGCGAGCGCCGAGAAAATATGGAGCATCGACGGAGCGAAATATCCTTGCGTCTCTCGCTAATATCCTTCGCGTATCGCGCGCGGAGAGAAAAAAAATCGATCTATCGGCGAACGAAATCGGCAAGGGCGCGCGCATACGCTGCGCCGTTAATGACATTCCTTGCGCCAGTTCTTTTTCCGAAGGAGCTCTCCGCGAACAGAAGAGCCTTGGATTCGCTGCTGTAGCTCAAGGACCATTGCACTGCGAATTCGATCGCGGATGCGAGCGAGAGAGAAAGAGAGAGATCACCTCCTTAGGGAAACTTTATTTTTAGAAACTAATTGCGGAGTTTTCTCTGAAGCGGATTTTTTTCTGCGCGACCTGATTCCCCGAGCGAGATTGATTTATGTATCGGTGATTTTTTTTTATGATTTCGCAGGAGCGAGAGCGAGAGCGAGAGAGAGCTATTAAGAGCCTTTTTTATTGGCATTTAGAAAACCGTGAGAGGCAGTAATTGCGTGAAAGAAGGCAGCGATCGATACGCGTGAAATGAAAAATACTAAATTTGAGAATTGGCCTTTCGAGAGCGCGGTACGGTGTATCCACTAAGCTATACGCGCGTGTGGTCTGCACCGTCTCTTGATATTTCGCGATTTCCCATACGTGCTTCTTGTCCGTCTTGTCGTGGCGTGACAAGCGAATTAACACTCGTAAACGGAGGCGCGCGAACAGGTAGCGAATAAACTAGACCGCGTGCGCGCATACCTCGCTGCTCTCCGAGAGGCATAGCGTCGCGCTGAGTCAACCGCCGCTTCTTCCAATTCTCCGTTCCCCCGTCTGCTGTACCTATACGCTTCCTCGTGAGTCATGTGCTTCTCGGAAACGCGCGAATTTCGAGAACACGAGTAGGGGGCGAGCTCGTTCGATGCGCCGCGGGGACGATCGGCAATCCGAGGGTGCCTCGTGCTCTTCCCTACGACAAGGAGGCCGTCCGAAGCCTATGCAGCGACTCGCTCGTAACAAAAGCCGCGCGCGTGCTCGATAACGCTCCCAGCCAGATAAGATTAGCGAGGCGAGCGAAATGAAAGAGAAATAAAGGGAAATCGCTGCAATTTCCTTCTTTTTCTCTTCGCCGTGACAATTAGCACTTGTCGCGAGCGCGCGACCACTCTTTGGCTCTCCGCGCGCGTTCGCTCGACTGCTATCGTCTATAGCCAACATAGATAAGCGCCCGAGCTATTCTTATCGCTTGCTTCACGCGTAGCCGAGCGCGGCCGGAGAAAAATAAATCGCGGCCTCCATTGCCGCTTAACCGTCTTATTTTGCGCGCAGGAAATTGGCGCGGACGCTTGCGTAACGATCGTGCGAGCTTTTCCTCCCGCTGCCCTCCTTGAAAACTGATTCGGGACGGCAATACGGGAGCGCGTTGCGTCAGGTGCGCGCGCAATCTGATCGTACGATTTTCAGTAGTTTTTCATTTATTCCAATGTATTCCGACGCCGATGCGACAGTGATATAAGTACTCTTGGAAAATTGGCAATTACGACAATTACGATGCGAATATTATCGATTCGACCGATAGAACGTTCTCGAACGAGCATTCAAACTCTCGCGCGTTTCAGCGTCGCACCCTCATTCGCCGGTTCTTTCACCACGTGGTCAGCGATTGGCTCGAGCTCTCGCCACACATCTAATATAGCTCGTGACATCATCGCGCGCACAAGCGCAAACTTTCGCTCGATACTCTCTCTCTCTCTCTGTCTCTCTCTCTCTCTCTCTCTCTCCCATTCACTTTGGTCGTCCGTCTTCGTCTTTCTCGGTGGCCGAGGCGAACGTGAAATCCGGCTGCGCGAGCGAGATAGTTGCTGCCTGGAGGTATTCCCCCGTAGCGTGACTCATCGTCGGCGCAGTTTTAACGCGCTTTTCGAGAAACGAGCAGCTCCTCTCCTCTCCCTGCTATCTCGCTCGCACCTGCATATCTTGCTTGCACCTCGTTTTTGTTGCGTGCAATATCTACGTGATACGCGTGCACTTAATTCGGTTGGATATTCGCCTCGCAAGAGAAAAAAGAACGTTGTGCTGCATTAAACCATAACCTCTACGTGAACTCGCGCACAACAGGTAGTGGTTGTCAGGGAGAGAAGTTCATTGTTTATGTGAGAAGAGTGGAAACAAGTCGCCAAGCTGGTTGCCAAAAGGAGGTGGATGGTGCAGGAGAGGAGGCTGGAGGAAGAGAGTTCCCTCGAGGCTAATGAGGAGACAATGAAGCTTGATGTCCAGGACAACATGTACGACAGCCCGAGCAGTGTCTCCAGCGACAGCGCAGCGAGCTCCCATAGCTCTAGAATCAGTCATGATTTCCTGGCTTCCATCAACTCCTACACACCCTCCGGAAGTGTAAGTACAAAAATTTACTCACAAGCTTTGTGCTGTACTCGATGTTTTTTTCGCGAGACTTTAGCGAGTGTATGCGTGTGTGTGTGCGCGCGCGCCTGTGCTTAAGAGAGATACGCGATATGTGCGTGTGCGTATGCAGTATGTGCGCGTTGGCATGAGTGTACGTGCATCTCGATGCAGTAATTGATAAAGTGAACGTTCGTCAAGAGTGCAAGTAGATCTTTGGGCGAGAACGTAATAACGAAACCCGAAAGCAGGATGATTGGTAAAAATCAGATGCTTACGTGTTGCGTCATGCCGCTCTACACGCGTACCATACAATTAACCTCGGCAATGAATTGCAATCCCTTTCTACGCAAAGCGACGATAGTATTACGAGTCGGCGGTATCCTTGTACGGTAGTTTCGCGCGGGAGGGAGAGAAAAAATGCGCATCCGCGTGTGTGCGCCGATGACGAAAGTCGCCAGCCAGAACCTCACCTTTACGGCTCTCTCTCTTTCTCTCGCTCGCGAGCGTAGAAGGGGCTACGTGCATATTTGCATCGAGCAGCGCCAGGCAATTTATAAAGCGAGAATGCCGCTGTGTGTATCGCCGATGCTCGGCAGCAGTAACGCAAAGCAATCTCCAATCGCGGCTGATAACGCGAGGATCGAGAGTCGCGATTGTTTGCGCGCGAGCGACGTATTGCGATTTTTCTCGGCGAGAAAATGCGGACCTTTCGCGATAGCGTTGCGCAAGCAAAGTAGGTAAATTGAACGGAGGCCGGAATATCGGTCCTGATTGCGCGCTTCCGGAAGGATTAAAGCGGTGCATCGAAAGAAAATCACACGCGCGCGTCTATGCCCAGCGCGAAACAATTATAATAATTAGCTCAATTGAAGTTTCGAGCGATCTTCTCGTCTTGTTAGTAAACACTGGCTTCTTTTTCGACGGTGTTCTGCTCGAAAAAAGAAAAAAAAAATAACAGGGTTACGTGAGCGAGGAGATAAGAGTGCATTTTTCGTTGGTCACGCGCGCGCGCTCCTTTGCTGGTAATTGCCGCTGACTGCTGTTCCGGCAATGCGTCGTTTTTTAATTTTTTTAAATTTTATTCGCCAAGGATGACTACGGAGTGGCTTCTTCTCTCGTGTCACTTGATACGATTACTCGGCCGGAGCGACGACGAGTTATTTCATTGTTGCAACTTGTGCTGGTCTTTTATGACACTTATTAACGCTTCTTTTTCGCTACCGGTATTCTTCTAGTCGTCGGTCTCGTTATTACGAAAATGACGTGCTTTCATCTTGAACCTGAAAGAAAATTAAAACAAACGAAGTATCAGCCAATCAACTCGCCGAGTAAAGAAACGATTATTTGATTATTGAACAGTCAAAGACGTCGCATTAATTACTTGGTCGCGTTATTTTTACAAAACGATTTCGTTTTCACGACAGCTAGCCAATGCTGAGGCGGCGAAAAAATATTTCTATCGAAAAAAAAAATGTATTTTAGAAAGCACAAGAAAGTAAATAAATAAATAAACTAATGAAACGGAAGAGCATGATAGCGACTCGTGGATTTTGAAGAAAAGAGCGAGGCAATCCAAGTGTAGCGAGGCAGTCTATAGCGGCCACTTGCCTACTAAAAATAATCGCGTAATCGCGTTGGAGGGAGTTACGCGCGTAGCGGCTAAAATTACCGGCGCGTCATCGATGCCACTTCGCTTGCTCGCGAGCTTGACCCCGAACTTCTTCCCACTTACGGGCGCTCGCGCGACCACGGCAAAGTTTCAAGCTCGCTGCGAGTTACGATGGCTCCTCGCGCGCGAAATTCCGACGATAAGATCTCTGGCGAGACAACTGCGTTACTACCGTGTATGGTAGTGGACCACTTGTTTGTCGAGCACGGGAGGGTCGCCTTTTTCGGGGAGGGCGTCGCAGCTGATAATTTGCAGTGATTTACGCGCCTTGATTTTTGTTTTTCGAAAGATCGAGTGGAGAAGGAGGGGGGGGGGGGGGGAGCACGAGCGATTAAATCTCGTTGCCCCTTATGGCAGTCTCGCGTTGCGCGCTACCTCGCGAATTAGTACGTAACCGTATACTCGCGCTTCATCATTTGCGCCGGCTGCGAAGCGAAATCGCGATCGGGCTTATTTATCGCGCGCCATTTCGCCTTCTCGATTGCGCGCGATTTTCCGCGAGCTTGCGCAACGCGCACTTCCGCGAGGCTGCAGCCGAACGAGCGAACAATCCAAATGTATTCCGAACGACAATGGAGTCGCGGCCGGCGCGCACTTTCCTCGATTGTAAACGAGATCCGCGCGCTTTGTCGCGTAATCGCGCGTTCGCCGTTTAAGGGGCCGTGCCGCCACGTGCACTTTCGTCTACATGGGCGCGTGCGTTTATTAGGGACTTGGACGTACGCGCGGCTTTCTCGCGCCGACGGGAATACCATAAAACTTGTAATAGGAGCAAGCGGCGGATTCGATAAGGGAAAGCAGCTCGTAAATTCCAAAATCTTCGAATGTGTTCGATGCGGGTGTGTCGAAGCGAACGCACAACGTTCGAAACGTGACCGCTCGTCGAGTAAACAATTTTTGTCTTTTCGAGTGCTCGCAGTGATTTCGAGCTCTGTCGTCGGGCGTTTTCCCCGTAGTCGAGTCGAACGAGGTTCTGGATAATAACATTGGAGTTTTACGAGAACAATTTTGAGACGTGTTTTGTCCGTAAACGCAACGAGTGAAACTGATATCCTAAAACCCTCCCCCCCCCCCCCCCCCCCAAACCGACGCCCAAGTAGAACGGCCGAACTGCTCGTGCGGGGTTTTACTTTCGTGCGTTAATGTGGCGATTACTGCGGCTAAGGTATACACTTTGGCTAGAATATATAGACGTTAGGAGGAGTAACCATGGCGACTTGATCGATAGATAGCATTTAATATCCGAAAATCTGCCTCGCGCACCCTCCTCGCTCCGCCGAATTCGAGAACACCCACAATTTCTCCCTTCTGCGCGATACGCGTCTGAGCCACGAAGCTCCTCGGACGCAAGCACTGTATACGAAACCCCGCCGACATCAAATCTCTTAAGAACTTTTCCGGGGAGAGAGAGACGAGAGTAGGATATTTTATCGCTTCATCTCGGGCTGATAAAACAAAAAATACAACGAGAAAGTTTTATTTTCGTTCGGAGGACTTTTCGCCGACGTAGGCATCGCAACATTTGTCCGTTCGGTTGCGCAACGGGTGCAGGGAGCGCGAATGTGGTTACAATCGAGCCAAAGGCAGCCTGCTAGCGGTACCCAATTAGAAAACGAAAGCCTTTCAAGGACGTCCACAGTGGCGACGAGAAAGCTCATCAAAGATAATGTCTCGGTCGCGCATCCGAAAAGCCCGTGGCGGCCGGAGCGGAGGCAATTATCCGAAGAGCGAGAGCGCGGCGGAGAGAGAGCCCAATAAACCCATTAGCATCTAGCCGGGAGAGAAAAAAGAGCCGTCAGCGCGGCAGTAAAGCACCCCGTAACACGGCAATCTCAATCTCGCCGAGCGCGAGATAAATCAAGCCCAATCAAGCTCCCAGCGGTGTGTCTCCCTCGAACGAGGAGAAAAGAAAAAAAAAAGAGCAACTCTCTCGCTCTCGTGGATGCGGGCAAAGTTATTTACTTGACTGTACGAGGGGTTGAGTTTCCTTTCCGCGCAGCCCCCATGTGCCACATACGAGGGGCGAGTGGAGGGTCCGTTCTGCCGGTTATTGATCTGGCGTTTTTCGCGACGACAGCTGGCCTTTAAAAACCAGACTTTCGTGCCTGCTTCTGAGCCAAGCAGCGATCGCTCCTTTTTCGAGATACACGCTACGTGCGTTATTGCGGTTAAAGTGCACAGGAGGGATTATGGAATTAGGTTGACCAACGAGTGGATCGTAGTTCCGGCGCGAGACGATAGTTTTGAAAACAGAGGTGACGCGATCAAAATTACAATCGTCTTCGTTTTGCTTTACGTGCGCAAAAGACTATGTTCATAGCTCAACCACCAGTCGGAATATTATTTAAATAACCAGCTCAGAGAGAACAGATAATCTATGAAAAAAATCAACGAATCCCCGTTGACGCTTGTACAATGTTATACATTCCTGCGGAAGGAGATTAAAATAATCTTTCGACAGCTCCATTTTGCTATCGCACATTTTCTAAGCTGTCTATCATTATATTTCTAATAGTTGACAAAACACCGTTATCGCTTACATTTTCGCTCTCTTCGTAATGCTATCTGTTTTGCAAAATATCGTAGCCAACGAATTCCTTTATTTCGTAACCGGAATCGACGGGCTATTTACTCAAAAATATCACGAACAGTTTTAAAAACATTTTTTTAGGACTTACTTTTCGATTTTTCCGAGTTTCAACGGAGATTCTCATACATTTTTCGGTCTTTTTTCAAACCTATAGCATTTCACATTTTATGAGCGTTAGTAGACCACGAGGTATTTAATCTACTATATTGATTCATTTTAATCAATAATAACAGCTGTTTCGAGTCAAAGCTGTGCTTGTGTAATTGATGGTTGTTTTCCCTACTAATTACATTTGCAACACAAGTATCTAGATTTTAAGAATTTTCGGAATTTTAGTTTTTTTCAATCGAATTTTCCACATCTATCCACCTATCTGTTTCACAATAGAGATTGATTGCTTCTCACATTTTTAACAAAGGCACTTGTCAGTTTGGTTCAAAGTATTGCGAAAGACCCCCCCCCCCTCCGCCATACGTATACGTCGAAAATTACCGAGGCTTTTCAGTAACTGGCCCTATGTTAACCTGAAAAAGCATCAATTCCTTGTAAGACAGTCTCCGATTTTTATCTCAAGCTTTATATTTACGTCATGTGTGACCCTCTACGTAAGAAAGCCATTCTCACAAGCATTAATAACGCTGCGTTCAGCGCGTTCGTGTAATAATCCCGTCGCCAAAAAAGAAAGAGATCCAATTATTCCATGCTATTTCACAAAAATAATCGCACTGCCTC